CGTTTGTGATGATTTAAGGAACGACACTTTAAAAAATAATCAGTTTTAAAAACAAATTTAAACCATAATGAGATACCGGGTTGTCGTTCCTGTCCAAATTTTAAACCATCTCGGCTTTGAGCCGGTTAAACATTTAAATGATTTCAAGTCTCGAGAGTTGGTGTCACGTGACAGGCAGACTTGAGACAGACTTCTCCACGTGATGGATGAGTCTGTCAGGTCAAGAGTTGGGTAAATAGGCACGCCGGCAAACAAAGATTGCCGCCGTCCGGCCCACACCTTCCCGCGCTGGTGTAATACCGCACCGGAAAATGAACAATTTACCCAGAATTCCTGAGCACAACCTAGTCATCGTTTTCGCATTCAGTGTTGATATTTTGTTTTGGTGTTCCATTGGCTCACATAACTTCACATCAGCAGCATTTTTTAACATCGTTTGTTGATTTTTAAATTGTAATCTTATGTCAACACTGTAAAACAAAATTCGCAACCAATTTAAAGAAACATTTTTTTCTCTTTAAATATTTTTATTTTTACATTATATCCGTCTTTAGTTTTTCGTGGAGTACCTGTCAGCATTTTTACAGAATTTTCATGCAGTTAAATTTTTGTTTTGCCAAAATTATGTTATGTTTTCATTAACGTTGGGTAATTAGCAAAATGTGTTTGAATGTTGATGAAGTATTTCTGTATTAAAATAATGAAAACAATGCCACTAGATGTTTTTAAATGACATGTTTCCCACGAAACAAAGTTATGTACCCTAATCAAGAAAATAATAAATTGTATGTAATTGCACGGAGATTACGTTGTAATTGTCAAAGTAACCTCATTGGTATATGCGGATAAATTTCAATTACTTTACAAGCAAATATATGTAACTATACATTCCTATTGCTAATTTTGATGGTTGATTTAGTTATAAGGATCCCCAACCCTCCCCCGTAATACAGCCCACCATCACCTTCAATAAACGCAGACAGTAACCTCCTGCACGTTCGCCTATTATTAGATCACCAAACGGACCCATGTCAACTATTGATCAAAGCTGGAAGTCAAGACAAAATTAGCCAGCTCAGTTCTCTCTATTGAACACTTGTCATGTCCAGTTGTCCACTAGCATCCACATCATCAGTTCTGATACAACTGTCCATTGAAGGGATAGAATCTCTCTTGAGGGAACTGCTCAAACTACAAGCTAATCAACTCAATATCTCCCACCCACCCCCCCCCCTTCCCCGTTTGTCCTACTCACTTTATTTAATAAAGTAATAAACATATGCTCAAAAGTTAGAGTAACGCTATTTGGGAAAATGGAATTATGTCCTGAAAGGAATCTAATACGGTCTACATCTGCAGGAGTTAAAGTAGGTCAGCAGACGATTGTCTGTCTGCTCCAATATATCTCTGGTAAAGTGAAGCCATCAAAGGTAGATATATTTTTTACAGAGACGGGTGTAAAGACTAGATATATACGTAAAGGACAGGATATACACATTAAGGTCCGGATATAAACATTAAGGACAGGATATAAACATTAAGGCCCGGGTATAAACATTAAGGACTGAATATAAACATTAAGGACTGGATATAGGACAGGATATAAACATTAAGGACTGGATATAAACACTAAGGACTAGATATAAACCTTAAGGACTAGATATAGGACTAGATATAAACATAAAGGACTGGATATAGGACTGGATATAACATAAAGGACTGGATATAAACATTAAGGACTGGATATAGGACTGGATATAAACATAAAGGAATGAATATAAACATAAAGGACTGGATATAAACATTAAGGACTGGGTATAAAAATAAAGGACTGGATATAAACATTAAGGACTGGATATAAACATTAAGGACTGGATATAGGACTGGATATGAACATTAAGAACTGGATATAAACATTAAGGACTGGATATAAACATGGATATTAATATAAAAGACATAATGTTTATCAACACAAGGGTAGGTGATTCAATTGACTGAGAACTACAGCAGAACACACATTAAATTACTAGGTAATGATGTAGTTATCTAAAGAAACTATTGATGGAATGACCACAGGCTCATGAAGTCGACGACCAGCATATCAAGACAGTCAGAAGCTGATCTGGAATCAGCAAAATAGCATGAGACAGGTGAAAATAAAACAACTGGAGACATGATTTGGGAAGATGACATACGAAAGATGGGTTACCATTGGCAACAGTTGTTGAAACTAGCAGAAAAAAGATGGGTTACCACTGAGGACAGCTGGAGAAACTAGCACAAGAAAGATAGGTAACCACTGGGGGCAGTAAAACTCCTGTCTGTCGTCTGTGTGATACTGGGACGGCAGGCTAACCACAAGCTGAAGCCAGTACTGAGATACAGAGTAAGAACATCAAGCCTAAAAAAAACAAAGGTATTGTTCAAGTCATATCTACCTTGAGAGTTTTCTATTGTCTTGACATGGTACTATAAAAACTGTTGTTCTTTTTGTTTTAAGTTGAGGCAGTTGATTGTAAATAGTAAAAAAATGCACTCGTTCAAACTTTATAATTAATAAAACTTGATTCATCATTTTCTATTTAATTTTTTTTCATCTTCAAAAATGTTCTGCTACGCTAACTACTTTTTTTCATTACACTATTTAGGGGAAGTAACTGTAAATTCCTTGTTGCTGAAGCTCTTTTCAAAATTATCTTTCCTGATGAATTTTAGCTTAGTTTAAAATACTCTTAACTTAGTTAAAGCTTACATAAAATAATTTCTGCGTAAAAATCGGTATTAGAAAAAAAGGCTACTGTTTTACTTCAAAGCTAAAATTGTTTAATTCCGTGAATATATTAATGTAGATTGTAGAGCCTTGATAATAAAACCGGTACAGCTAACCTTAGAATTATATGATGACCACAGTAAGAATTTTATGATGACCACAGTAAGAATTTTATGATGACCACGGTAAGAATGCTGTGATGACCACAGTAAGAATTCAGTGAAAAGCGCACAAAGAATTCTGTGATGACCACAGTAAGAATTCTGTGATGACCACAGTAAGAATTATGTGATGACCACAGTAAGAATTCAGTGAAAAGCGCACAAAGAATTCTGTGATGACCACAGTAAGAATTCTGTGATGACCACAGTAAGAATTATGTGATGACCACAGTAAGAATTCTGTGATGACCACAGTAAGAATTCTGTGATGACCACAGTAAGAATTCTGTGATGACCACAGTAAGAATTCTGTGATGACCACAGTAAGAATTATGTGATGACCACAGTAAGAATTCTGTGATGACCACAGTAAGAATTCTGTGATGACCACAGTAAGAATTACGTGATGACCACGGTAAGATTTCTGTGATGACCACGGTAAGAATTCTGTGATGACCACGGTAAGAATTATTTGATGACCACAGTAAGAATTATGTGATGACCACAGTAAGAATTATGTGATGACCACAGTAAGAATTCTGTGATGACCACAGTAAGAATTCTGTGATGACCACAGTAAGAATTCTGTGATGACCACAGTAAGAATTATGTGATGACCACGGTAAGAATTCTGTGATGACCACAGTAAGAATTATGTGATGACCACAGTAAGAATTATGTGATGACCACGGTAAGAATTCTGTGATGACCACGGTAAGAATTATTTGATGACCACAGTAAGAATTATGTGATGACCACAGTAAGAATTATGTGATGACCACAGTAAGAATTCTGTGATGACCACAGTAAGAATTCAGTGAAAAGCGCACAAAGAATTATGTGATGACCACAGTAATAAATTCTGTAATGATTACAGCAGAAATTATGTAATGACCACTAGAAATGTAATGGCCGTCGTCATACATGTGGAATGGTTACCATCATATATTTGCCGACTACACAACGGACGCGCAATAAAAAAAAATTGCCATCTTTTATCCCGACTCTACAGGCCTTATGCCGGACATAAAGTAAACAATTCCGGCTGACTATCACACTATAAATATTTGCCGGTTTCTTGCCGGAAAGTTTACACTGGTCACCTCAAGTCTACAACCAACACCAAATGTGTAGACAGAGGGTTGTATATCTTTGTTTACAATCCTGTTCTCCCCCCCCCCCTTGACCTTGACCTACCCCCACTCACAAGTGGACAGCACAATACATCTGGAACTAATCTCAAAGAGATGACCTCAGCCCACAAAGTTCTTCACTGACCTACTATAGTCTAACTCCCCCACACCCCCATTTCTCCCGCCTACCCACCCCCTGCAGCGCTACATTCCCCCAGGTAATAAATAATTTCCCCGGTAAATCGTCCACGCTTCATCCAATTGTTGATAAACCGCAGTCTGAATACCAGCATCGGGTCCCGGGCCAGCAGAGTAGAGCGAGCATCTCCCCGGCCACGTAACGAAATTTGTGGGTGGGGGAACAACAACACTTGGAGCGTGGTGAGCCAGGGGCCAAAGTTCAGCTCGTCCTACCTTTTATACGCGTGCTAATATCAAACTGTGCGGCTCGCTCCCTGTGCGGTGAAACCCGTTCAACAAATATATCGTCTGGTTCTGATTCGTGGAATATACAGTTGATTTTATTGTTGTTGTTGTTTTTTATTTTTTACTTATTTACTGTTCAATTTATAAACAATTCGTTACTTTATTTTACTTAAATCATTTTAACAGTTTAGACTAATAAATCTATGTGAATTTAATTTACTGAAAAAAATTTGTTATAGACGTAAAAGTATGAGAAATATTTTGTTTAGGCCCTACTTACATTCTTTGTTATTTTTACATAATACCGTTTGTTTTAGATATTTAGCTTTTTCTTTAAATTTATAATTGAAATCCTTAAAATTATTTTTATTTTGTTTTCATTGTAATAAAAATAGTGTTTATTTGAATAATTATACCTGTTGTGTATTTAGCTTTACGGGATGAAAGCTACCTAACTCGCAACTTACAAACAGATTAGTGGGTGCTAAGTGCATCCCTAGCCGCGTGTTCTGTTTGAAGTCAAGTCTCAGAACTTGACTCCAGTCAAGTCTCGGGTTCTTGACTGAAATCAACTGGGACCTAAAAGCCTTTCTTGTTCGATATTTAATCCGGTGGTGTTGTGCTTAGTACGGCTCTACCACAGTACTTGTGCTGAGTCGGGCTCTACCAATTAAAACTCCGCCGGCGAGGGATAATTCATTCACACGATGCAGTTTGTTGTTGGCCTGCCGAGGTAAGTCAATGCTACTTCAAACACTTGAACATTTTGTTTAGGTCTCAGGTTGTTCTACAGCTATTCATGGCATACTGTTAAGGTCTTTTGCTACAGCTATTCACAGCATACTGTTTAGGTCTTTGTGCTACAGCTATTCACAGCATACTGTTAAGGTCTTTTGCTACAGCTATTCACAGCATACTGTTTAGGTCTTTGTGCTACAGCTATTCACAGCATACTGTTAAGGTCTTTTGCTACAGCTATTCACAGTATACTGTTTAGGTCTTTGTGCTACAGCTATTTACAGCATACTGTTAAGGTTCTTTGTGCTACTGGTATTAGCAGCATACAGGAATGTCTTCGTGCTACAGCTGTTCACATCATATAGCTTAAGTCCCTGTTAGTGTTATAGCTACTAGCATCAATCAGCCTTTTGTCATTGCTTGTACTGATGCTACAAGCAGCATAGACATCTTGGTTTGTGCTACAACGGCTAGAGCTATATATCCAAATTTTTAGCACACGTACGACGTTTGATTGTGTCCTTACATTGAGGTATAATACCACAATAAACAATCACGTGATCCGATTAATTCTAACGGTGGAAGTTTCCTGGAATATCTAGACAGGTAGTAGATCTATACACAAGTATTAATGAGTGAATGAACTATATACAATAATTTTTATATTGTTATTTTTGTACACTCCCGTACCTCAAAACCTGGCAATGTGGGAATGGAGGGGGGAGGCCCAAAAGTTTTAAAATTTATTTCAAAATGTACTAATTGTATGCCTTAAGTTGTTTTGTTTAAAAAGCTAAAGCTGTAGTTGAATTATTTTAACTCTGCAGTCACTACCCACTGTCCTGCGAAAATAAATAAAATGACCACTACACAATTGTAGAGTAAACGAGTGTCAATGCTTTCAATGACTTCCGTGACTTGTTGCTCTTGTTTGAATGGGGGAAGGGGAAGGGGGGGCGTATTACGTTCATACATCGTAATAACAACATTTATGTCGGACCACAAAAGTATAAAAAAAAAGCGGGGCTATTAAAGTTTGCACGTAAGCGTAATTAAAATTTAATGTGTATACGTAATTTATTTTAATTATTATCGTATCGTAAATCTTCTCCTAGATTGTTAATGCTTATACAATAAAGTTAGTTGAGTCATATGGCATAGTCACTAACCCACACTAATGTCTGTTAAAGACTTTTTAAATACAGCGACTAGCAAGAAAGACTGACAATTTTTAGGCGAGTTCTTTGTACATCGTCGTTCCTATGATGAGTAAAGTTACCCTTTGAACCTGGCGGTCCATTTTCCAGATGTAATATTCAACTTCTTCTGTGGAGAATGGATAATGTGCAATGGATAATGTGCAATGGATAATGTGCTCAGCACGATGCCCAGGCGCATTTAGTCAGTGACGTCTTACAGATTCGAGCCCAGGATCCGAATTAGAGACTGTCGTAAGCTCTACAGTCCATCCATGGCGTCCGGTTTTGATCGAAAGGGGGGGGGGGGGGGTAGCCCCAAATATCTTAGAAAAAAAATATTCATAATAAATAGAGAGATCGAGTCACAACTGCACTTTTTAGCCTAGACTAGAGATGGTCGGGTCTGTCCTTGATGCCGTAGCTTGATTCTCTTTACATAGCCGAATAGGTCGGTCTATTGAGTCTAACTGGCAGCAAGGGGGGCCCTGGCTACGGTAGGGGGCCCTGACTACGGCCGGTGAGTTCACTGAGTCTAACTGGCAGCAAGAGGGCCGTGGCTACGGCAGGTGGGCCTCCTTTAGTCCATCTAGTTATGTTACTGTTGTTTTTTTTTACTAGCAATCTATTTTTACATTATGCGGTGTTAAACCATCTCTATTTGACCTGAACAATAACAGCGGACTAAAAGATTTGACGTAAACTTCGGTAAATTTAGCCCGGACACAGCTTATGTAGATCTGACATGACAAAATGGCCCTTTTAGCAAACAGCATCGACAAAAAATGGCCCAGAGAAAAATAGCCCTGACAAACCAATTCAAAGGGCTAATGACAGGATCATGTCGTTTTGGTGCGGTTTCGTTGGAAGGGACAAAGACTGTTATGATAATTTCCCAGCAGTAATAACTATTTACACAAACCATTTAAAATCAGGGTGTAAGAAAATTAACCTATAAAGTAGCTAGAAACTTAACTAATTTGAAATCCAAATAGATTAATTATTTTTGTCACATCTATTTTAATGTTGTAGGTGTCCTGAATGATGTTCTCAAATTCACAAATTTAGTGTTTTCTTTTTTTTTTTTTTTTTTTTTTTTTTTTTGCCTTTTTTTCTTTTTTGTAAATTTATTTTCTAGTGGCAGAAAAATGTTAGTTTAAAAAAATTACTCCTATAGCGGCCTTTTTTTTTTAAATTCAGCGAACAAACAAATTTACATCAGCTGGCAAGAAAAAAAAACATTGCCAGACGCATGGAAAAAATCTGGCCTAATTGAGCCAAGCAGGTTTAAAAGAGTACAAAGATATGTCCGTTTCCAAGCCAAGTTTTATTTTTTCGTTTAATGTTTAAAGCTAACGTTTTTTTTCGTTAGATAACCTACTCCCGTTTTTTTACTCCTAAGTGTGAGTCACCTGTTGATTTGAATGGAATTTTTCCACGTTGAAACAAATGTACAGAAGCAAAAAGCAGTGACACTCGCCTTATCAGCTAAATAAACACTAACCCGCGAACGCTATATAAACACTAAATGCGGGGGCTATTTCCACGAGGCGTGTGTCACCGATAAGTCCTAATCTCGCTGACTGCACTCATTCTTTTTTACATGAAAAAAAACAATACTGATAGCTCCTGCGGCCTCTGGAACTTTTTTTCTGTAGTATTTGCAAAAAGCTACATACTAGCTTTTTCTTTACTTCTTGCAATAAGAGTCATTCTTGCTTAGTTTTACGTGCAAGGAGAGTCATTCTTGCTTACTTTTCACGTGCAATGAGAGTCATACTTGCTTTTTATTGCTTGCACAGAAAGTCATACTTTACTGTTTGCCGGTTTGGTGGGTAAATGCCTATATCTATGTTATCCTTGTAGTGAGTGGCCGATTATGGGAGGGCTGAGCAGGCAGGTGTAAGAGGCCCACGAAAATGTAGAAAAATTCGTTGTTAAATTATACGTAAAAGAAAACTGAAATTTGTATGTGCATATGATGAAGACTGACCCCGATTAAATAAAACGAGTTAGTGTACTTCATTAATTTTTTAGACCTAGCTATGTTACCAGACAGGCCGAATATAATCAAATATTAATAATAATCATGTTTAAAGTTATGTTATGTTTGTGTATATAGCACAATCATATATCAATAATAATCATGTTTAAAGTTAGTTTATGTTTGTGTATATAGCACTATCAAATATCAATAATAATCATGTTTAAAGTTATATTATGTTTGTGTATATAGCACAATCAAATATCAATAATAACCATGTTTAAAGTTATTTTATGTTTGTGTATATAGCACAATCAAATATCAATAATAATCATGTTTAAAGTTATTTTATGTTTGTGTATATAGCACAATTAAATATCAATAATAATCATGTTTAAAGTTAGTTTATGTTTGTGTTAATTGTGAGCGTGTTAACCTATTTTGCGTAAGAGGGGAGAGAGAGAGCGGATCCCCCAAACAAAATAGTTTTAGATCTAACCCCAGATGACAACGCCTGCTGAAAGAATCCGACAAATGACAGGTAGCGTCAAAAGCATGTAGCTGTCAGCATTGATCTCCTGTCTGTCAGATGGCGGGAACATACCTGTGGGATGCCACACCTTCCTGCGGCAGGTGGAAATGTCTGTCCTTCTGCAGCAGCCACTTGCTGTGATTATTGATGTGGTGGCTCTCACCCCCCCCCCCCCCACCCTACAACCGTCAGCAGTCTTAATCATACAACCACATGTCTTATACTTTCGTAGAGTTTCAAAACATAAATACATAACAACATACAATTATATATATCTAATATATAAAGCTCAGTTCTGTAACGTGTGGCAAAATAAGTTTGTCGTTGACAGTTCTATGGATTTAAGTGTTAGATTTTTTATCGTGCTCATAGTCTAAATTTACGGGTCAAAAAATTACCATTGAAAGTCTTTAAAAACAGTTTTCATTCTATTTACTTAGAAGAATAATTTTCAATTATGAACACGACATAAAATTTTTAAAAAGTGTATCGACGTTTATAAAATTTCTAAAATTGTGTCGGAAATGTATTGACTGCACAGTTACTTCCCTTTAATAAAAAAAATTCTTAAGAAGAAAGAATTTACATTTTATTACTTTGTTTTTGGTGTTAAGAAAAAAAAATTACATAATTAGCGGGGATTGATTAAGTGCAATGTCGTTTAAAAAGGTATTTTTAACACTGCCTTTTGTTTATTCTATACACTGAACATACTGTTCAATATTTTTTTTTTAAATCAATAACATTTAATAAGCCAGGTCCTACAAATCCTATATGTTTATTTCTTTCCATTTACCGATAAGCTTGGAGTATTATCATTTTGTTCACTAAATTGAAACAGGCGCGTCCGCCGGCGCCCTTGCACGGTTCGATTTGGCACCCTGGGCTATCATGTGAGCGCTATGCTGCATAGTTTTGTTTTTAACAGTGCGATAGACTATGGGTAAGAAAGGTTACTATAGTCTTTAAGTGAATCAAATCCGGGCGTCCTCCGGCACCCGACAGGGTGCTATTTGGCGCCCCGGGCCTTCCGGTGTACGCTATGGTATATACGTTCGCGTGAGTTCAAAAGACTTTGAATAAGTTATGTCGTTTACTAAGTTCAATCAGGCGGTGACGTCATGGTGCGTCCTCTGGCGCCCAGACAGGGTGCTATTTGGGGTCCCGGGCCTCCCGTGTTCGGTTTCGCGCCTACGTTCATTAAAGTGAGTGCAAAAGACTATGAATAAGTTGGGGTACTATAGTCGTTTATTAAGCTGAAACAGGCGATTCCGCCCCGGGCTAGACTCTGAGCACTGTGCGTTTATGTTCGCGTTAGTGTTTTCTTTGTCTTTAGGTTGGGTTTGCGTTAGTGGTTGCGTTTTGATTTGGTTCGTTTTTGTTCTTTCTTTTTTTCGTTTTCGTTTGTGTTTTATTTTCTTTGCGTTTGTGTTTGTATTTGTGTTTGTGGTTGGTTTTGCGTTTGTATTTGGTTTGTTTTCGTTTGTTTTTTCGTTTGTGTTTTTTTCTTTGGGTTTGTGGTTGGTTTTGCATTTGGATTTGGTTTGTTTTCGTTTGCTTTTTCGTTTGTTTTTTTCTTTGTGTTCGTATTGGTGTTTGTGGTTGTGGTTGGGTTAGTTGTTAGGTTTTTGTTTTCGTTTGTATTTGTAATTGTGTTAGCGTTATGTTTGCGTTTTGTTGTTTTGGTTTTGGTTTGGGTGTGCAATGCCGGGTTTATGATGATTACTAAACACACAGGTAATGGTCTTTAACAGAAAGGTTTTTCACAGAAGCCAGAGCAGGGCCTGGCCGGGACGGCTTGTATATATATATATATATATATATATATATATATATATATATATATATATATATATATATATATATATATATATATATATATATATATATATATATGTGTGTGTGTCTGTGTGTCTGTGTGTCTGTGTGTCTGTATGTGTGATTATCTAGTATTTAATGACCAATCAATATAAAACAAACAAATCAAAAATGATAATTGATATTATTTTTAGAGTACTTTCTGAAACATTTTTTAAACTTTCTTTCATTCATCTTCATTTATAGGTTAAATTAACGTTATTATACAAGACGCATCTGACTCGCTCGCTGTATTTGTAAATGGAGAAACGCAATTACAACATTTTACATCAGAAAATAAAACCCAATGCACTCTGTATTGCCGTACCTGTGCATTATATGACCGCACCTTTACATGCTACTTCACCTGTTTCTATTTGTAACCACACCAGTATATATTCAAGTCACATTTTGTTGTAGGTAGTAACTCGCCTTGGCGTTGATTCTGGTACATCAAGTTAGGATTAAAATGGCTGGTCAAGGGTCAGTTAGTGGAAGAGTGGACATCGCCACCACAGCAGTACTGTTCGCCTGCCTGGCGCTCTGTGTCAGTAGCCAGGCTGGCGAAGGCGAACCGTCGAAGAAGATGGAAGAAGAAGTTTTCTCGGACATGCTGAAGATCGTGGACAACAAGTTCGACACGCTGACCGTCAGGATTACTGCGCTAGAGAGGGCCATCTCACAGCTGCATTATTTCTCCATCCGCCAGCTCCGGCACGTTAGTACAGCTTTGGAGGGGGCAGAGAAGGACCTGAAAACTGTCAGTAAACAGGTCAGTCTTTGTTAGGTCAGTCTTTGTTAGGTCAGTCTTTGTTAGGTCAGTCTTTGTTAGGTCAGTCTTTGTTAGATCAGTCTCTTTGTTAGGTCAGTCTTTGTTAGGTCAGTCTCTTTGTTAGGTCAGTCTTTGTTAGGTCAATCTTTGTTAGGTCAGTCTTTGTTAGGTCAGTCTTTGTTAGGTCAGTCTTTGTTAGGTCAGTCTTTGTTAGGTCAGTCTTTGTCAGGTCAGTCTTTGTTAGGTCAGTCTTTGTTGGGTCAGTCTTTGTTGTCAGTATCTTTGTTAGGTCAGTCACTTTGTTAGTTCAGCCTCTTTGTTAAGTCAGTTTGTTTTTTTAGCTCGGTTTTTTTGTTAGACCAGTCTATTTGTTAGGGCCGCCTCTTTGTTAGGGCAGCCTCTTTGTTAGGGCAGCCTCTTTGTTAGTTCAGTCTCTTTGATAGGTCGGTCTCTTTGTTAGATCAGTCTTTTTGTTAGGTCAGTCTTGTTGTTAGGTCAGTCTTCTTTAAGGCCAGTCCAAGATCTGAACTAGAAACCTTTGGGTTAGCAGTCAAGCCCTCTACTTTCCGACCACGCCTTCCCGTTAAATAGTTTTCTACTTGCATACCTCCGTAGGTCGGTCAGCTGGAGGTCGACGGACGAAGCATGAAAATTTTGCTGAACTTGATGAGCCGAGACGTATCAGACATGAAGACAACCAGTTCTGACACGCTGAAAGAGATCGAGACCAACGCCCCCTACATCAACGAGAACACGGACAAGCAAGTACTGCAGCTCAAGGCGGCCGTGGAGGAGATCGTCACAAAAGCCACACAAGACTCAGCCAATTTACTCATCAAACATGTTGAAGAAATCGCTCCTATGATCGATCAAATGAAGGTAAGATCGTATTCAGCCCGCGCATTCATATTTACGAAACTAGTAAAATAAAATGGATTATTTTTGTAACTTTTCCAAAAAATTTTACCGACGGGCTATTTATATTTTTAGTAATATTAAAACTACGCTCCAAAACTAAAGCTAACGAAAAAAACGGGAGCCATCGAAACATGGCCCGTGATAAATGATCACTTTTCAATTACTTAATCCCTTGTGATCCCTACATGCGACTGAACAGATGTTTTTCAAAACTACCGGTCATTATTTAGTCGAACCTATATCATTTCAAAAATTGAATTACCTTTTCAGATTTAACGGTCTATATGAAAAGAATGTACACGTATTTTGTAAAAACAGAAATATTAACACTTTTATAAAACAATTACAGAATCAGAAACACATTTATAAAATCAATACAGAATCATTACCACCTTGTTAAAACCAATACAGAATCATTACCACCTTTATAAAACAAACTAGGCATGCTGCCCAGCTTCGCTTAGGCTTTCGAAAACATTGAGAATTTGAATGCTTAATTAATTCGCCCGAAGGTCGGTCTACGACCTCAAGAGTTATGAAGAGGTTCCTCCGTGGACATTTTTTTCGATTTATAGCTCATATAAGGTACCGGTCAGTCGAGGTCAGTCGAGGTCAGTTTTGACCCCCACATCGTAGACTTTTCGGCCAACCGGCCCCCGTGTTCTGTCGCACCAAGGCAAGATCATGCCAAATTTGAAGCGCCTGCGGCGCCGGGAAGTGCCCTATCGGACACCCGACAATCTAGATCTAGATCTAGATTCCTAAAAGAATTTTTTTTTAAGTTTAGCCCGAGCATAATAAAAAAGAATACATTAACCAAGTTGACTTGCTGTGTCTCGAACCCGCACCACCTGCGTGGTTTAATGTACACTAACATCTCCGCTATTTAGGCACCTTATAAAATACGGAGAATGAAACACGTATTTTAAAATCTTAACTTACGCGAATATGCCTATTCTTTCAAATTAATTTTTTATCCCAAATTAGCCAGTTCATAACAAAGATTTTGTATAAAATAAATAAGTCTTGAAATAGTTTAGTCCTAAAATAGAAATTTATTTTTGGAATTGATTTTAGAGAAGTTAGAGTCTAAATCTAGATCTTATTCTTAGCGTCTACGTCTAGATCTAGTTATTGCGTAGATTTAGATTTAGATTTAGTCTAGATCTAGAATCTCTAGATCTAGAATCCAAATACATAAAATAAATTTTATGAGTTAAGGCCGGAACAATTGTATTGTATACATTTCATAGTGTACGTAGATCTAAATCAAATTTGAATGAAATAGTTCATTTCTTTTCATTCTAAACACGGCAGATGACGTCATTAGTTAATGTATAAGCAATAGTGACGTCACAGTTTTATGCGTTCTTTTTCACATATATTAATGCTTTTCCGGTTGCATAAATAATACTGTTTCTCTACATTCGAATACGCCTTTAATTTTTATTTTTCTTCTTTAACTAAAATTGTGGTTATACATTTAAAACATCTAACATATTATTTTCAACAAAAGTCCGTAAAAAATTCTTCATATATCGCTGCCGATTCTGACGTGATGTCCGGCGAAAATATTTTGCGGACAGACAGAGAGAGAGAGAGAGAGAGAGAGAGATGTGCGAACGTGGGGATTTATATATTAGGATACAGAATAACTACCACCTTTATAAAACAAATATAGAATCATTACCACCTTTATAAAACAAATACAGAATCATTACCACCTTTATAAAACAAATACATAATAATTACCACTTTTATAAATCAAATACAGAATAATTACCACCTTTATAACCCAAATACAGAATAATTACCACCTTTATAAACCAAAAATTCTATTCCTACAATTGTTGTATATTCTCAGATGGAACCCGTAAACTGTTCAAGTGTCATTTCTGCAATAAACCAACATCTGGACACTAAGTTAGCAGACCTGTCAACAGACACGCGGTCTTATGTTAATGAGGTCGTTAGTGCCATGTCACAAACAGATGACAGCATCAAATGCGCGAACGACAAACAAATGAAAGACGAGGAAAATAAAAATGAACACGCGAAAAACTCAAACGGCGACAGTAAAAACGAGAACGGAAATCCGAACCACCCGGAAATCGAGTTCCAAAACGAGATGGACGAGCAAGTGATGACGATGCTGTTCAACATGACTAGCAGCGTTCAGCAAGCCACATCCTACTTCCGGAATACGGGGCGGATGTTGGAACAAATCACATCCAGCATGGACATCCTAGTGGGCGCCCAGGCTGACCTGACCAGGAAGTTTGACCTGATTCAGCTGACCGGACATGGGAGGGCACACGATTCGGAAAATGAAGTCTCCAACGTGATCTCAGAAACCGGGGCAGACGATAAGCGTTCTGGGTGTGTTTTATCCAAAGATATTTCAAAACACCTGGAGCCTATCATTAAAAACAATACCCATATATTTGAGGTAAGTTAACAATAGCCAGTTACTAGAGGTAATTATTTATTCGATGAAAAAAAGTAAGTTTACAATAGACAGATACTAGATATACGTTTATACGTTAGCAATAGACATATACTAGAGCAGTAGCGTAGCGAGGGGGGGGGGGGCGGGGGGGGACATATGTCCCCGGGCGCCGACCTTAGGGGGCGCCAAAATGGGTTGGAAAAATAAATTGAAAGGTTGAGGGGGGTGCAAATCAAAAGTTTGAGGGGGGTGCAAATGGAAATCTCGAGGGGGGATGCAAATCGAAAGTTTGAGGGGGGTCAAATCGAAATCTTGAGGGGGGGGGTGCAAATCGAAAAGTTTGTCCCCGGGCGCCGGGAAGGGTCGCTACGCCTCTGTACTAGAGGTAAATTAACAATAGCAGATACAAGAGATAAGTTAACAATAGACAGATACTAGAGGTAAGTTTACAATAGACAGATACTAGAGGTTGAATGGTAAAATAATTATAGAAATCTGGCGTGTTGGCTTGGTCGAGTGGTAAAGAGCAGATAGCCACTCTAAACGTTTCGTGTAACCCCAGCCTTGATCCCGTGTAAAGTCTACCAAGCTCCCATAGGTACCCGGACCACACTGGGCAAAGGAAGGCTATAGTGCTGACATCACAGATTCTTCTCATACCTGTATAGAGAAAACAGATGAACCACTCATCGTGTACTTGACGGTTGTATGTAAGTTACACAAGAAGATCCATGTATAGAGTTCTTCTGTTTATATGAACTCTGCTCATGAATGGGATAACACCAACCACCTTATGGGTAGACTGGTGTCTCACACCAACCACCTTATGGGTAGACTGGTGTCTCACACCAACCACCTTATGGGTAGACTGGTGTCTCAAAGACTCAAACCTGTGAACTGAACTAATCGAGACTTTTGGGTTAGTCTACAGCCCGACTACTTCCTTCTCATATCTGTTAAATATTTTGTGTTTATGTCATGTTGTGTTTACCTGTCTTACCTGTATTTACCTGTCTTACCTAAAGTCCTAACCCCATCATATTGTATTTACCTATCTCACCTGTAGGTTGTTATGGACCTGGCCCATGAGATAACCTCCTCACTCGCCTCCACCACGGCGTCTCTTCAAGACGAAATCAAACGCGTTGAAGGGATCCGAACCACCATGGCCACTGAAGTCATCTCCAAATCGCCTACCCACCCATCTGACCAGCTCACAACACTGACCAACCTCACGGAACGGACATTCAAACTACTAGAATCCGTAGCCTACAACACTGGCTGGATACCGAACATCTCCCGTAACGTTCAGCACATTGAGATACAGCAGAACCGGTCACTTCTGCTAGCTGTACGAGCCTTCAATCTGATGCAGCAGACGCAGCAGTTTTTAAATCCTAACAAAACAAAAGAGATTATCAGTCGGGACTCGATGCAGATTATCTACAGCACAAGTTTACAGCTGATAAGGATTATGCCAGCCTTGACCAAAATGTTAGCAGAACCAGGTATGTAGATCAATAGAACTGGTTATGTAGATACTATGTGGATTCATTTTTTCATTGAAGTGGAACTTCAGAAATACCCCCAAGTATAACGAAATAACCCGATTTTAAAAAATATTTTAACTGAATTTTTTTCGAAGCAAAATGGAACCCAATCGGGAGGCTACCCCAGAATTTCGAAAAATCAAAATTACAAGACATAACGTTTTCTCTACGTTTGAGCGTGATTGTGTTATAACGAGTCTTCAAGCCAGCCATCTTTCATCAGTCTACGTCTGCTTGCCGCAATTATCTCACTGTTTGTTTTCTTGCCGTGGAGTTACGGTACTTACTTTCGTAGAGTTATCGTTCTTCGTTGTGTGAGTGTTACGATTTTTTTAATGGAGTTACGGTTCTTATTTTAGTGGAGCAAAGGTTCTTATTTTAGCAGAGTCGCGGTTCTTGTTATGTTGAAGTTACGGTTCTTGTTTTCGTATAGTTACAGCTCCAAATCAACAAGAAAACACCTGTCTTATCGTTGCGCATTGTCGCTGAATTTGTGTATCACGAGTCGTATACTGTGATTTAAGACTAAGCCACTCAAATAGAAATATATTCTTTGTGAAACCCTTTCATCTGAACCCTGTTATTGGATTTTCTCTCTCCTGAACCCTTAAATGAACCCTTTGAGATACAACGTTTAAATTTTGCCCGACATTTACAAATAAGTATGTGTCTCTATTGAATGAGAGAAAAAACACTTCTTGAACCGTGCAGACAGCGACTTATCTGTTAAAGTTATACTTCTTGACCCCATCATTAACATTTGACGTATCCTCAATCACCTTCTAAAAATAGCAACCAGCCCTGTGGCTACTGCCTGAAGACGTAATCAGCTCTTAGCATTCATTTAGTTATTACAGCATCCTTTTAGAACAGATACAGGGTTAATAAGTCATTTTTCTTGACATATAAAATACCACCGAACTAATTAACCTTTAACAAGTAGCAGTTAAAAAACAAGTGGCTGAACTGTGTACCATCACCTCCCCTTCCTGTGGCATCATAAAGTACGCAGTATGGTCGACACGTTCGGAAAGTTTCGTTTCCAATTGAACTTTAACCTCCAACTTAATTAGATAACATACAATAAAGAAAATTGTGGTAGGCCTACCTACATGCACTAAACTACACATTTAACCTCAGTGTGTTTCGTTTAGGGCATTTTTGCATTGTTACGAAGACATGTAGGGGAGGAGGGGCGTTTATTTAGGATTTGGTAGTGGAAAAATTATGTGTTTTATAAATTACATTTATAGTAGTTTAATTATAATAGTTTAATTATTTGTACTATATATATACGGCTTACGGCAAGTCTGTGAACTAAACAGGAATAAATATTAAGTGCTGAACACCAGAGTACTAACCTGAAAGTCTCCAGTTCGAATCCGGGGTTCATTAGAGCGTACCTAGAGTCCACCTAGCTCCAATGGGTACCTGACTTACGTTAGGGAAAGTAAAGGTGGCTGGCCACACTATCCCTTCATATGCCGGGGTCACAGAATCGGGTCAACTCTAATTGCGCCATGAACTGCCAGGTTCGAAAAGGGACGCCCTATCCTTAATGAGCAGTTGTCAATTTTACTACAAACTGAACGAGAATCTTCTTTGTTACATTAGCACGTTGTAGTCTGTTCTTGCCCCTACCCAGTGGCGTAGCGAGGTCGGGTGTAACCCGGTGCGGCACTTAATGGTGTCACCCCCCAGAGGCGTAGCGACCCTTCCCGGGGACAAACTTTCAAATTTTCGATTTGCACCCCCCCCCCCCTCAAACTTTCGATTTGCACCCCCCCCCCCATCAAGTTTTCCTCTATATATTTTTATATTTTTGCCTTGGTTTTCACCCCCCTAAATGGTGTCACCCGGTGCGGTCCGCACCCCCCACCCCCCCTCGCTACGCCCCTGCCCCTACCCCTGCAGTGGTGTCACCGGCACCCCCTACTCGTGCCACCAGTTACAACGATGTTTCCAGTTCTCTGGGTAAGTCTAAGCCCCGCCTCATAACGTGAACGACATGTGCAGCAGGTAACTACAGGACAATGGTACAACAAACCACGTGTGTTTCACGAAGTGGGATAACGAAACATCCGCATATTTCACCTGTCATTTTTACTTTCTCGTATATACGTAGTATAGAGAAAGTATTGTAATCGTGCAAAAAAAAAATCGAGATTTTTACAAATCTCGACGTTTTACACCTCACTGATACGGAAAAACATAATTTTGCAATCTTGTCCGTATGTCTGTGTGTGTGTGTGTCTGTCCGTGTGTGTGTCTGTGTGTAAACACGATAACTTGAGTACCGTTACAGCTAGGTTGATGAAATTTCATATATAAGTATTTTATCAAAATCGTAGATCCGTATCAACTTTTGAGCGATTTCCGATAACCGGAAGTGGTACTTTTCCTACTTTGAATTTTTCAAAAGCCTATAACTTGAGTACTATTTCAGATAGATAAATGAAATTTCACATGTAAGTAAAAGATCTAATTCTCTACCTTCTGTTAAATTTTGAGTAATTTCCGTTGACTGGAAGTAGTAATTTACGCTACTTCCGATTTCTCAAAAAACTAATGTAAATTTTTAAAGTACTAATAATATTGCGCACTATTATACGCGTTTTTATTCGGCGTTTGCTTGGTGCGCAATGTTTTTTTTATGAGATTCTATTCTATTTTTAAAAGTTTAAGTATTTACAATGGATTAAAAATCATAACTATATCCCCAGTTACCATCCCCTGTTGTTTTATATAAGAATATTCGAGAAAGTTTAGGGGAGATCACTACCGGTTTATTGTTATTTCTAAACGAAATGTAAAAAAAAATGAAGTAGCCTTTAGGTCTAGCTAGTTGTGATTTAACGCTGAGGGTTTTCTTTTTTTTTTTCTAAATAGACAATTAACATAGAAAAAAAGTTTGGTTTTATGTAAACACATATGTTTGTTTCAGTATAAAAAAACAATTTATGAATACAAGATTTTTTATTTTTAGTTGCAATACACTTTTAAACTTCAATATATTTTTTGTTTTTCTTATTAGTATATGCATTTTACTGTATTTTTTATTTTATTTTGAGTTTTGTTCCTCTGTTTTAAAAAAGAAAAGTAAGTTACGTCCCGTTGCAGCGGGGGAAGTAATGTTTACTGAAGCTAAATCAAATCGGAAGTTGATTCTATGCTCAGGTTTCCGCCATCTTGCACAAACACTTCAAAACACGTGCACTTAGATATCACTGCACGTCTAAGTCAACATTCACAAGTGTTGGCAGGGGGGGGGATAGAGAAAGAGAGAGAAAGAGAGAGAGAGAGAGAGAGAGAGAGAATGGTGCATTTTGTCATATCAGCAGGAATTCACAATTATTCTGTCTTACATAAGAATTCACCACAATGTTGTCTAATAAAAATAAAAACTCATGACTTTTATCTTTTATACAGAAAACGCCTGCACATTTCTATGCTTGCGTAGCCTCTTTGAATGTTGTTTTTGTGTGTTAAAACTGACATCTGACAACCTACTTGTACGTAATGATCTGAATTATAATTTTTTTTCAGACCCTCTAATCACTTTAGTGGGCGGTGGACGACCGGACCAGGGGCGTATTGAGATCTACCACAACGGACAGTGGGGGGCTCTCTGTCTCAAAAACCTCACCCACACTGAAGCAAACACCATCTGCCGCCATCTTGGTTTCACTGGCGGGATCTCGGCCGGGGCGGGGTTCTACGGCCCCGGGGGCGGGGTGGCCTGGGTGTTTAACGCCTCGTGTCTGGACAGTGCCGCAGCTTGCCCAGTGGTCACCCACACGGAGGAGACGCCGGCCTGTAGTCACGAGCTGGACGCAGCTGTCGTGTGTGGTAGGTCAACGGTGGGGTGGGGGTTCGTTTGGTTAGGGTTTAGTTGAACTAGGGTTTAGTTGAGTTAGGGTTTAGATGAGTTAAGGTTTAATTCAGTTAGGGTTTGGTTCAGTTAGGGTTCAGTTAGGGTTTAAATGAGTAAGGGTTTAGTTGAGTTAGGGCTTAGTTGAGTAAGGGTTTAGATGAGTTAGGGTTTAGATGAGTTAGGGTTTAGTTGAGTTAGGGTTTAGTTGAGTAAGGTTAGGCGTATTAGCGTTTAGTTTTTTAACACGTTTTTATTAACTCAGCTTCGCGTGTGTTTGTTGTTAAAATTGACATCGAAAATTAGCCCACTTCTGATTGCTCTATAGACCTGAAATTTGGCATGCATGCTACTTTCGCCTAACAATTTCAGATGCAATCATAAAAACTAGCAATTAGAGACCGTAATTAGCTTAATTTAATTACGCCCCAAGGACCATAAAATTGAGGACATGATTTCTAAAGATACCGACAAGACTGGAGGCTTATCGACACAGTTACTTCGGCCCCAATCGATGTGAGCGCGCTGGCCGTGATCGTATAGTGGTTAGTACTTCTCGTTGTGGCCGCGACAACCCAGGTTCGAATCCTGGTCGCTCAAGATTTTTTTAGTCCGTGTATTTATAAACACTTAGTCAATTCATACTTAATCAAGTCATTAGATAAAGTAGAAAATAAACTATATAAAAAACTTTTTTAAAAACCACGTTTTTCATGTGTAGCAACGGACAAAAAAGGAGAAAATAAAATACTTAAAAAAAACTTTTTAAAAAACCACGTTTTTCTTGTGGACTAAAAAGTAGAAAATAACTATTTACATACATTTGATGACAAAAAACGTGGGTCGGGCAGATGGGTCGGGAAATTTGATGGTGAACGTACCCACGTTTTTTGTCATCAAATGTATGTAAATAGTTATTTTCTACTTTTTAGTCCACAAGAAAAACGTGGTTTTTTAAAAAGTTTTTTTTAAGTATTTTATTAGTTTAGTTAGGGAAGGTTTATTGCTGTGGTTTGATTGAGTGTGTGATTACATGAGTAAGGCTTTTGTTCAGTTAGAAAAAGATATGACGAAGAGCAGTGGTTTAGATGAGTTAGGGTTTATTTTAGTTAGGAAAGACGTATGGCAGAGAGCAGCGGTGTCTCCACTATTTGTTACCTTAAAATGTGCGTGCATGTACGAGAATCGTCCCTAAATAACGATGGTAACATGTCTTTATCTGACGATAACTGGCGTCTCGTAAAAGTTCTTGGGTCTTTTTGTTTTGGAAATTTAACTTGAGCACGATCTAGTAAATGGTTCCCGTTACTTACCTAAAGTGCGCTTCCTTAACTTGTACTAACTGGCGTCTTTGCTTACTTCCTGATAAATATAAACAAAAGGGGACACTACTCTAACCATTCTTCCATGTCTTTAAACAACCTTTACTTTGATTATCTAGCACTTTGCGGAGGCGTTGACAGTGCTATGGGAGACGCCTCCTAAAAATAAGCTCTTAATGTTCCACAGAAATTTACAAGCTATATAGACCTAAATGTTAGTATACAACTATTTAAAAAATGTCTGATAATGGTCTAATTAATAACTTTAAATACGAGGTTAAAATACATTGCATGAAATTAGACGGAATAGTGGAGAAGCCAATAATTTGGAAGCCCCCAATGATGACTCACATTCTCCTCTCTACTACTATGCATGCCAACAGCATGCTAATTTAAAGTTGTGTCAATCGATGTGTTTTGCCAAAAAAAAGTTTTATGTAAACTTAAAGCAATTACTTCCCTTGATCTACAGACCACATGCTACGGGTAATCCCAGGCCAAGATAGCAAGGTTTCAAAGGCTGGGAGACTGGAGATTCACCATAGGGTAAGTCAGGGGTTATAAAGTCAGGGTTTCTGGGTACGTCAAGGCAAGTCAGGGTTTCTGGGTACGTCAATGGGAGTCAGGGTTTTTGGGTACGTCAAGGGGAGTCAGGGTTTTTGGTCTTTAAATAGGAAAGGTCAGTGTTTCTGGATGGATCAATTCAATTGTAAGTCAGGCTTAATTAGTGCTTAATTTCTGTGCCCAAAACATTTTTCTCCGTGGAGGAGGGGACTTGAAAAAATCGGGGGGGGGGGGGGTGTAAGAGTTGAGTGAAAGAAGCTCTGGTTGACATAAAAATTAACTCCGATATTTAAAGAGCGTAACCTACATTTCTTTGACATGTACAAGCATGACCTCCTCCCTCCCTCCCTCCACCAACACACACACACACACACACTTGTATAAAAATATCTGACTCACTATCCTAGTGAAGTCTTGACCATCCACCTTATATCACCAGCCCTACTTTAACATTATCCAGCAGGCCTTCTGAGCAGGAAGTTTAAAAATTATCAAGAATCAAATTCCTTCCGCGATAATTCACAGTTCACCGGGTGAAATATCCCTGACCCTGGGGATGCCACACCTGTTTGATTTAACGGTTAATGTGATGCTACCTGTGATTTACTTCAGGAGCTAGATTAGACTCGTGTTTCTGTGTAATTGGGTTAATTCATTTCTCATAGGTCTTAACACCAGGGGTGGACATGCACAGAGGCGGATAAAGAAGAAGGGTTGAGTGGGCTTCAGCAAGAGGCCCCTTAATTTTAAGGATACCAATTGTTTCAGTTATAAAAAAAATAGGCATTGTGATAGTGACAGTGGCCCCGTCAAAGCTTATTCTACTTTAGTGGTTATAGTAGCTTGGTAGGACGACATATATAATCTAATAAAGCTTTATTTTTTAGCTGGACATTTACAGATATAAGAATTGGCTATTTGTGTGCCCGCCCCCCCCCCCCCCCCCCCCCCCCCCATCCCCGAAAAAAAAATGAAATATGAATACAAGTATCAAATAAAGTCCACACACTTTTTTTTAATTACAAGTCCATTTATATTAATCCACTTGCCCAACATTTTACAACTGAAGACTTGAAGATCGCATTCAATCAGTGCCTTTCATCTAATTACAATTAACCCATCCGTCTCGCTAAGTAAACGAATTAAATGTCTGTTCCGCTAGGGGCTCTGGATTCCTGTGTGTGGGAACGGATGGAATGATATGGCAGCCCGGACTGCGTGTAGACAGATGGGCTACGCGGACGGCAAGGAGCTGGAGCTAGGCGAGTGGCGGGCGGGTAGCAACTCGACTTGGCTAGGGAGGACATTCTGTAAGGGCGAAGAGAAGCGGTTAGACGCATGTACTATTCAGAGCTGGGTGGACCCGTGCCCGGGGCTTGTGCCGGCGGGGGTCAAGTGTCTCTGACGTCAGTAGGTTGTAGCACTCGGCTATAGGTTGTATCATTAGCTCGTAGGTTTTATAGGAGTATCACTCGTGAGTAGGTTTATACAAGTATCATTGCCTTGTAGGTTTATATGAGTATCATTACCTTGTAGGTTTATGAGTATCATAGGAGTATCACTTGTGAGTAGGTTTATACAAGTATCATTACCTTGTAGGTTTAGAGTATCAATTAGGTTTTATAGGAGTATCACTTGTGAGTAGGTTTATACAAGTATCATTACCTTGTAGGTTTATGAGTATCATTAGCCTGTAGGATTTATGGGAGTATCATTTATCAAAGGTTTATAGGAGAATCAATTAGACTATGATAGGAGTATCCTTAGCTTGTAGGTTTTACAGAAGTATCATGTCTGTAGGTTTATACGAGTATCAATTCAGAATGTTATCAAAGCATCTTTAGCTTGCAGGTTTTATAGGTGTATCATTAGTCTGTAGGTTTATATGAGTATCAATTCAGTTTTGATTGTTATCAAAGCGTCCTTAGCTTGCAGGTTTTATTAGGACTATCACAAACCTGTAAACTAACCTCACTAGCCAGAAATTGTACAGGTTAAATAGTCTCATTAGCCAGTATCTGATCCCCTATACAAATAGTAATACCACTAGCATGTAAAAGTCTTACCAACGATTAATACCATACAGTAGTCAATAGGTTGTAATGGCTATCATTGGCCTTGGGTTTCAATTTGCTAGCTTAAAATTGTAGTCTTGCTAGCTGTTCACCTCTAGAGTCATGACTGAGTCAAGATGGAGACTTGTAACACAAATATAAGGTTTCTAGCCAATTAATAAAGCTTTTACAAAGCAATAGGTTTCAATAAGTTGATCATTTATTATGTGATCGTTAGTTATTGATAGGTTAGGTAAATTTAATCAGTTTAATACTACATCATAGCCTTACTAACATATTGATTTTACCATTTACAATATTCACATATTTTATTCCATATAAACTTAGCAGCTACAAAAAGATCCCTCCAACACACATAATTAAAGAATTAATTTGAAAATACTTGAGAAAAACATCCACAGATTTGTATTAATAAAAGGTGAAACAATGAACAAATATAATACAACCAGAATTGAATAAAACATTTCACCATTTAATACTCAAGCAATGAATGCATGTAAACACAAAACACTAGCATCTTGAGTTGGCTGTATATAATAACTATCCACATGTCTATGTACAAATGGTGTGTGTCCTGCAATTATTTATAAATATGTGTAGAGTGATGATCAGCCCTTTGTTGAATTTCTGAACTTTTTTTTTTTATCTCAGAGGTCCAAATGTTTTGCAATAGTTAATATACAACAAATAAAAAGCAACAAAAACACTATGTTCATCTTTTCTTTTTGTGAACTTTGGCCTTCATCCCCTTGGCTGCTCCACGTTTTGCACCTTTGACTAAATTCTTGAAAGACCCTTTCACCTTCATCTGTTTTCTGTTCATTGAGATAAGTTTATGTTAAATATCCACACACCAATAAGGGTTAAACAATATGGCTGCAGGTAGGGAATCATAAGATCTATAAGTAAAAATTGTTCTCAGAAAACACTATGGTAATCATAAAAAAATCTCTAACTCACCTTTTGTTTAGAGAACTTATATTCAAGGGAACATAGGCGTATGGATCTGGCATTCCCCTTTTCTTTATGTCACCTTGTGCTTTCTATAATTTAAATTAATATAATTAGTTATAAATACCAGTAATGCATTTAGTAAAAACATTAATGAGCTACAACAGACAGTTAAAATAAACGATGTCAGAGAATCCTAACAATGGTAACAAGGAGCAAAGATAACAAATCTAGGCATGGGATGATGGCCCATCCCACCCACCAAAGCTAGCCTAGAGCTTACCTTAGTTTTGTATTGCTGACCAAACTTTTGCAACAATTAACAATGTCAGAGAAGCCACAAGGAGCAAAGATAACATCCCACCCACCAAAGCTAGCCTAGAGCTTACCTTAGTTTTGTATTGCTGACCAAACTTTTGCAACAATTAACAATGTCAGAGAAACCACAAGGAGCAAAGATAACATCCCACCCACCAAAGCTAGCCTAGAGCTTACCTTAGTTTTGTATTGCTGACCAAACTTTTGCAACAATTAACAATGTCAGAGAAACCACAAAAAGCAAAGATAACATCCCACCCACCAAAGCTAGCCTAAAGCTTACCTTAGTTTTGTACTGCTGACCAAACTCTTTAACAATCCCAGAGAAGCCTGACAATAAGCATAAATAACATCACATCCCACCCACCAAAACTGGCCGCATGCTTACCTTAGCTTTGTACTGCTGGCCAAACTCTTGCTTTTCTTTTAGAGCTTTGTTGGCTTTGGCTATTGGTCTATGAATACCACTACCTCCAGCTGGAAAGAAAAATAAATCGAGTTAAATATGGCTTGTATAGTGGGAAGTTTGTTGACTACAAAGGTCTCTCTGATTAAACCTTTTAAATTTTAGTTAGTTATAATGTATAAAAAACAATTTTACTACAGATACATCTGGAATATTTTAAAGAAACCCGATATTAAAAAAATACCATGATATTTAGAGGAAGACGCTTCATTTTCATCATCATCGTCCCCTGCTGCTTCAGCATGTTTACGTTTCCTAGCTTTTGCCTGAGAACATTTAAGAAAACATTAAAATTAAAACAATTATTTAATTAGATTAGCAGTTGTAAGTTTTCATGAAATCAAGAGCTTACTTTCATTTCCCCACTGATGGCATTGAACAAATCTTCAAGCTCATCCTCATCAGAATCTGGCTTTGACTTGTTTCCCTTGGCTGGGTAAAAAAATAAGAGGACAATTGAAAAGCAGAGAATCAATTTTAAATGTTTAAATGTTGGTTTAAACATAAAAACCTAATTGTAGCAAAGTCAATGAAAGCACACCAAACGATAGAAAATATTTCAATATTCTAAGTTAAGTTCAACAAATTTAATTAACAACTCACTTTTCTTAACGTCTTGTTCTTCTTCATCTTGGGTGATGATAAGTCTTCCATCAGCTGTCATCTTAAACCCTCCATCTTTTGCTACAGCTTTCTCTCCTTTCTTGTTGGCATTAGGCCTGGTAGCTAAAGTAAAATATTCCTAGTTTTAAACCCACACTTTATCAACACCAAAAAAAACTAAAAAAAAACAAAAACAACACAAACTTACAAAATAAATAGGAACTACAACTATAATACAACACATGGTTCTGTGACAAAACTAATTGTCTAGTTTTAAGCAAATGCTATAATAAAATAGAAGTTGCTCTATTTAAATATAGTAAATGAAGAAAATTGAAAAGAGATTTTACCAATGACTTGTTTGGCTGCAGCTGGATCCATGAAATCAACAATTTCATCCTCCCCTGTTTCCATCAGCCAAGCACCTTTACCCTGCTTTGTCTTTCTAGTTTTCTTGGACAATTTGGGTACTTGGTCATCATCACCTTCATCCATATCAGAATCAGTGTCTCGTAACAGATCATCAATACTGTGACAGATATGATTCAAATAATTAGAACATATGAGATTGATATTCAATGTAGATGAGATACCTAGACATTCAACAGATGAGAAACAACTTCATTCAACAATTAAGATACACCTTCAAATTCAACAATTAAAATACACCTTCAAATTCAACAACTAAAATGCACCTTCACATCCAACAATTAAAATACATCTTCAAATCAAACAATTAAAATACACCTCAAAATTCAACAATTAAAAAATACACCTTCAAATTCAACAACTAAAATGCACCTTCACATTCAACAATTAAAATACACCTTCACATCCAACAATTAAAATACATCTTCAAATCCAACAATTAAATACACCTTCAAATTCAACAATTAAAATACACATTCACATTGAACAAGTGAGAAATACCAAAACATTTAACAGGAGAGACATACTTCCACATTGAAAAGTGAGACATACCTTTCAGGCTGGGTGGTAAATTTCTCTTCCTCTTCACTTTCATCACCTTCCTCATCATCAGAGCCCTCCTTACCATCCTTCTCTTTCTTTACTCTTTCATTTGATTTATGAATATTCTTTAGTAGCTTGTGAACATCAGATTTAGTCATACTTAATACCAGTTCATAACTGTTGAAAAAGGGTAAGATTAATAAAAATTAGGTTTATTGTCAATAGTGAGGGTTAACAAAATCTATAAGTAGAATAATATAAAAACCACCTACCCAAATTTTTTAACAAGTTTTGAATAGATTATTTTTGTCAGTCTTCTCATGTTTCCTTTCACTGCAATGCCATGCAATGAATTAAGCTGTGAACAAAGAACAAATAATGAACAGAATATTAGAAAAAAAATTATTTAACAAAAACTTGATTAAAATTAGATGGTTAACACATGCATTACATAATGTACAAAACAAATAGTAACATACCAAGTCTTTAAGATGAGATGCTAGTACTGTATTCTGATAGGCAGACAGTATAACTTTGATAAAACCAAGTGCAGTTTTAATAATCTCTCTAGTCTTTGATGCCAATAAAACAATTACAGTATCAATCATATTGTCCAGTACAGAGCCAATCAATTTCTCTATCAGATGTAAAAAAAGAAAAATAAGCATTTTAGTGGACAGCTAATTAAATAGTTACAATAATTTTTAACAATTGCTATTAGAAAAGCAATTGGTTACAATAAGATGACAAAATAATACTAATAAATAATATACAAGCTATGAAAATGTATCCATGTTTGAACATTTGAATTAGGGTAATCACTATAAACCAATTTTTCCACAATTTAATCAGATAATACAATTTTTAAAAACTAAAGGGAAGGATTTCATGAAACAAATAAAGTAAAAAGCTACAAGTAAAATAGAAAATTATTTCACCTACCTTTGTAATGATAAACAATGCGTGACAATGCAAGAAGAGCTGCACTAATCATGTGCGGAGTACCAGCAAGGGCAGCCAATATTTTTGTTATAACTGATCCTAAATTTTCTGAAAGAAAAGATTTTACACTAACTAAGACTTTTGTTATACTTAGTGTTAAAATTTTGTTTACAAAAAAAAAAAAAGCTATGCTTTTATACCATGAGCTAAAAATCAAATTAGAGGAAAATACCTTTTTCAGACACATTAGGGTGCCACTTAATATAAGTATCTGTCATTACAATCACTAAATCAAATGCTGCAGCTCTGGCTTTTGCTCCTATCTCTTTGGTACACAAAATGGCCTGTAAAATTATTGAAGTGATTTTTAACCTTTAAAACAATAAATGGTTCGGACTAGAAATGTTAGATATAGCCTGGTTAGTTCAATCGATTAATCGCTCATAACCTCATGGGTTGTTGAGGCAATACTGTTAATTTTGTCATCATTTTTTGCTGCTCAAAATAGTAATGCAACAGGTAGCCTAGTCCATTCCTAGTTGTCCTCTATTTAATGATGTTTTTGCCATCCAGCCTTCTCCCTCTGGATACTGTGCCTAGCATTTTTTTTTGGAAGGCCATTATGTTAGTAAAAAATTTAAAAAAAAAAAGTTATTGTTATACATACCTCAGGTAGAGTAGCCATAAAAAAATCTAAATTTGGGTGTTGTAAATTTTTGTATACATGCATCAGACATCTTAGACGTGGCTGTGGAAATTAAATCATTTTTTTTAGATGAAAATTGTTTTAAAATTTTTATAGCAAGGAACAAACCAATACTCTTTTTCTATTGGATTGCTAGTTTAAGAAAATACTGGAGACATGCTAAAAAATATTTTTTTTTTACTTTTATGGTAGCTTATTAAAACTTAAGTAATGAAATTGATTTAAACCAAATGCTCACAGCTTTTGAAGATGGACTAGATCTTGATAAAGACTGCAGAAGTGTGTCACTAATCACAGAAAGATTTGTTGATAGTAGTTCATTAGAAATACTTGTTATGCCACTGCAAATTTCTTCTAAAATGCGATACGACTTTTTCTGTATAGTGCGATTCTCAGACTGATGAAAAATATATCAATGATTTAATGTTTTAATATTTCATTGAAACTTTTTCTAAATTAAAAATAAATGTATCAAGATATCCAATTAAAATGTAAGCAGTATTTTGTTTTAATGTTTAAAACTGAGCAACCTTATCTACTGTCAGACATTAAAAAAACTTTGAATATGCAACAAGACAGTTTTCTGGTTTTTGATATCTTTTTAAATGCAAATTTGAATATATATCTTAAAATGTAAAAAGAAAAAATGTACCTGTAGTCTATCCAAAGCAAGTTGGAACAAACACCTCAGTCGTGGTGAATCAGCATATGGTATCATAGCAATAGCAAGGTCTAACAGAGCAATGCTAAAATAAAAAATATACAAACAATTATAAGATGAACCATTTATTTTAACTCAGTGTGCACCAAATTCAATTAGACTTACTTTCTGAAACCTGCAGCATCCAGTTGCCCAATTTTTTCTAGGCACTTGTCCATGAAAGTATAAATAAGCTACAAAAAAAAAAAAAAATTCAAAATAAGAGTCAAAAGTTAAATATTTATAAGATGAAACAGTTTTTAAACCTACGTATAGTTATTTTATTTCACAACAAAACAAGTCTATTTACCCGAGAAGAGACAATTACTTACCTCTTTATCAGAAACTAATAAATACTTCTTTATGGTTTCACAACAAAACAAGTCTATTTACCAGAGAAGAGACAATTACTTACCTCTTTATCAGAAACTAATAAATACTTCTTTATGGTTTCTAAAACGGCTAGACGAGTTCCATCAGAAATAACTCCTTCACCAGTGAACAGATTAAATAAAATTGGCAAAAAGTTTTTAGCAAACTTGCCAACTTCTGCTTTGTCAGCTTCTGCATTGAAAAGTAAATCATTTATAACAGAATCTGATATTTAGGGATACATAAGTTCAAGCATAAAACACCTACTTTTAAATGAGTGACGATAGTCAAATAAAGCAGACTTTTAGAAAACCAATTCAGTCAAACTGATAAAGAAATAGTAAAACTTACCATTGTCTAAGCTACAGCTAATGAGGGATCTCAGAGAAGCCATTACATCCATCTTCAGGTCTTCTTTGTCATTCAATGCTGTGCCCAAAATTTTGGCCACTTTTTGGAAACTCTGGAAATTGAAGTTTTGATTTTTTTAAAATTTGAAACGAGTGAATAAAAAAACTGAGTTTTTTGGTGATGAAGATAAAATACATACTTGTTTTAGATCCACAGGATGATCACAGAATCCCTTCAGCATTGACCAAACTTGTAGATTTAAGGCTTCATAAGCTTTGGATTCTGCAACTCTCTGCTCTCTAGAGAACTCTTCAGCTAGAATAAAAAGTATCAAATTGTTAATTGATCAATTAATAGATTGACTAGGGACTTGTAGTTTCAATAAATTTATTTTACCTATACATAATTAAAGTATTGAAATACATGTTTAAGTGAAAACGTCATCAAGACTGGTTTAAACATTTATCATCAATTACCTTTAGTTTTGAATTTGGCAGCTAATGGTAAAAAATATGAAGCAAAGAAGCCCAACTCTGTATGACCAACATTATCTCTAATTAGGGGCAAAAGCCAGCCTCGCGGAAACTCCAGGTTGTCACTAGTGGAAAAAATTTTAATATCTCAATTGTTGCAAAATAGACAAGAACAAAAACAATGAGGAAAATTGCCTATTAAACTGAAAATTAAAGCCTATTTGTAATTCTTCTTTACAGTGAAATTTGACCCTTAACATCTAACTTATACCTAAGCAACTCTGTTTTCAAACTCAAAGACAAACAGTTGTTTACTCTACTACATAGCCACTATACCAATAAGCACTAATGAATAGGTGCAATTAAATGAAATCTTACTTTTCTCCAGTAATCCTTAATGGAATAGCATCCAATACCATACGAGGTCCCATTGATTTTATTGCACAGCCAATAGCATGATCCATTTCTCCTTTAAAGGAAAAGTGTGGAGTATCTCTTAGATCTCCCATTGACGTTAAACACTAAGACAAAGCAAAGAAACATTACAAATTGAATGTCATTATTGCCATTATGGGGCTTAGCTTAAATTCAAAAGTAGTATTTTTAAAATTATTTTATGTTAATATTTTTTAAATTATTTTATATTGCCCTGTAATGTAAATTCACAACAACAAAAAAGAATTTTCTAAATAAAAAAAAAAAAAGAATTTTTCTTGGTAGTGCTTTACCTTAAGTAGCATCTTTGGAACTATTTTCCCAAGTACCTGGATAATAAAAAATTATATTTAAGTTGCAACATTGATGCAAGTTGATTATTAAAATCAAGAATATGAACTATATATGACTATAAATTAACCTTCACCCTGGTTTACTATGTTTTAAACATTGTTAGAGCTTATTTTAAAAATTGATTCAGTTCCGATTAAAATAGTTCCTACTTACCAAAAATGCAGTTGACCATAACTGAAAAACTAATGACCACATGGAATGAAACTGGTAACTCAGTCCAGTTTCCAAGGTTTTAACAACCTTCTGTAGAGCTGTGAATGTTGTGTTATTAGAAGCCTCATTAACAAGTTTATCTTTGGAGACATCAAGACACTGTTGGAGCAGAGCCTACACGAAAAATAATATGACGTTAGTTGAGTGCAATGCAATTGAAGCTATAAATTACACCACAACTAAACTTCTAGCTTTGTTGTTAAGTGCTGTGGGGTAGAAGGATGGAGAAAGCTTTACCTGCATAGTGCTGACTGCAGCTTTACTGACATCCTGACGATCAGATAGTAGACAGGTCATGCAAGTGGAAAATAAACGAGGAAGATGACTCACTGCCAAATCAACATCCTGGCTGATAAAGAGAAAGATTATAATTATATAGCAGCATATTAACAGTGGTTTGGTGTGGTCATGTATAGATTATTAACACCAAGACTTGATCTAGGTGATCAGCTTTTCAGTATGAAGATGACCAAATAGGTACCTATCTACAGTCAGTTGTTTTTATGATATTTTATGGCTAGAGTTTCATTTATTGTTTGGGATGTGGACATACCAGGCTAAGTTTATTGTGGAAGCTTCCATAACTCTTAACCAAGCAAGCATTGGTTGTCCATCTTTCTCTGATGGCTGATAGTCGTATAAAGCCTGTATTGAAAAAGTAATGTAAATTTGGTTAAAATAAGTTAATAAAATAAAAAAATACACAAATAAAATAATCAAATGTATTGACAATAAATTGAGGATAAACTCACTGTAAGAATCTGAGCGTTAATCTCTGCTGGAACTCTCTGACTATTTGGTTTAGAAGAAAATAATTTGTACAACACTTCCATGCAAGAGGACTGTACGACCTGTAACAAGTAATCAGGGATGAGTTTTTCATTTTAAGTGTACAGTTTGAGATTAGTTCAGACAATCTTTTTTTATTATGCAAAACGTGTGGGCTTTGTTAAAAACTTAGGATAAAATAAAATAGAAAACCCTCAAACAAATTTCCTAGGTTAGCTATCAAATATCATGTCTTACCAGATCTATTAGCCTCATTAACCTGAGAATGATTTCACACAAAGATTTCACATTTGATGCAGGGAACAAGCAAAGAACATCTTTCAGCAAATATAGAATATGTAGCACTTCTACTTTATTAGATTGCCCTATTAAAACAATAAAGTTTTATTAGTATAAAATATATAAAAATGTTTTTTTTATTAAAAACTATATTTTGAAAAAGGCTACTGATGAATACCTTTGTATGATTCTATTTGCTTTTCACAAAACTGAGCAGTAAGTCTAGCAGCTGGATGAAAAGGTGGTGAAGGTGTTTGTAGCATAAAAAGACTGCCCCTTAAAACAATTTTTACTGCTGTATGAGCAGCTTTCCGCAACTGGAATATCAACAGCAAATTAAAGATATAGCAATATTAAATTGATAGGCTATCTGATATTTGAAAACTTAACTTTTTAAAAATAATCAGCAATTAAATTAAATTTCTAACACATGATAGTAATACCACTGTTATAAACTCTACCTTAGGCTTTTTGTGTGTAATAAATGCCAGCATAGCATTAAATGCCCGTTCTGTATACTTTTCCAACCATGTATTTATGTCCTGAACTCTTAACAGACTTGCCAGACTTAAAAGAATCTGAAAACAATTTTTAAACAAAATTTTGTCATGTATTCATTTAAGTATTATACTGGCTGATAGCTGCTCATTACAAATGTTTTATAATTAAGAGATGAATTTAATCAACTTACAGGTTTGATGGGTGATATTGTCTGCTGTTTTACACACTCAGTAAGCACATCATATAAAGTTTTTTCAACTTGGGAAAATTGTTTTTGTAGAACAGACACTGGAACCCTTAGAATTACAATGTTTTGGACAAAATTAACAATGTTATCTAACTTTAATATAAAAAAAGAAATATCAAATCAAAAATAATTTGTAACTACCTTTTAATCACAATACTCAACAGATGTGCCATGGCCATTTTCTCTTCTGGTCTGTCTGCATTTTCCAGGCCAGTTACCTGTTTAGTGAACAAAAGTTAATCTTTAAAATGTGTAATATGGAAAAATGCTAGAATAAAATAATCCATCTAATAAAATCCTACCAAAGTTCCAAAATACTGCAAGTCTTTTCCTTCTCCACCATTTTCTTTGATTACTTCTGTAACAGCAGCTAAGACTGCTAAAATCTATGAATAACAATAAAATAAGGTAAAAATATATTGGTGTTTAAAAACATGACAGACACTGATATCTAAACCAAATCATTTTAAACTAAAAGTTACGTAACAAGGCATACACAATCATTCAATTAGGGTAATCTTTTTTGTGTTTGTGGAATTTTTAACAAAAAACATTTGAATTTAATTACTGTACAATTGCTAAGCAGTTTACTAGTTTTTAACCCTTACATTTATAACTAGTGACAGGGCATAGCATATTGTCACAACAGTTACCTTAAGTAGCATCTTTGGAACTAATATTACCTGCTATTGCTATACTATAAACAAGCATCTAAAGAATGTGTTATTGTTGCTTTTGGAGTTGAGAATAAATAATGCACAAGATTGTTATGTCATATTTCTGAGTAGATTTTACAATTTATGGGAATTAAAGTATTAGTAAATTATTGTATTCTCAATGCAAAATACATTATGGTTCCTCAACTTTCAGTTGAAATTATTTACCTCTTTCTGCACTGAAGAATTTGAGTTGATATATCTGTGAATTCCTCTAAAGGTTGCATTTGTACACCCAGTTAAATTTGTAGCCCATGTATTGAAAGTTGTACCCCCCACTGTGGCGGAATCATCCTGCATTGAAGCTTCTGTAAACCCTCCAACAGATTCATTGTGTTTCTCTAGTGCCTCTAAGGTTAATACGCCTTTAAATCCTGAGAGAAGAAAGAATTATCTATTTACCAAGATTATCTAAAAACATTTAAAAACTATACATAAAAATGGAATCAGGGTATCTTCATTTTCGGTAGCCATCATTACAATGACGATGATTTTAAAAAGTAGGTGAAGCGACAAGTTATGTAACATTTAAACATAATAGCCATTTAATAGGCTACAAAACATTTTTTTCAAAAAGCTAGAATTATTTTTATAGGCTAATAAAAATTTGTGTCAATTAAGAGGTAGGTCAAAATAAATGTAGTTTTCAGTTAAGTTGTCTTAAATCTTAGACAACAACCTACAATGCAGACTATACAATTAGGCCTACTTATTGCTACTTTGTATCAGTGTCGCAATGCAGAATCATTAGTCCTCAAAATTTGGGTGCAGTGAATTTTTCGCAGATATCTGCTCAATTTATCCACACCAAACCTAATTAACGGTTGAGAGGTAAATAAAAATGCGAGACAAAAGTGTCAAGTGAGAGTTTTCACACCCTCCTCACATTCATTTAGTAGTCGATCTCCTTACCAAAACCGGAAGTCAGAACCTGACCCTGAAACGTCATGCTCTTTTAGTTTTCGCATTTTAAGTGTTTTTGGGGGGTCCTATATACAAAAAATGAAAAAACTGCTAATCTAGCAATATCTCATCACTATTTTAATGCGAAATGCTAAGGAAATGGATACTATGGCTTAAATGCCAGAAACATTTGCGAGATATGTAGTAATAATTAAGACAAGCATTTCTTATGGAGCACTCTCATTAGGAACTGAACTGCAACGAAAAACGACCGACCACCGGGCATCAGCGCTCGACAGCTCCTAGATAAATATATATTTGAGATATTTACCATGATTAATTACAATGATGCTGCTTTCCTTCTTCCAAAATCCAATTCCCCATAGAAATACCATGCCGCTGCTATTTTTAGCAACGTTACGCCATTGTTACGCTAGTTGTCAGATAGAAACAACTAATTTTTGTTTTTTGCGGAATGCACTGTTAAGTCTAGTATTTTAATTATAATTCAGTTTTAGCATGTGCAGAAATTGTGGGCATTATTATTGTATTAAAGTATTAGTAATTTTATAAGTATATTGATTTTTTTTCTTCACTGCAAGCCAAGTAGGCCGACTGCACTGTTAGTTTCATTGAACATAATTCGTGACCGGTCATTAACCTTGTTAATATTAATACTTCGTGGCCTACCCGACTGTATAATTTATATGAAATTATATGTAGTTTTTAATTAGGCCTTAGTATTGTATTTTAAACAATGCTCATTCCGAGCCTTTTTGTGCTAGATCTAATTAGGCCTACTGGCAATTTATTTTTATTTTTAGACTTGGTCAACCTCGTTAATGCTGTTGAAAAATATAGGAATTGTGTGTAAAATTTACGCAGTTACTCAGTTACTACGTAGATCTAGAATGATATCAATAAATGAAGTAGTAATTATTTCCTTTTAGTTTTAGCAATCTTTTGATACAAAATGTCTAATATTTTATTTTCCAATACATCGTGGTGTGTGGCAGAGTAAACAGAACGGTGCGGTAGGTGACCTAGAATCTCCGAGTTCGAATCCGACGTAAATCAGTTGTGCTTTATTTTATTGTTTCACATGGGAAATGCCACGAGCGGTTTTATTTTCTTTCTTTTTCAAAAAAAATTTTTTTGAACGAAATAATATTTTATAAAATAATTATTCAAAATTTTCCAAACATCGTCGCTCGCATCGCTCGCGAGATCAACTGCTTACATTTTCTTGTCTGCGGGAGAAAAATGTTGACACGGTCGAGGGTTCACCGTGAGTTCAGCAGGCCTACCATACATACGTCACAGCATTAACTATTGCTGTTATAGATCGTCGGTGGGCAATCCCACCCCTCCCCTCATAAACCAAGCAAATTGTAAATCAACTTAGGGTCATTTTAAGTTCACGCAAGCTTACAGGACTGTAGATTTACTACGCATAGCTGGTAAAAAAAAAAAAAAGAAAACTTCGCCTAACCTAATGCTACTACAGAAGGGAATATTAATTATAGAGTATTTAATTTTAAAGTTAAAAAAAGTTCATTTATCATCTTACCTAATAATACTGTATTGTCGTTACAGTTAGAAGGACTAGATCTAGATCTCTGTCAGATCTATTTTTAGTTTTGGATATTAATTTTATTGTCATCTTCAAGGGTATTGATTGTTCAATTCATCATGGAATGCCTAATGTCTTAAATTGTACATTGTACATAGAATTTATAACAAATATGTCTGATATTTCCTTAATAAACATAATGAATATAAAGTTTTATTTCTAACAAAATGTTTTGGTTTTTTTTGGTAACTAAAATACCCAATGTTGTCGTAATTGCTATGACATCATGCTACGAATGGAAAACACAAACCAACGTAACTTTTGATGGCGAAAAAGAGTTTCGCATTTTAAGATGTTAATAGGTCATTTTATTTTTGTTTGTTTTCTCGGCCCCTAATTAAGCTAGACCATTAAATTTGGTCTCAAATTAACCAGTAAGTGATATGGTTTGTAATGATATATGATAAGTGACAGAAAATTTTAATTAAAAAATTGTAATAAGACAACCTATCATTTAGAGTTTAGAGATTTTATCGCCTCAACATAATGTTGCATATTAAGGGGATATGCTATGTTTTTTCCTATTTTTTACAATCTAATATCTAAAGCATTTTGAATACTTTTATCATGTTTGGCATATAAAAGTAAGTACTAAACAGCTAAAAAAGGGTTGAAAACAATTTTGGTTGTCATGGAAACCCGAAAAAACCTCCGCCATTTTGAATTTTTTGGTACTTTTAAAAATGCTAAGGCTTTTTTATTTATGCACCTAGAGCAATCAAATTTAAACTGCTTATATTTCAGGATATATTAAAACTTTTGTCACGAAAACTTTTTGAAATAGCTATTAGTAAGAATTTTACAAAGTCTACAAAATCGTACCATTTTTAGTGTTCAAAATTTCCAAAATTTGCATATTAATTACCAAATACTTTTTTTCTATGTAAGCCATCACAATTCCCTCGTGACAAAAGTTGTATTTTTGCACGAAGAACAAATACTGAAAATATAGTTGCGATTGTTTAATAAATAAAAAAGTAGTAGGCTTTATAGTAGTTTTTCTTACTATTTGTGAAATCTACTTAATTCTCAATTTAAACATGACAACTGAATAAAAAACGTCCATACTTTATCCTCTAGGCACTAAATTTGGGGGTTGTAGCGAGTTTAGACTAAATTATTGAATTTTAAATTTATTTGTCACTCACAGCTATGATATGACGGATCATCCATGACAACCTGGTTAAAAGTTGAAAGGTTTAACTTTTTAAGTGACCGTGAAATAGATCTAATTTTTTTTCACAAGAGAGTTCCTAAAAGTAGAATTGGCCCGTCTATCGTCGGGTAATATTTTTAGAGGAAAAAAATTTAAGAGAATGTCATCAGAAAAGAATTAAAAAAAAGACAAGACAGAAGTGATTTTTGAATTCTTTTATTTCTTTAATTTTATGACATTTTTTATTGTACAAAAGAGCAAAAAAAAAACCATGCCAGGTAAACGTATCCATTCAAATAGCGGTCACGTGGTCAAAAAAAATAAAAAAAATTTGGTTGTCATTTCTCGGTCGATCTTATAAAAAAAACGGTTGAAGATATTTGATTTATTTTTTCATAGAATGATAAAACTAATAATGCTTTACTGTGGAAATCAATTTTGTGATATGGAAATCTATATTTAAAAAGTTATATTATTTTGAATGACACCGACTTTAAATTTAGCCAACATCCCCCAAAGCAATTTTTGAAAATGCTTTTCTGGCATATTTAGCCTTGCCACCTATAGCATGTTTTTATAACGTGAAAACCCGCCATTTTACTCGTGATAAACATTTTTAAAAGTAATTCTAAGAAGGTCTCTGGAACTAAGTCGAAAAACTCGCCGGAAGTCATGGTCCGATCCTTACGCCATGTTCTGGTTAGCAACCAAGGACGCTTTTAAGTTAGTGAGCCTCCCTACTTTATAGTGTTAAAAACATTCGAACTGAGAAAAACAGACAAAAGTAACGAAAAGTAGGTCACGAAAAAATACCATATCTGGATAAACTGCAAAGCCGATTGTAAGCTTTGGGTGTTTCCGAGATGATGGAAATTAAGATTATCAAACAAAGGAGAAATCCAGCTTTCCAATGATGCCAAATACAATATGATGAGGGATATAAAACTTTTCATAGAGAGCGTGTAAGATTGGAAAAAATTGATTATTTTTAATTAACAGGATCATAAAAATGGTAATTTAAACACCTAAAAAAAAAATTTTCTCTTTAAAGTTATTATTTTCCTAATACTAAAATGGACAAAGTATGCAAAAGTGCAAGAAACCTATCATGACGAAAAACAAGAAATTTTGTGGTTTTTTGTCGCGCATATCCCCTTAATTTACAATTATTATTACCAAGAACCGAGACATTTTAGATTTATACTGTCGATTAGACATCGAATCTAGATAGCAGGATCTAGAGAAAAAAACTAACCATGAGAGGCAGTTAAGGGTGCAGTGACTTTTCCAGTATTGAGAGGAAGAAGGTGCCTGTGGTGTGCTGCTCGTTTGGCAGCTTCTCTAAATTTTTTAGTCGCTGGATTACTTGAAGAACTTTTAGGCAATTTTTTTTTCTTATTTTTAGACATAAACTTTCCAGGCTTTTTCTGTGTATTTTCCTTAACCTTCATTTTAGTTTATAGATCTTGATAATTAACACAAGCATAGATTAGACCTATATGTAAACAATATTATATACACGTGCGAACACGGAGCATGTTTTGTTAATAATGGCCAGGTAACTGCGACTATATTTATGGTTGAAAAGTATTTTAAATAGTATTTTATTAAACGAGACTATATCTTATCTAGATCTATTTCCAGATACCTAAACAAAATAATATTTCTGTATTACTCTAACAGCTATTACTAATAATTCGATTTATTTTATTAAAATATCGGAATTAAAAAATTGTGAGTAACTATACAATAAAATATAATTATAAATGTTGGCTTGTATATGTGAAGTCAATTTATGTGCTTATAAGTCTGAAGCTCCAACAATTACAATAGAACAATATGTACTTAATGATAAAAAATTTACATTTAAACTAAGTTAACGATTTCGTTTGATTTAGAGAATATATTTACAAAGATCATTGATTTGTTAAGAGCAGTAATTTTAAATTAATAAGTCCAATTCGAAATTCTGTTCATTCTGGCATACAGCTGAGACAGCTTGTATTACAACTTCTAAACTGAAGATCATAGAAGTTTGCTTTGCAATATCGAAAGTTGCCCGTTTTCCTACTAGTTTACAATACATTAGGCAAATATAGATCTACCAGTATACACGTAGATCTCCTTGAGTAGTTAGCAACGATGGATCACAATAGCTATCATCCATTATCTGTTTCTTCTATGAAAAATAACTTTAGATCTTGGAAAAACAGCAGACCAGATTTTGAAGTTGAAATAGCTCTAAGAATAGCAGTTTACATATTATTTTTGTAAGAAGAGTTGTTGAAAACAACTTGTTTTTAATTTTAATAGTATTTATTTTTGGTAATCTATTCTATCGTTTTGGGTACGTAAAATCGCCCGCGACTAGTAATGTGAAAAACAGGTGACTCCTTAAATTTTAATAATTATTTCACATTTTGAGGAGGATTTGTGTTTTAAAAAATACAAAAATGTTTCTTTGTTTCATTTATGTACCTGTTTTTAAACAATTGAATTAAAACTTTTCAGTAATAAATGAAGACTAGCGATGTTTCCAACAGATGCAACCATGCTCATTTACTAATTTATAGCAGCCATCTTGTTTAAGTTTTTTTTTATAGCGGATATAGCGCGAGACAGGGGGAAGCCACTCTATTTTACAAATGGCTGCTGTTTATATAGCAAATCTTGCTCGCAAACACTGCTGTTTAAAGTTAATTTCTGGCATATATTGATATAGATCTATTTAGCCATTGATTTAGGTTTATTATTCATTTATCTATAATATTTGACACAAATATATCACAATATACTTCTACTAACTAAAGCCTTGACAATGAGGTAACTTTTTCGTACATTAATAGCCGCGGGCGATTTTACGTACCCAAAACGATAGATTACCTTATTTTTTAATAGTTATTGTGAGTTTGCTCTGTTCTGTACTCTACTCATCTGTAGTACTAGTAGCCTACTCAGTGTGCACAACTGTAGTTCTGTAGTACCTCTGTACAATATACTATTCACTATATACTATACTTTATAATTTCCAATTGTTAGTCATAAGTCAACTAGGGTTAATGTACAGTTGTTAAGTAAGTAAAGTTACAGTTAGTCTTCACTTTTCTTTTAGTGTTGTTACTCAGTTGCTGCATGTTATTGTTACTAAGTAGTGTAGTGGCTTACAGTTATTACAATAGAGTAAGTCTTAACAGCAGAGTTTCTTCCAGGCATCTCTTTGAAAAAAATCTACCGCCCCCGAACGAAATGAAATTTATATAATTTATATAGAAAATATATACTTTTAACAGTGTCCACCCCCCCCCCCCCCCCTGAAGAAAGTCTACTGCCCCCCCCCCCCCCCCCCCGGACAAAAAAGTCTGGAAGAAACACTGCTTAACAGAGTTTTAAATTTAAATTAGACTTAGGGTTTGTCCATAAATGACAACACGCTTTTTTGGATGGTTTTTACCTCCACCCCCCCTCCTCTCCGTCACACATCGTAACAAAAAAGCCAGACCCCCCCCCCCCTAAAATGAAGTCACACCTCAGCCCACAACCCCCCCCCCCCCCCTTAAAATTGCAGTAGAATTTTTTTTTAAACATCGATATTTTTCCAAAATCTTCTAAAACGCTAAATACCGTCTAAAATTCGTTTTCTAACATTGCTTTTTTATAATGCAAAAGTGTGATGTCGCACCATCTGAACACCCCTCCCCTCTTCACACCATCACAAAATTACGGACCCCTCCTTCCCCCTACGAGTGTGACGTCATTTATGGATGACCCCTAAGGCTACTCTTTGTCCTTTGACATCTAACAAACAGAAGAAAATCTTCGGCTCAGAAGAAAATGAGTATGTAGAATAAAGATTAAGAAGTATCTAATTGGATATGCTGATATATCAGGGCTAATATCTATATCATAGTATAATTATATAGTTACCCATTATTAATATAGTAGGCTAATAATATAGTAGGATAATAATAGAAACGAATCTAAAAGATAATATGATATTGTATTGTTTGTTAGTAATTACTCTAATTAGGTTAGGGATTAGTAGTATATACATTAGTGCCATAGCCTATTCCCGGAGGTAGCCTCTGAGTTCAATGTTTATGTATAGAATTTCCCTCAATGATTGATTCATTTTATTATTTTCTAAAACCATTCTTTTTATAAAACTATTTTACAACTTATCTGGAAACCCTTTGTCCTATTTTAAAATATCATGGAACATGGTGCTATAATTTTAATTTATCAATATTGTACTGAAACTTAAATTATGTAGTTTATATATTTTTTGTAGAATTACAGACAAAGCACAGGCTAATCGGAGAATCATTCAACCTGAAGAAGCATGGTTATATAAATATCCTCAAACTGCCAGTTATGTTGAATTTAGTACACTTCAAGTAAGTATGTTACAACCCAGACTGGTTATATTAGCAAATTATTACACACATAGGTATAGGCAGTGGTTTGTTAGGTAGGGCATGGACGACCCCTCCCCCCTTCCCTTTCACCCATTCAAAACTTTGAAGGTCATAAATAAGAGTTTTAAGGAAATCCACCTTCTTCCTGTTGAGAAAGTTATCAGCCGATCTATTTTTTGTATTATGCCCAAAATTTTTTAGAAAAAGCAAACTCATTTGAAGGACTATTTTCTGTATGAAATAAAAATATGCAGAAACATATATGTAGTTCTCATTATATAACTTACTTAACTTTAAGGACACTTTTTCTATATCATGTATTTCTTCAATAACCCTCCACCCCCTCGTTCCTGGCAACGCCAGTTGGCTATAGACCCTATAGAAAAATTAAAACCATTTGTTTTCTGTGAATTAGAATTTTATTTTACTGAACTAAAATTTCATGTTAAAATTCCATAGATAAAAGGTTTGACAAGTTAAATAAAGGCTTAATTAAATATGCAATCACACATTATTATTAAAAAATCCTTCTACTTAAACCTAAACTTTTTTATTTAAAAAAATTGTAAATTAAGTCTTTAAAGTTTTCTTTTCAAACATGAACCATACAAAGATCTTTGATGAAGATAAGTATTATCTCCTTTTAGGCTCTAACTCTAATATAGTCTTCTATATTGTAAATACCACACTAGTTAGAGATAGCATTTACATTTATTTTTGTTCCTTTTAAATTTTGAATTCTCAATTTTTATTTAGCATTTATTTATAGCTATATATTTATTTAATTCTATTTTTAAATAATTTTCAGATTTCAAACGTGATTTTGTCAATTATTGTAATTGGTTCTCTGTATAAATACAACAGGAATATCAGTCATGCACTTAATGCAGCCCTTGGTAATTAATTATGATTTGTAGTGTATTTAAATCTTTTAATTAGGTTTAATTTATTGTTGAATTAAACATTTGATCTGTATTTCATTTTCTTTTGTAGGTGTCAGTTTGTCAACATATTTTTCTTTGGTTATCACAAACCTAATAAAGATCACAGTAGGAAGGTAAGTACAAGTTTAGTTAAAACCTAACAGGACAAAATAAATAATGTCTTTAAAATATGTATAACAAACTGAGCACTGTAAAGATATAAAACCTTTTAGGCCTCGTCCTGATTTCTTTTCACGATGCTTTAAAGATCCACCAACAGACGTTAACGTTTTAGCCCAGGCCCTGTGTGATCAAAATGAAGATTCAGTTAACCAAGGCTACAAGAGCTTTCCTAGTGGTCATTCCACAAGTGAGTTGCTTGAACAATGTTTCTTAGTAAAAATTGTTATTCCTGACTGCTTACTTAATAAGTAATACTTCATTTTTATGCTGGAAACTTTATACTGAAAGGTCAATGCATTTTTATTTTACATTTCAGTTGCATTTGGATGCATGGCATATCTCTCATTATATATAGCAAGCAGCCTTAGAGTTTTTAACTATCCCAAGGGGCATTTTCCATGTCTACGATTAAGTGCATTTATTGCTCCTCTACTGTGTGCCACACTGGTAGCAGCTTCTAGAACCTGTGACTATCACCACCACTGGCAAGGTAATTTTATGTTTTAATTGAGGTTTACAATAGTTTAAAGTTCCTACACAACCTTTTATAAAAATGTTTTAAACAATACTTGTATCTTATTGTGATACATTTGTAGGGATGAAATACTTTCATTCACGACTCAAATAGACAAGTGGCACCAATCTATTGTTTGTACTTTTCAGATGTTTTAGTTGGGTCTTTGATTGGGCTGACTGTTGCTTACATGAGCTTCCGCCAAAGCTTCCGTGGGCTTACAGAACCAAGATCTGATTTAATACACCCACTCTCACCTTTGCCAGACTCGTCATCACCACCACTGGCGACTGTAGAAAGTCACTCTTCAATGTAAAGCTGATCTGGAAATTGTTTTGAAGTTTAAAGAAACCGCATAGTCAACATGTATCACTAGAGTGCACTGATATCTGTTTTTTGACATGTTAGTGTACATGGTTTTACCCTTTTAAAACAACATTAATTTTTATTTAACAGGTATTGTAGGGTAATGCATGTTGCATGCAGATTATGTGCGTGATCTTAAAGATTATCAAAACATATGGTTGTGTAATGAGACAGATTTTTATAATGATTGTCTAAACAAGAAAAGTATATTTTTAAATAGTTTAAATATAATGATAATTTTTGTTCTAATTTTTACCCAATATGTAGATGGAGATTATCAATTTGCTAATTTAATGATAACTGAATGAATTACTTGTCAAATGGTTTTCTTTAAAGTTCAATTTTATATAATGTTTTATTTACACTGATTATCACAGATTCATTTTAGAATATCTTCATTCACAAAATCTAAAATTCTACATATCTATATCATCATTTGATGATGATTTTAAAAATATTCTGCTCAAAAAACTTTTTTATTCTGTTTCAAGTTTATATACAAATGACACAAAATATGTATTCTCTTTTTACCACTTACTAATACATGTTATTATGGTAGTAATATTTGTTTTTCTTTTTAGTATTTCAGTCTAATTTGGAAAAGTTGTGTCCAAATTAAATATTCAATGTCAAAACATGTTATGATACAACTCCTCAGTCAGTTATATATCTCTTGGTACCTCTTCTCTTGGGTTCTTACAAGCACAAAGTTTCAACTCGTAAATATTAAAATATAAAATCTGAATATTTATTTCTTGGTTAAGTAAGATGACTCATGACCAATGCCAACTAGCCAATACAGGCAACAAAGTCCATTGAACTTGTAGAACTCTCAATAACTGTTAATACATAAGTGGGACATAACTTCTGTCTATTTATTTCTAAGTACTTCGTATTACTTCTTAAACCTGAATTTGTATTTGATTGTGTGATATTGACATTTTTTCTGGCATTTTTCATCTTCCTAGTCAGTGAAAGACATGTACAAGTCTACACAATTTATTTCCCTGGGATAACATGGTTGCATTTTATTTGTGCCAATTAAAAAATTATTGTTTTTTGTTATTACTTGCCAAAATGCCATTCCTTTTTATTACATAATAATTTTCCTTTTGAGTTTTAAAAAAAAAATGTGTTACTTACTTTTATTCAAAAGTTAAACCAGCTGTGTTTTATTTACATATTGACATATATTTTAATAAGTATATGTTAAGATAATGGGTGAGAAAGGTTCAAGTTTGTTTAATTTTTTCCATGACTAAATATTTCTTACAATTTTTTAAACTTTTTAATTGGTTGTTTTTTTTTTTGTACCAAAACCAGTTGTGAAAATTGAAACATAAATCAATCACACTTAAAGATTTGTTTTTATTCTTATTTGGTGCACTTTTTATGTTACTCCTTGTTACAACACTGTTATTCCTGGTTTAAAATCTAAATGTGTTATGATTGAGAATACTGTGTAGCGTGCTGTGTGTTGCTGTAGTAACACTTCTGTGTCCTCCATTCCATCCAAACACTAGAGATAACTTCTCAAAGCCTCCATTACACATAATATTCTATGACATTAGGTTTAATATCAGTTTAAATTTCCTAGCCACATCCCACTTCTTGTTTTGCGTTTATTTAATGTACATTTAGCATAGTGAAGTTCACCTTTCAGACGTTAAGCTCCATAAACAGATAAAGTATTACAGTAGTTATATGTTTCTTGAGCTCGGCATATAAATGAATAGTTTGGTCAGCACTATGCCCAACCGCCTTTACTTTCACTAACAGAAGTTAGACACCTAGAGGTGGGTGGACTGAGGGACAACCTAAATCACGAGTTTGAGATCCAAACTCGAGACCTTTAAGCTATCAGTTAAGCTCTGTAGCACGCCACAGACGTTAGACAATTGTGCAAAACGTCTTGTCTTCTTACTTTGGCGACTCGACATGAGCTTATCTTGTCCTTTTAGGGCCAGGAATATGTACGGGTCTAAGGGTCGGTAAAAAATGTTGCCCTACATTCAATGTTATATTTATAAAATGTTGGTACCCTAGACACAATGAACATGAACTTCATTCTTCGAGTCTCTCTGTTGACAAGAATTGTCTCTGCCTTACATCAACTACCCTCTAAAGCTACTTCGATCCTCTCCAAAAAAAATAACCAAGTCAGGAAAATTTGTGACCAACTCGGCAGCTTTAGCTTAAAATTAACTGAAGATAGTTTTTAAAAAAATAGATTTCTAGATGTTCGGGCTCTAAATCTATATAAAAATAATATATATTATTCTCTTCTTGGAGACCCTAGAAAACACCAAGCTGTAAGCGCGCTCCCTACCACCCCCATCCCTACATGGTCTGGTGAGCTGTGGTTCACGCTAAATGTTTACAATCGTAGAGCCGGTTTTAGTGACGGCTATTAGGGGCAGATAATTTAGTTTGAAACGATTTTAAACTTAGGAGAGGTAACTAAGAGGAGGCTGCTTTCACGGTGGGGGGGAGGGGGTGGGGGTTATCGTCCTTAACGAGATACTGATAGTGTTTTAAAGCAAATATATTCAGTGGCAGTATTGGTACAGTCGAATCCACAAATTAAGGATTACTGAAAAGTAGAAAATAAAACAACTAAATAGCGGCGTATGATACGCCGCGGGTCGGCTCGTATAAGAATAATGTGCATAGTTTGATTAGAGCTTGGTGGGTAATGCCTAGATCTGTATCAAAATGTAGGCCCACATGTGCGAACGGAAATGGAACGGGAAGGGCCGATTTTATGAGAAAGCTACTAGATCTAGTGCGCTTTAAGGATATCGAACGCGCCGTAAAAAGTCAAAAGTTTGGATAAGCCAGCCATGAAACATCAGATAAAAATAAAATAATTTCGCAAAAAAAAAAAATGTCACTTGAATTAAAGCTTAGCGGACTTACATTTGCTGAAGCGTACAAAATTCGCAAGGAACAAGAAACTCTAGCCTCTACGTGGAAACAAAAGAAAAATACCAACGTTGTGTACTTTGAAAATTACGAAGAACTCGATCATGCTTTAAGGAATATTGTAAGTAACTTAGAAGGGAAAGAGGAAATTACTGTTCCTGATATTCGAACATTCGCCAGTAAAGTAGTGGGGTCGTTCATCCAAGCCGTGACCTCATGGATGAGTTGCAAAAAGCTGGATTTGTTACATCATCTTATTATATGGAACAAACCAAATCTGATCACGTTTGTGCTGGCTCATACATCATTCTTTCCAAAAACATACCGGCCTGCCACTAACCCGTACGCTCATCTGGCCTCGCTCATGGGGTGCCACAAGTGTCTAGCTGTCATCCTACACCATCGACCAGAAGATAATTATAAAGTGATAGACAAAAACCAACAGTTCCAACTGCCAGATTCTGTCTTGAAAAAACTATCTCTGTCCACCATCAAGCCTCTTACTGACATAAACACGGAGAAACTATTTAGGAAATTCTCTGTAAGTAAAGTCAGTCAATGCGATTTGGATATCTTAGCAACATATGAGCTAGACGATAATGAAGAACCGCTCACTGATAATAAAAAGAAGTTTCTTCCAGGAGCCCTGCCATCTGTTAGAGATAAGCCTGGTATGGTAACAAAAACTAAAATCCCCTCACCCAGTACATCTGCTGCGTCTTCACAGTCTGGTGATTCTGGTTCTCGGAAATCGTTTCCCCCGGGGAATGTCAAAAATTTGATGCATCAACGGTTAAAACTTTCAGATACTACAGGCGGGTATTTTCAACAGCGCACAGATTCCAATTTATGGATTAGTAAATGTCCAATCAGATCAATTAAAGGAGCTTCAAAATACACAGAAACCCAGCACGTCATCAACGTGAACTGGGACAGGTGGTCGTGTGCGTCAGAAGGCGTTCTTCATGGCGCAGGACTTCCGGCGTCTATAAATGTCCTACCTACAATAAATCACGCGAATTCAACATCGGTGATAAGCAGAAATAGTCATGCCAATAATATTGACACAATGCTTCATGAAACGTCAGTAGTCAAAACGAATAAGAGCAACAATAAATCAACCACTTCTGGGAATACACTGCCGACGGTACAAATGACAAATGTTGAATTTGGAGTCCGCAAATTCGCTAAGTTTAAGGACTTTCAAATAGAAAAAGCAAAAAGTTCCACACAGGAGATCCTAAACCTGTTAAATAAAACGCCATTGCATGTTGCTGCTGAGTTCAAACGCAAAGAGTGTGTCATACTACTGCTAGACTGGCTATTTCGTAAGATGAATGGTGGTAAATCCGATTCAAGTCGCTATCTGACATTGGCCTCAAGATCTCGGTGTCCAGAAGGTATAGCCACCCTCATGGCTGAAACAAAAGTAGACATAGCAGACTACAACGAGGCGGTCATAACATCTATTCGTGAACAATACCCTGAATGTCTTATTGCCCTTCTCAAAACCGCCAAGAAAGAGCGTACTGCTTTGTTTGGCGGCATGAACCTCTTTCACATCCTTTTCTCCCAAAGTTTAGTCGAAGGTTATAAATACGAAATGCTGCCTGATATGACCAGAGCTTTAATTATTTGCAAAGAAAACGTGAATTATTGCAGAATACCGCGTACTTTCCCCCTGTACACGCTCATACACTGTATGTTTCATACACCAATTGATAACCGAATTTATTATTACATTCAGTGCCTGATAATGCTACTGCAAGCAAAAGCTAACCCACAATACGATGAGCAAACCAAAGCACTCCCAGGAGCGACGAAAAACAATTTAACAGTTGCAAGAAAATGCTTCTCGTCTGCTCTTAAATGTGTCTTCGATTCCGCAATCGAATCAGTTTGCTTTGTCGAAAAACCACAATGGTGTAGGTTTCTTTTAAAAAAACTGATATCAACTATTGAACTCTACGATGCAACGAGTCGATACGTGTTGCCTGATGCTTTGTTTCAGTACTTGGAAATTGTGGCATACCGGTTGGGATTGGATGTTTCGGTAATTAGAACCTTGCTACGATATGGCGCCAACCCAGACTGTGTTCGCGACGGAAAATATCCCGTGAACGTGTACTTTGATCAGGTGTTTCCGTACTTAACTAAATTTGAAGTCATCCTGTCCTATGATCGCTACGAACAAGACACAGACGACCTGCTTTATTTATGTAAGCATATGAAACCTCGTTGTTTAACTGAGTCATTCAGGATTTTTTTAGACGATCATTTCCTGAAAGTTCCACTCCAAGCTCTGCCGATCTACCGGTATTTCTCTTGCCTGGTTAACGCCCTGCTCAGCTCTCCCAGACCCCTGCAGCAGATTGTGTCCCACGCGATATGGTTGATGGTTAACCGCAACAAGCACCGGGTTGAGAAACTCCCCGTGCCCAGCAGCCTGAAGCTTCTCATTTTACCCTAGTGTAAAATCGTACGTTCGAACTGCGCTACTGACCCTTGGACATTGAAATGAGCGAAAAATATCTCACTGGCATTCGTAGAAAATAAATACGACTTTTAGAAACAAAATTGACGAGTTTATTTTTTATTCGAAAATTTAAGTTGTAAATAATACAGTAAATTCAATATTTTTTGTTGTAATTTGGATATTTCACAATCATCATTTTGATTATTTCTGTGCCCCCTCCTCCAGTGGAGTCAAAGGATGCAAGATTACCTTTCTATGGCTTGGTAAAACAAATTGAAAGTTTGAGGGGGGGTGCTAATCGAAAGTTTGTTTCCGGACGCCGGGTAGGTCGCTACGCCTCTGTTCACCGATAAGTGATCTCTAATTTTTGTTTCGGCTTACCAACGTTGCTGGTTCCAATCAAATACCCAACTGTTATTATTAGGTAATACCCCATAAGGTGCACTATCCATTCCAATTGGCGCTTAAAAAAAACCTTTGGTCGAGATATCAAGGTTTGATATCTCGACCAAAAGGGTTTTTTTTTTGCCAACTTTTTACTAGATCTAGATCTAGAATCTACATACAAAAGCTATTTTTATACGTTTATGTTTTTAAAATCGTTCTGTGGTAAATATCAATAGTATGATTGCGCATTTTTAAAAAATAGATCAAGCACCGTTTAATACTGGTGCAATCTTTCTCTTCCAAAAAAAAAGTGTTATGGAATATTTGTGAAAGAAATCGACTGTCACACAGAGAAGCACAGAGGGCTATACATTAAATAAAAATGTCGTTTTTCCTCGACTTTTGAAATCGAAGGCGAATTGAACATTTAACGTGTCAGCCAATCGTCTGCTGTTATGTGACTGGAGCAGAACTTTTGATTCCAGAACAGTCCATATATTTGAGATGGAAGAGCCACTCAAGTTTGCAGAAGCTTACTATCTGCTTAAAAAGAAAGAAGAAAAAGAACAGTGTGGAAGGCACAAAAAGGTTGAAAGATGTGCCTACGTCAGTTCAGTGGAAGAGTTAGATCGGGTAATGAATAAATTAGTTCAAGTTCTCAACGACGATCCTTCCTCGGGGATAAAAAATGTTAAAGCTACCTTAGCAATGGTTACTGAATCGTACGCAAAACAAGTCACATTGTGGAAAGACCACAACAGTTTAAACCTTCTTCATCACTGTATACTTAACAACAAACCTGATATTATTAACTACTTGCTATCCGAAACTCATTTCTTCCCCAAATCTCACACGCCTTTTTTGAATCCATACGCTCACGTAGCTGCTTATGTCGGCCACAAGGAATGTCTTCGCGTGATTCTACAGCACCGGCCTAATGACTTCTTCAAAATTTCAAATTACAACCACTTGATCAAGCTTCCAAAGGAGAGCATGCGCCGGTTCAAAGTGAAAGAATCTGCAGTGAAAAGTAACCTCATTGAGAAAATTAAATCTCTAACGACAAGCGCAGAGAGCGAACGTTTGCAAGATTTAGCTAACGTTGAAGACATGTTGGAAGAGGAGGCACAGAAAAAAACTTGGAAAAAATCCACCCAGGTGAAGAAAGCGACCGTATCATCCCCAGGACTAAGGTCAGCAAAAATCTCCGTTCCTGAAAAGTCGCCACAAAGCAAGGAGAGTCAACCAAAACCAGTTTTACCTTTAAAAAAGCGCAGCAAAGCCTTCGAGTTTGATGATAGACCCGAATTTTCACACAAATTATTGGAAGAAAAGGAAAGGGCAGTTCGAGATCATGCAATGGTACCAAGAAGACACGAAGCAATCACGGTTTTTTGGGATGTTTTTGGGGACGAGCCCCCTGGTATCATAGGTGGGGCAGGCAAGCCTCTAGACGTCCGTTACGGGGATAAAGCCAGATTTCAACGCTCTCAAAAAGAAAATGACGGCTCGTTTAATAAATCGCGAAAAGTAAATATTCGTAATTTTAAAATTGACAAACAGCAACCACAGAGGGAGAAATCAAGCACACACGATTTGTCTAAGTCAAGAATCGGGATCAATATGCTATCAAAGCGCGTTTCGCAACCAACCCGGGAACCACAGAAACAGAAATGTTTTTTTGGATCATCCAGAATAGAAGCAGGAGTCAGAGGAAAAAAGAAGTATAAAGATTTCAGAGTTTCTTTAGAGCATCGGAATAAAACCGATATAGATGAATCTCAAAAGTTTATGAACAAGACCCCGCTTACCCTTGCCGCTGAGAAAGGGCATCTAGACTGCGTCAGGTTTATACTCGACAATGTGATATTGAAACATTCTCCAATGTTAGCTACCAAAGAACCGTTGACGTTGGCCACCAAAGCGAGAAGCCCTGAATCTATTCTGTTGCTGGTTGATAAGAAAATGTCACGCTGGGACTACCAAAGCGCTGTGCTGCTTGCGATTAGGGAGATGTACCCAGATTGTTTAACGGCGCTCTTAACTGTTAGCGGAAAAGAGAGGAACTCTTTGTTTGACGGAGCGAACCTATTCCATGTTCTGTACTCACAGAGTCTGATCTCAAACTATCGTTATGAAATGATGCCAGAAATGACCCGTGTTCTCATCAGCTGTAAAGAAAACGTGAATGCCCACAACATTCCCAGAACCTACCCTATGTACACCTTAATCACGTGCGCTTTTAATGTGTCTTCTATAAAGCAAATCTACTATTACATCGAGTGCCTCATTCTCTTACTTGAAGCTAAAGCCAACCCTCATTACAGTGAAGAAAAGGCGGAGAGAGACAGCGCTAAATATATCAGTTTATCCTTCACAAGGAAATCATACACATCTGCTATCAACTGTATTTTGGAATCTGCCAAGACTTCTTTGGATTACTTTGAAAAGCCTTTGTTGGCGAAGATGTTCATGAAGAAATTCATAACTTCAATTGAAATTCACGACAAAACAAAGAGAGCTGCTCTCAATGATGTGTTGTTTGAATACACTAAAGTTGCGTTCGCCCTAGGTTTAGACCGTACTATCTTAAAAGCGCTCCTCCGTTACGGTGCCAACCCGGACCAACGCAAAGGTGGAAAATATGCCGTCAACGTCTACTTCGATAATGTTCTACCTTATCTGACCAAATTTGAAGTGATCAACTCTTATGACCATTATTTAAAGGAACTCACAGACCTGATGTACATATGTCGGAGAATGACACACCGCTGTTTGAACGAATCTCTGAAAATATTTCTCGACGACCATTTACTGGCAACACCGATCCAAGCCTTGCCGGTCTGCCGATACTTTTCTCATCTCATTAACGAGATGGTCCGGTCACCGCGACCTCTCACACAAATAGCAGCACACGTCATTTGGCTTTGCTTAGGCAGGAATAAGAATCGAGCTAAAGCACTCTCATTGCCTGCTGAGATCCTCCATTTCATCGTTCCATGAATGTCACAAATAATAAAATAATAATTTTTTACCCATTTGTTTTCTCAATGATTTTTTTTTTCAAAACATTTAATGTCATTTAAAATAGTCGTGAATATCGATTTAAAATTATAAAGTTTTGCCAAATGCCATAAATTTATTCGATAATTTAGCTGGTCAGTAGTTTTAGTATACCGCTAATTTTGATTTTTGAAATGGATTCCTATAATTTATTTGGTTGAAATAAAATGAGCGAACTACACACACACACACACACACAAAAACTAGATATATTCGATTTTTTTTAGTCTTGGCTTATACAGGCAGGCAGCCACATCATTAATATTAATGGGCCTCTCTGCGCAGGGTCCTTAAGTATGGCTAATATATATATATATATATATATATATATATATATATATATATATATATATATATATATATATATATATATATATATATATATATATATATATATATATATATATATATATTGCGTCCGAATAAATGGTTATCGTTCAATAATCAATGGTACATTTACGTTATCATTAAAAATTACCACGCATAGTAGGGAGGCCTTACTTTTAAAAATTCAAAGTTGTGTCGTATTCCAATGGATGAAAAAGATACATAAATCCTTATAAAGTATAAGTTTAATTAAACTTTACGATGCGCTTTTATATGAGACTGAAACGTTTTTTTTATATGTAGCCTACAAAGCATTAAGACAATATGGATTAAAACGAACAGGGAGTTTTTCTAAATTACATAATATTATTACCGTTTTACGTAAATAAAACACCTTACTGAATATGTTGCACACCAATTCGCGTTTTTTAAAATGAAAAATAGCGTTCACTGATGGTGTTTAAGTGTTCACCAGTACATGTGTATGAAAATAGCGTCCATGGAATGGATATGTGCACCAACTATAACTTAGGCTGACAACATGATATTCAATCACATTCATCATGACGCAAAAATCATGTTTTATTCTAAACCATATCATTTCAAAGTTCATCTCAGTGAGTATCATCTTGAGACCTGTAGTTTAGTACCACTGTAGTATCTATTGTAATGGACGGAACAGGAAACGTTGAAGGACTAACATTCAGTCAGGCTTATTTTCTGAGAAAGAAAAGAGAAGAAAAAGAACAGTTAGGAAAAGTCAAGAAAGACGACAGACTTCCCTACATCAGCTCCGTCCATGAATTACACCGCACACTTCAAAAGACAGCCGAGAAGCTTCACGAAGATCCATCATCAAATGTTAAATCCATCAAAGCAACTTTGGCTTTGGTAACTGATTCACTGGCAATCCATGTGAGTGAGTGGAAAGATGAACACAATCTTAATCTGATTCACCATTGCATATTGAACAGTAAACACGATATTATTCATTACTTACTATCCGACACGTCGTTCTTCCCCAAATCACACATACCGTATCAGAACCCATATGCACATGTCGCTGCGTTGTTAGGAGACAAAGATTGTCTTCGAATTATCCTCCAACATCGACCAGGAGATTTTTTCAAAATTACCAACCCAAGTCAATTTATTAAACTTCCGGATGAGTATCTGCGTAGATTTAAAGTAAGAGACGGATTTATCAAAAGCAGTTTATTGGATAAGATAAAATCGTCCACGGATTCCGCTGAGCTTAATACAGAAACATTAAAATATGATTTAGAACAATTTTGGGATAGCGGATCCGATTTTAAAAAAGTTAAAGAGAAGTCGTTGAAAAGACCGGCCAAGGATGTTAATTTTAAATCAGTATCAGCGAAATCATCAACCGAAACTTCTACACGAACCTCAGATGCAACTGTGAAGATTCAGAGACCTAGCAAAACACAGCACGTTGTTAGATCGAGTGAAGAAAATCTCAGAACATTCAGAACAATTCGGGGTAAACATAGTCAGAAACCCCATTTAAACAATCCACATTTTATTAGTGTGTATTGGAACGTATTTTCACAATCCAAAGAAGGGGTCTTGAAAGGAGCCGGTGTTCCGGCAAGGCTGCAGTTCTGTCCTAGATTGAACAGTTCTGGGATGTATCTTGATAAAGCTGGCTCGTCTATCTTAAACAACAAGACAATAAAACCCAATAATATATTTGAAGGCAAACCACAGCCGCCGAAGAAAAAAGTTTCAGAAAATGAAGATTTAAGATCAGGGACAAATCTTAATGTAACACCAAGCAATACCGGCCAGAAAGTCAAAGATGCTCACAAAATGAATTCATTTAGTAGAATAGAAGTCGGTGTTCGGGGAAAAAAGAAACTGAAGGACTTTGTGTTAAAAATAGAACATCACAGTAAGCGTATTGAAGATGACGCCCAAAAGTACATGAACAAGACTCCGCTGACTCTCGCAGCTGAGAAAGGGCACATGGATTGTGTCCTTTACCTTCTGACGCACGTCATTTTAAAAACCTCTCCAATGTTAGCTACCAAAGAACCGCTGACGTTGGCCACCAAAGCGAGAAGCCCTGAATCGATTCTGTTGCTGGTTGATAAGAAAATGTCACGCTGGGACTACCAAAGCGCTGTGCTGCTTGCGATTAGGGAGATGTACCCAGATTGTTTAACAGCACTTTTATCTGTCAATGGTAAGGAGAGAAACACTTTATTCGACGGAGAGAACCTATTCCACGTTCTGTACTCACAGAGTCTGATCTCTAACTATCGTTACGAAATGTTGCCAGAAATGACCCGTGTTCTCATCAGCTGTAAAGAAAACGTAAATGCCCACAATATCAATCGAACTTTTCCTTTGTACACTCTCATAACCTGCGCGTTTAATATAACTGCAGTGAAGCAAATCTACTATTACATAGACTGCCTTGTCATGCTTCTAGAAGCTAAAGCAAATCCTCATTACTGCGAAGAAAAAGCGGAGAAAGATGGCGTCAAATGTTCTGGTTCATCCTTCACAAGAAAATCCTACTCATCCGCCATAAGCTGTATTTTGGAATGCGCGAAGACTTCGATGGGTTTTTTTGAGAAAACTTCATGGTCAAAGCAGTTCATGAAGAAATTTATAACTGCAATTGAATACCACGACCGATCTAAAAGAACGATCTTGAAAGAGGTGCTATTTGATTACACTAATGTCGCGCATTTTCTGGGCTTAGATCGCGGCATCATTAAAGCACTTTTGAGATTCGGGGCAAACCCGGACCACAAAAGAAATGGAAAATTCGCGGTCAACGTCTACTTTGATAACATCCTGCCATACTTGACCAAATTTGAGGTGATCAACTCCTACGATCATTATTTAAATGAACTTTCAGATCTGATGTACATGTGCCGTGGTATGTCGCACCAGTGCCTGCATGAAGCTCTGAAGATATTTTTAGATGATCATCTATTGGTCACACCAATCCAAGCTCTGCCAATCTGTCGATATTTCTCATACCTCATCAATGAAATGATTAAGACTCCTAGGTCCCTCGTAGAGTTAACTGCTCAGGAAATCTGGATCTATTTAGGCAGGAATAAAACTAGAGTGACTTCCCTTTCACTACCCGAAGACATATTAGCCTTGATTGTACCTTAGTGTATCGAACATCTAACTGACAAAAATAAAATAAACAACCATTACAAAACGACTTATTTTGTTTGTTAAAATAGAATTCCGTTAAGCCTACTGTATGTTACTATGGTGCGACTTTGCAAAAAGAGTTTAAGTTACTTGCCAAACCGCGAGCGTCGTCCTCAACATAAATGATCTTGAGTGAAGATCTCTTGAAATTTTATATTATATCCAACTTTCCTGCTGCAGATTATTTAATAAATCCTACACTATGGATCAGAGGATTATATATATATACATATATAATCCTAATCAAATATCATAATATAGAAATAAAAATGTACCGCCCCCCCGAACGGAATGAAATTTATATAATTTATATAGAAAATATATACTTTTAACAGTCTCCGCCCCCCCCCCCCCCCCGAAGAAAGTTTACCCCCCCCCCCCCCCGGAGAAAAAAGTCTGGAAGAAACACTGGATATTTGGTAAATTGTAACTTTTGGCTCTTCCGTCCCAAAGGGTTGTCGACCCCTGGGGTAACTATTTAAGATATTGCTATAAATATTGATTAAATATAAAAATCTTTTTTGAAAAGAACGTAGTTTACTGTTTGTTGTAAATATGTAATATTATATACTAATACTTTAAGAGTGGTAATATAGTACATTCATTAAAAACAAAAGAGTTTTCACCTAGAGATAACCTACTTTTCTTTGTAGTGTATTCCGTCCTGAATTGAAGTAATCTAACTTACGATAAACTCGACATATAGAGGCGTAGCGAAGGGAGGCCGGGTGGGGCGGCCGCCCCTGGCGCCGAAAGCTGGGGGGGGGGGCAAACCCGATAGAAGTGTATATTAAAAATTTATTCTAATCAGTCTTACTGAATTATCCACAGTCGAGGCTAAGAAAAAAAGACTGCTACATGAGATTACGGACTTACATAACTGCTTCTATGTTAAATATGTGACACGTAATAAAAAGAGAACGTGGCTGGTAAAAACGCCTCGACCATTTTAAGTTGAGGGGGGGGGGGGGCGTTATCTAAACAAAAGAATACCACAAGACTCGATAGCCCCGAACTCCAGAACTACGATACCTCATCCCCTGGGGTCATCCATAAATGACGTCACACTCGTAGGGGGGAGGGGGGTCCGTAATTTTGTGACGATGTGTGATGAGGGGGAGGGGGGGGGGGGTTCAGATGTTGCGACGTCACATTTTTGCATTATAAAAAAGCAATGTTAGAAAACGAATTTTAGACGTTATTTCGCGTTTTAGATAACTGTTTTAATAAATTGTAATAGTTTAGACAAGATTTTGGAAAAATATCGATGTTTAAAAAAAATTCAACTGCAATTTTGAGGGGGGGGGGGGGGGGGGTTGTAGGTTGAGGTGTGACGTCATTTTAGGGGGGGGTCTGACTTTTTGTGACGACGTGTGACGGAGGGGAGGGGGGGAGGTAAAAAATCGTAAAAAAAGCGTGACGTCATTTATGGATGACCCCCCCCCCCTACATTCTCATTTCTCTACTATAATCAGATTCCACTGGATCTACAACTACACAACAGCAAAATACAAAAAACGATACTTTAACTTTAACACTTCGATACTTTATATCTACAAAACCATATCAGCAACAGCCTTCCGCCGTTACTCCCAAATTTAAATGATTCATCAAAACTTACCAAACAAGTACAATACTTTGAACACCCCGTCATTACGATACTCTATACACCAGAAAAGATTTCTAATTAAAAGTCAGAGAAAACGAGACTTACATTTACTTACAAGGCATATTAAAAACCAAAATTGCACGTGTTTTGGAACGTCCCGTCATGCGCTGGAGCGATCAATTAATCGCGAATAAATAAAGACATAGATCTATATAGACCTAATTTTGAGGTGGGGGTGCAAAATTGATAGTTCTTCCTGGGCGCCGAAATAGATCGCTACCCCTTTCTATATTACCATCAAAGTTTTAAAGTATTAGGTACTTTTTAATAATTGCGATTAAACCTTTTACGCCCCCTAGGGATGGCGCCCTAGGAGACTTATAGGTAGCGCCGACCCTGCATGTAACATTAACAAATAAGAACAGCATAGGAGTCGAGTATTTAAAATACTAAACAAAATAGTGTCCCCTTAATTTTCTAGGAACTCTTTTATTTCACATCGCTACTTTGAACGTAGGCAGCTCCTTTCGATTTCACAATTCTTTATAGGCCTACAAGTTTTTTAAAGCTGTTTTATAATATAGATCTAGATCCTGATCTATTATTAACTGTATCTAGATTTATACAGAAAACAGTACACTATTGACTTATAGTATGCAGACTTAGATTCTATATTCTAAAGTCCATAGGACACTACTGGCCGGCCAGACTAGCGCTGAAGGGGGAGGGGGGGAGCTTCTTCCGAGTAGTCGCTTAAAATTTAATGTTATTAATAATATTAATGGGTAGAGAGCTGGGCTGCTAACCCGTAAGTCTCGAGTTCGAATCCGGGTTCAAGCCAGTAGACCGTCCCTGAGTCCACCCAACTACTTTGATGGGTACCTAACTCACGTTAGGGAGAGTAAAGGCGGCTGGGCATATAGATCTAGTAGATTCTAGTGCTGACCACACTATCTCTTCATATGCCGAGGTCACCGAAACAAGTGAAGTCTACTTCACTTGCCCCATAGACCGTCAGGTTTGAAAGGGAAACTTTACTAATAATATTAATGATTTATTAATCAATTATTAATTTATATTTTATTAGGTAGGCCCTATACTATACTATTACTATACTAGAATCTATATAAATATATAATCTAGTGGCCTAGGCTAAATAATAATAAAATTATTGCTTAGGTTAGGCTGAATAATTTAATAAGTTCAGGCCTAATTTTAATTTATTCAATCTATAATCTATAATATACCTAATAATAATTAATATTATCATGTAGTCTCTACCCCTACAACAACTATAAATAAATAAAATCATTAAGCTTAAATAAAATTATATTATTGTTAAGTAGGCACATATTATTAATTAATTAGATCTAAATAATATTTATACATCTAATATTAATGTAATATTAGGGCCTAATTAATAATTTTATTATATTATTTTTCAGAATGGACTCATTTAATGTGAAAGAATTTTGCCAAAAGCTACCCAAAGTGGTTAGTAGTGTGTATCATCATTACATAGGCCTAGTTAGCCAATATTGTAATGTCAAAAGATCATGATCATCTCTTTTTAGTGTAGTAGTTATTGTGATTTAAATAGTAGTTGTATATAGTTAGAAAAAAAGTTCATCGATGAGTTAAATTTTAAAATTCTCTTTCCATGTATGTTAATTTTTATAGGAACTTCATGCACATTTAAACACAAGCTACAGTGTTAAATCAATACAAGAATTGATTCAGCTCAATGGAAGTGCTGGAGAGTTAGAAGAAGTAAACATAGCTACCAATCAGGACATCGATGAGTATAACGCAATTTTTTTTTTCAGTTGTGTAAAACAAAAACTGTCATTGGTATAGGAGTCTTGCCTTCATCTGGGGTTAGTTTTACAAGAGTTGTGGTTTTCATCATTTCCAGGAAAGCACTGTCATCATTTCAAACCCCAGAAAAATATAGGGTTTAATGTTTTGTTTTCCTTAACATTTCTATATTATAATTTAGCACTGGGTGAAATTAAATGAGTATCTAATAATGGTGAGGGATACCACCACAAAAGTTTTTGGCTTGATAACTTGGTAGATGTAAAATACAACGGTGTTTAAGTTTTGTTCCTGTTAACACATTGAGGGAATATTTTAAAGTATTTTTAAAACATTTTTATTTTTACCACTCCAGAAGTTTCAAGTTTTTTACCAAAATTCAACAACTTGTCAAGACTGAAGAAGCAGTCTATTTGGTCAGTACCATTAGAAAAGTATTACCTAAGTCTTAACAATTACACAATTTTCATAAAACTACCTGCAACCTTTTCTAAAACCTCTGATACAAAACAATGTTTAGTATATCATTTTTTACTGTTTCACAAATAATTAATATACTTTTTATTTCAAGTTGACTCGCAGTGTGATAGAAGAATTTGCAGCTGATAATGTTAAGTACTTAGAGTTGAGGTCTACCCCTAAAGATATACCAGAAACTGGAATGACAAGGGAGTTGTATATGAATACTATGATAAGGGCTGTGAAGGAATGTCAAGATAAAGGATTAGACATCATAGTCAGATTGCTAGTCTCTTTTGATAGACGACATGGAATAGACATTGCAAAATTGACAGTTGAGCTGGCTGAAAAACTAATGAAGGATCATGGTGGTTTAATTAATGGAATTGATTTGAGTGGTGACCCTAAGGTATATAGAACAATTGAGTTTATATCAATTCATTATTGTTTCATAATCCTGATTTTCCTGTTTAGGCAATTAAAGTTATAGATATTGTACTTCATTTGTTTGAAAAAAAAAAGATACACTAATTTGTCAACATGTAAAGTGAACAACAAAATTTAAATGATTATGTTTTCAATTTCTGAACAGGTTGGTGATGCAACAGATTTAATTCCATATCTTATTGAAGCTGGAAAGAAAAACCTAAAGCTGGCATTACATTTAGCTGAGGTGATAATTAATTTTTATTTGAATAGAAATGTTTTTTAACTATAGAACCAGCCTTACTTGAAAATGAAGTTTTAAAATAAGAAACATTAAAGCAAAGTTAGAAATATTGCAAATTTAAGTCAAGGTCTTAATGATGTACAAATGTTGAAGTGACCATTTAAATAATTTAATTTGTTTATAAGAAAGGGTATAGAGAACATTTTATGTTAGTTAATTTTCTAAGTAAAACTCTAAAGTAACTAGTATTTTAAGTATTTTGTTTTCTTTACAACATGTACCATTCTCAATAGCTACCTTCACATGCAGAAACAAAAAATGTATTGAGTGCTCTTTGCCAAGAAGGTTCCCTTTCTTTACGCATTGGTCATGGTACTTTTTTGTACCGACACGAGGACGGATTAGGATGTGATGAAATGAGAGATTTAGTCCTTCAAAAAAAAATCCCCATAGGTATTTATTTTTTATAAGTATTTTTGGCAGATATTGAAAACAAATAAAACGTTTTATCAAGTAATAAATGTTCTTAAGTTGTATATATTACAACTGCACATCTAATTTCAAGTATCTTGGATGCTATATTAATGCATATTTTGAGGTTTTGAAAAATGTGATTTTGGTGCATTTGATCAAGTTGTCATAACACACTACTGACTAATTACTTAAATGTGTTTAATTACAGAAGCATGCATTACATCCAACTTGAAAACTAAAACAGTCAACAGCATAGAGTCACATCACTTTAAGTACTGGTTCCAGCAAGGTCATCCAATCATTCTTTGTGTGAGTTTTATTTTAACAAAAGTTTTTTACCAAGCTGAACAAATAAAAACCATCCATGTAATTTATATAGGCAGACATTATATAATATAAGTTGTATATTATATAATAAGAAATTTCAGCCTATATAATATAAGTTGATGGATTGGTCTAGCAGTAGAGAGCTGGACTGCTAACCCATAAGTCTCGAGTTCAAATCCGGGTTCAAGTCAGTAGACCGTCCCTGAGTCCACCCAACGCTGATGGGTACCTAACTAATGTTAGGGAAAGTAAAGGCGGCTGGGCATAGTGCTGACCACACTATCTCTTCATATGCCGAGGTCACAGAAACAAGTGAACTCTACTTCACTTGCCCTATAGACCGTCAGGTTTGAAAAGGGAACTTTACTTTTTACTTTTAATATAAGTTGAAATTTTAAAAATTGTTTTCTGATTTACTATTCATAAAGCATAATATTTTTACTATTTTTACAACCCTTAAGATTAATACAAATACATGTATTTAGCTTATTTTCTATTGCTTTTATTTTATTGCTCTCAGACTGACGGAAAGGGAGTGTATGACTCAACATTATCCGAGGAATACTGGAAGGCTGCTCAGGCCTTTAGTTTGAGCAGGGAACAATTGAAAGACTGTGTTCACAAAGCAATAGATTCTATATTTGCTGAAGATTCTGTCAAGGAGGTTTTAAGACAGAAATTAAATGAATTTCATATATGAACGTATCATCATATGCCTTTTATTATTTAAATTCTAGAAATGTGTTTGAGAAAAAGAAAAATATTTAAGCTCAAACTACTGAAAGTTATAGGTATTTGGAAAACATACACTTGAAAGTTTTTTGTTCATGGTGTTGTGTAATCTTGTATAAATAAGCGCATCTATTGTTCTAAAGTAAGTCAACTTGTACATGCTTATCAATGCATTAAGTTTCTAGTCAGCTTTTGTTCTAATTCAGTTTCTTGACTATTAAAATATTCATACAGCTTGGGCCCTGGTCCTTCAGTAGTGTTAGAGGATTTTGTGTAGGAAACAAAATGTTGAATTAAAGCAGAAATGAGTTTATGTGGTGTGAAATTTTGTTCATGTGTAACCAAAATGTTCTTTTGCTCAGCTTGTTGGACTCAAATATAGACAATCTACAAAGTTTTTTTTTTACATAATCTTAAAGCTGCTTTGTTAAATGTCACTGTCTTAAAAATTAACCAAAATGTAATGTTTATCAATGTTAAGTACTGTTATATTACCTTACATATTCAATATATATGTCTGAACAAAGAGTTAGTAAATTTGTATGTCATTTTATTTATATCATATTCTATACAGGGTTAAAATAAGAACATTGTTTTTTTTTAAACAAAAAATTATTTACAGAAGAGCACCAATGTCTTAGTGTTTAAAACAATGTCAAAATATCTTTCAGATATTTAAGATTCTGTGTTTAAGTTATGTATATTAAGTATGAACCTCCCATATCCCTTGAAGAAAAATGTATCGAAGAAAAAAAAAACTTAAGCATAACTGTTTTAGGTTAATTATTAAAAAAGCATTACAAAAAATATTTGTTAGTTGTTTCATGAATGATTGTTAGTCTTGTTATTAAACAAAACAGTAGTTTTTAAATTAGCCATCCAACTGCAGAAATCAGATTCATACATTAACAGCAGTGAAATCTATCACACAAAAGACTGATCTTTTCTAAGGGGTGAGTGAGGCTCACTGGCCTTAGGCAGACAATAGTGTTTTTAACTAAGAAATAGCTTCACATTGTGAAAATAGAAAGTCTAATGTGAATTACTGATACTAATTGTAAAAAAAAAAGATTTATTTTAAAATATGCCACATGAAACTATTATTGTGATAGAAAAGAACTCCTTATTGAGGATAAAGATGAGTTATTGACATTCAATAAGTGTTGCTAAATGTGGATTTAAGCTAAAGATAAATAAGTAAATGTGGCAACAAGTATAAAACTAATTAAATTTTAGACATACAGGCCTAACATTTAAATGGAAATCCTCATGCTCTTATGATTGAAGAATGCAACCAGTTTTGATGCATTTTTAATCTCTGCATTTTAAACAAATGAGAAACATTTTGCATGGATGGTGACATTTATATATAGTGTTATAGTTATAGGAAAACAAAGTTAAATACAATTTGAAATGTTTTACAGCCAGTAAGTTGGATAACCTCTTACTGTTTCAAAGGAAATATTGGTATTCTGTCAGATAAATCTGCACGTAGACTTACATGATTCTGTTCACACTATATTAATCTTCTGTTATATCTTGCGAAGTTTAAAACAAAAAAATAAAATAGGTAGTTAACGTAATATTTTTAGAAAACGTAAGCCTACCGGTAATTCTTTATAAATAATTCATTATTTTATATTCCAGCATTTAAATATTCAACACTTCTTATTTAGCTACTGTTTTTATTAGTAAAATTGTTATAGAAAAAAGGCTTGATTTGTAAAAATGTGTCTCTTTGTCCCACTGAACACTTTAAACAACATTCAGCTCATTAATAATTCAAAGTTTTTAAAAAAGTAAGTTCTAAATAAATCTAGCCTAGTCTTAAGTTTTGAGAATGTTATGCAATAAGTTTTGAATTTAGTTCATCTTGAGTTACTTACTTTGGCAGTTTTAAAACTTTATTCAGTAAAACTAGTTTATAAAGTAGAATGGCTCAGAGAATAAAATAACTTATGCATCATATGCATTTAATTAAAATTTAAGTTACATAACATTTAGAATACTCATAATACAAGACTCATTTTTAATAGCACATTGTAAAAAATACTTTACAACAATGAATAAATACATTCAACAAGAAAAACATTTCATAAACAGGGAAATGAAACAGTTCAACTATGTTAGCCTTTTTCAACTTCTTCCAGTGAACATTTCATGTAGGAATCCATATCTTTCATATCATTCAATGCATTTTGTACTATTTCTGTTATCAAACTTGGCCAGAGTTTTAATATTTCTGTTTTTTTAAGTTCAATGAATGTTGACTCTTTGGTCATTTCTTTTATATAATTGTGTGCAAAGTGTCTCTTTGCCTCTAGGTCCTGTAAATATAACAAAAAGTGAGAAGGGGGTTTAGTCTATAACTCCTGGAAATCCATGTTTAGTTCTCTTATATAGACTGAATTCTTTCAACTTGTAAGTTTTTCCTTACATAGCTGATGGTTATACAGTAGATGAACTTGAGTTCACCTGTTTCTATGACATTTACATAGGGGTTATGTGGTCAGCACCATGCCTTGTTTTTGCATAAATTTATTCTCCTTAACTGAAGTCAGATATTCATTAGAGCTGGGTGACTCAGGGATCACTTCAAATCTTTAGCAGTGTGTCACATGACACACTGTCACATTGTTAAATTTACTTTCATTAATACACTTTTGTTGTTCAAGAAATTTCCTTTTAAATAACATTAATTAAATTTATTAATGTTAAAATAAAGTGACAACGTAAACAAATGAGCACTGCTGACCTGCTTAGAGTCACTGATTATGTAGGTGAGCCCTGCCCTGCCTATCAACTCAACTTGAGCTTTGTCTGGGTTGCCTTTCCCTGTCTCTGCTTGTTTTCTCCCCTCAATGACAGCCTGCTTTCTGCGGTTATCTCCCATCAGTGACAGGAGCCTGTACTGGGGTAGCTGTGATGTGGCCACGTGAGACAAGGGACCAAACAGTTTCTCTGCATTGACAATATCTCCAGAGGACACCTAAAACATCATTTCATCTTACAGTAATAGCTGTATTTAATACATACACTTTAAAGGATGGAACACAGACCTAGAAAACACCACTACACATGTACTAGAAAAAAAACTACAAGTCATATAGAAAACACCACTACACGTGTATTAGAAAAAAAACTACAAGTCATATAGAAAACACCACTACACATGTATTAGAAAAAAAAAACTACAAATCACAGAGAAAAAACAGGAAGACCACACATCTTCTGCTTTGTTCTTAATTTTAGTGTAGGAAGGGATCCCCTCCAACACAATTAAGTATATGTGTCAACTGGTTATGTGCCATTGAGGCCATTGACTCTAATTTCAGCCTGCTGTTCTTTTTGGATTTGCTTCCAAAGCTTTTGTCCAACCAAGAACAAACTACAACTACAAGACAGCAGTTGTTTGATTTTGGAGTTGTCTCTCCTAGAAGAGTGGCATTATTTGTAGATCATTTGTAGTTTTTCCTATGCTCCCTAAGGAGGGAAAATGAATAATGGTAAATAAACTCTGAAATATCATTTATTTTATACAGCAAATCCTCAAATGTGCAGCAACAAAGTGTAGCTAGTTGGCAAGAAATAAACTGTAAATTTTAAGTTACCTCAACGTCATTGATCTTTTTAAGGGCAAAGTGAGCCAATCGAAACACTGTATACATCCGCCATAATGTAAATTTTGTAACTGGATTGCCATCTAGGTCAATAGTCAAATTATCAAGTCTCCGAACCAATGATAATGCATTGATTTGTTGAAGGCTATGAATATTAGTTGAACAGAAAACAAGGGTCTGAAAAAAAAAATATTTTTTTAAAAATAAAAACAATATGCAAAATTTAATTAGCTTGAAAAAAAAAGCTGCTGATTTAATTAACTGCACAAATTAATATTAAACAAAGGTAGAATACAAACCTGAGTGGCAGGAAATCTAACCCGTATTTTGGGAAGTTGTTTGACGATGGAATCAAAATCAATGAACTTAAAGACTATAACATTCACTGTCCCTGCTGCTTGCACTCCCCAGTTCCTATCAAAGGCCTCTAAAGACTGCACACCATACAGGGATAGGGTGTCTCCTTCAATCTGTTCTAACATATTTAAACCATCACCTATGACTGTATGATTCCTATACATAAAGAAAATATCCACAATTAATTAAAATACTAATGAGATTTATAAAAAGTATATTACTGTAAATTGATTAGGTGTTATCTATTTATGATACCACATCATATGAATTATTAAAGTGGTAATACTTATCTAACTAAAAGTGCATCTAAAGCAGCTTTTCAACATATGGAAAACAAAAATCTTATTAAGGGCAGATATTACAGATTCAAAGTTGAGTATTTTGTACAACATATACATCTTGAGATAGCACAAATAATTTTTTAACTCAATTTCACCAGCAACATGGGACTACATGTGTTGGCTTATATTAAAAAATACACATAGGACAGGTTTGAAATCCCAACATTGTTGTAGGTGTCACAAAAAAGCAATCACTCGGAGTGGGTGTGTGTATATTTTTTGTTGTAACTTACAGAGAAACAGAATCTTTAACAGGATCTCGAGGGGGGAGGCGGTTGTCTCGTCTGCGACTTGCACTTCTGGGCTGTTCTTTATTTTCATCAACTGCTTTTTCAGTGTCTGTCAGGTTACTTCGTGCACTTCCTGGTCGGCTTCTCAGATCACTACTGATGGATAGATTTTAAAACAAAATGTTTCAAATCACTACTGATTGAAAGATTTTAAAACCAAATGTCAATGATTCAAATCACTACTGATTGAAAGATTTTAAAACAAAATGTCAATGATTCAAGTCACTACTGATTGAAAGATTTTAAAACAAAATGTCAATGATTCAAGTCACTACTGATTGAAAGATTTTAAAACAAAATGTCAATGATTCAAGTCACTACTGATTGAAAGATTTTAAAACAAAATGTCAATGATTCAAGTCACTACTGATTGAAAGATTTTAAAACAAAATGTCAATGATTCAAGTCACTACTGATTGAAAGATTTTAAAACAAAATGTTTCAAATCACTACTGATTGAAAGATTTTAAAACAAAATGTCAATGATTCAAGTCACTACTGATTGAAAGATTTTAAAACAAAATGTCAATGATTCAAGTCACTACTGATTGAAAGATTTTAAAACAAAATGTCAATGATTCAAGTCACTACTGATTGAAAGATTTTAAAACAAAATGTCAATGATTCAAGTCACTACTGATTGAAAGATTTTAAAACAAAATGTCAACGATTCAAGTCACTACTGATTGAAAGATTTTAAAACAAAATGTTTCAAATCACTACTGATTGAAAGATTTTAAAACAAAATGTTTCAATAAAACAAACCATTTTCAAAATTATTTACATTAACAAGATGTGATTTAATCGATGGCATTGTATTTTTATTACTATCTATTTTGAAAAACTATAGGATCTAGTGACCATGTATTTTCTGTTTGAAATGTATGCAAATATTCAGGGACAAGCTTTATTAAAGGGCTATTTAACTAAACTATGCTGAAAATATTTATCTATTTCATGAACATTTGCAACTGATTTTAAGTTTAATATTTCAGAACTTAAAGGTAAATTTCTAATACTATTTTAGAAGCTAAGCTTTGTCAAAGACCTAAAAATGGTGAGTATTACTGTCATGACCTACCTGGTCAGTGACTCAACCTCTAGACCATCGATTTCTCCTGAGAGTGGGGACCTCAGTTCCATGTTGGGGATGGATCCAATATGATTGGCAAACAGTTCTGGCATAGAGTTGTTCACTTTAACTAGTCGTGACGTCCTTGACATCATAGAACCCTGCATTGTCTCCCACTGACGTTTGGCGTTATTAATAGCCAGCCGTCTCTTTTCCTGGTGCGAACAGTATTAATTCATAGGAAAACTTATAATTCATTAAATGATTTTACAAAAAAAAACAACAGATAAGTATTTTATTATATATATTAATTGACAAGAAGTACAAATAAAAAATATTGCAGAAGTTTAAAATTAATAAAGAAATACATAATTAAACAAAGCTGATTTTTTCCACCAAGAAACTTTCAACAGTAGAATATATTTAGAAATGTTTGTTGGATACTTTGATTATAAATACAATAATAACTTATTCGATCTATATTACTAGATTAAACTTATTACAATTGGTATAAAATACTGTGACAAAAAGTATGCTTACTTTCAGTACGGCTATTTTATTCATCTCTCTTTTCTTTTCTTCTTCTTTTCTAGCCATAACAAGGGAAATCCTCCGCTCTTCTTCCTACAGTAAACAAAAAATGAGCTCAACATTAAAAGAGATATATTTGATATTACTGGCCAAATTTAATTTGATTAATTACAAAAAACCAATGCACATTCCAATCCATTGTTAAAACACCTTTCATGATATGACTTTAAAAAAATTGACAATAGGCATATTATATTGAATGCTGAATATTTACTTCTGTGGCTTAATAATTTTCCAGTTCAATTCTAAAAGCCTTGATTTTTAAAACTATTTGCTGTACTGTATCCTATAATTTTTTTTATGAACTAGCTACGTTAATGTAAAACACGATTTAAAAATTTCTGTCTTTAAAATTATTTTTTTTCAGATGGAGTAAGCATGAAAATAGACAAATTATTTGGTTGTTTATTAGATTTATAAATAGCAACTGTTCCAACTTACACTGACTCTCTTCATGTCCAGTTGTTTGAGTTGCTGCATGTGTCGCAAAATAATATGTTTATAGTTTGAATCCTGGCATAGTGGATTCCCATCAAGTGAAATTTCTGAAAGACTTGTAGATTCTCCCAAGCACTGAACATCTTCAAAGCTGTAAAAATTATTTACTAATTTAACAGTATATATTTAAAATATAAAGGATTTAGATATATTCTTAAAAAACGTTTTTTATTTTTTAAGAGGTTGAAATATTAAAAGCATCAATGCATACATTTGGACATAATTTTAAAAGTACAACCATGTGCTTGCACATGCTAAAGTGTTAAAATATTTTTAATGGTAAAGATATAATGCCTAAGCAACACATGGAGTGTTCTAAAGGCTAGTAACTCACATATCTCTAGAGTTTGTGGCAATTTTACTGCGGAAATGTCGGTAATGCCACATGATGAAGCAAAATTTAATTTATGTTTACAATTTTAAAAGCAATACATCACAGCACTATAGATTAAAAAATCGCCAGTCCACATGTTTTAGTCCAAAAGAATTTTTTAGTATGTTCCATTTAAATACTCATGCACATCAGAAGTAAACATTATTTAATTATTTCCTATTTTTGAAATTTTTTTTTAACCTTAAGCACTTATTAATTCATTGGAATTGACAGCAGTTTAAAAACAAACTAACACACTTTTATTCAGGTTTTAAATATCTGAAATCTACACATATAAAAATCAACTATTCCACTTGAGGAACACTAGTGCATTATAGCCAAGTATTTCTCAGGTAAGATCCAGGTCACAGATGAGTGGTTAACATAATTATCATTTTATTGATTAGCAAAACTTTGGCATTGTGTGATTGAAACTTGAGTATGCAAAAAAAAATCAATATTCTATATTTGTTATAGTTTTAATTGAGGTTATCTTATACATTGAAACTTGGTATTAAATACTTATTGTAATTTGAAGTATTATACTGAGAACTGAAATATGTAATTAAATGGTCTGTATCAATTGATGGCTCTGATACAATAATCTGTGGGATAATACAACAGGAACTATAAAAAAAACAAGCATACTTATTTTCTACTGGCCTTTATAAACTAAAACCTTAAAATCCAGTCATATCACATTTGTCCTATATTTGAATAATATTTAAAGAACTGTATTGTGATGACAACATGCAGATAAATTTTTATGACAACTTTATGTGTCTTGTGAAGACAGCAATTGTTCTAGTGTGAGATGAATGAAACAAGAACTGAAAAACTGACCTGGAAATTTCATTGAAAGATAGAAACAGCCTCTGAAGGTTTGGTAATAAATCTACTTCAGTCTGAAAGCAATGGTCAATACAATAAAAAACATTATTTTATTATTTGTGACTGGACTTCCCCTTCAAAAATAAAATGGAGAAAAAATAAAATCCGTTTTAAAAACCAATAAACTCTGTCATTTGTCACTGTTTTTTTCTGTCACTGTGATCATTTCTATAATAGCATATTATCAAATGAACATAATAATCAACTCAAACATACAAAGTCATTGCTTAAGTCCTCCTTATGTTACTGATTATCTTACAACTACAGATGATCAACTAGCCTCAACTTATACAAGTCCAGATATTTCCAATAAACTTTTAAATTTAATGGTAAGATAAAACACCAAAAGTAAATTTACTAATAAATCTTTTATGAATAAAAAATATAAATCTATATTTTATCACTGTCCAGATTCTGTTAACACAAGTCAATTTTTACCATATCACTGTCCTGATTCTGTTAAAGAAATCTATTTTTTACCAATATCCAGATTCCAATAACAAAAGTCAATATTTTACCACTGTTCTGATTCTGTTCCGTCTAAGATTCAGCTCTGCCAGTGAGTCCATGCCCACCAACTCATCTACATGTGTGATGTTGTTGCCTGCCAAGTTTAGCACTCGCAGCTCAATTAGATGGTTGATGTTTTCTATTTTTGAGATCTAGGAGGTATAAACAACATGCTAATGAATTTTACAAATATGCCTAAATGTAACACAGAAAATATCCAACTTTTATCTTTATACAAAGTAACAAATAAAAAACCAAATACACTTAACAAATGTAGGCCCAAAATTTTACAATGGCAATGCTAAAATAGTCTAACATTTAGCAGGTTGCAATTTTTACCTGGTTACCATGCAAATCTAAGACATCTAGTTTCAGCAGTGATTCCAAGTTTTCCATTTTCTTTATTCTGAAAATAAATATTTTTATTAGTCTTCTCAGAATTAATTTTTAAAATCTTTTTTCTTTGCAAGTTACTCATGTTAACCTTTAACCCTATACCATTCTAAATATGTGTGTTGAGAATGGCACACATTTAAAAAAAAATTATATTTCAAAATATACATTTTTTATTTTATTTTAATAATAGCTTCATTTAATTCATTTTTAATCTTCTATATATATAATTCTCTTCTGGGATCAGTTAGAAAACAAGCTGCAAGCGCGCCTTTGCAGTCCCCTCTCTTCCTCTCTATCACTATCACTACCACCCCCACCCCACCGCCACATGATCTGGTGAGCGGTGTTCACTCTGTTTACATTTTACAATCATAGAGACGGGTTTGGTGACGGCTATTAGGGGCAGATAATTTAGTTTGAAACGATTTTAAACTTAGAGGAGGTAACTAAGAGGAGGCTGCTTTCACGTGGGGGGGGGGGGGGGGGGGGGGTTAGTGTTTTTAAGCAAATATTTTCAATGGCAGCATTGGTACTGTCGAATTCACAAATTATAAATTACTGAAAAGTAGAAAAAAAAACAACTAAATAGCGGCGTAAGATACGCAGCGGGTCAGCTCGTAAGTAATAAAATGAAAAGTACAGTCTGGTTAATCAACTTAATGAGCATAATCTCATATTACAGTGTTTCACCTCAAGTATTAATTAATGGGATCGAAAATATTTTCCATTAGACATAAACATATTTTCCAAATCCATATTAACTTACCTGTTTTTCCCCAACATCAAAACCCTTAAAGATTTAAGAGAAGTCAATCCAGATATTTCTTCAATATGGTTGTCGTAGAGATCCAGGAAGATGAGCCGTTTTAGTGACGCCAGATGCTCAATGCGTGTTATAAAATTGTGCTGGTAATTTAATAGCCGCAGCTGCTCTTCTCCCTCTAGTACAGGACAAACCGCCAATTTTCTTCTAAAATTTTTTAGAAAAACCTTTTAGTACAAACTGCCAATTTTCTTCTGAAATTTTTATAAAAACCTTTTAGTACAGGACAAACTGCCAATTTTTGTCTAAAATTTTTATAAAAACCTTTTAGTACAGGACAAACTGGTAATTTTTGTCTAAATTTTTTTATAAAAACCTTTTAGTACAGAACAAACTTCCAATTTTCATCTTAAATTTGAATAAAAACCTGTTTCCAGCCAACAGTGTGTTTCTATTTTATACGGACATTTTTTAAAAATTTTAAGTATTTTATGATGACGCTATCTATCTAATATAAGGTATTGATAAATATAAAAGGATGTTTGTGTCTATTGGTGTTAATGAAAATAAAAAGAATTATTCAACTTGAAGGGATATGGTGGTCAGCACTATGCCCAGCTGCCTTAACTTTTCTTAATGTGAGCCAGGTATGTATCAGAGCTGGGTGTATGGGACATCCTTTGAACTTGAGCTAGTGGAATATGATCGCAAAACTTATAGGTTAGCAACCCTGGGTTTGAGGCTAATAAAGACATAACTGTCCAGGTTTAGTCTGTCTGGGTTTGAGGCTAATAAACACATCATACCTGTCCAGATTTAGTCTGTCTGGGTTTGAGGCTAATAAACACATCATACCTGTCCAGATTTAGTCTGTCTGGGTTTGAGGCTAATAAACACATCATACCTGTCCAGATTTAGTCTGTCTGGGTTTGAGGCTCTTTCATCTGCTGTCCTGTACACCACAGGAACACCAGGTGCTGACGGACTTTCAGCAAAAATAACTCGATCACCTGATAATAAAAGCGATATGAAAGTATGATTAAATCATCATAATAAAAATAAATATTTATAAATGCAAATGTTGCATTCACAATCTCTAGGTGAGAAAATTCAAGAACTCTTCATCTAAGAAAAATAAAGAAACAAAGTAATGTCTCTGTAATGTAAATAATGAAATAAGACTGACAAAAGTCACAAAACCAATATCTGAGACTTAAATCTGGTGTGCTGACTGACTTTGGTAAGTTTTAAGAAGGACAAATAAAATCAGGGTGTAGTCAAAGGGAATAATGAAGTTTTTTTGTTTTATTTTGATAAAAAAAACAACAACAATAATATAACATTTTAATTCTAAAAAAATAATATTTATGAATTGAAAGATTTAAATATTTTCCAAAAATATGAATGTGTTAGTGAGTTTATTAATATAAAGAAAGAAATCTCACATAGTGAAAGTGCTGTTTGATAGTGAATTTTAAAAGCAGGCAGTGATAAAAAACAATTGTGTAATATGTTAGATTTTCTATTGTATTTTTCTACATGGTAATAATAAATTGAAAAAAAAATAGATAAGTATTTACGTGGAATAAAACATAATAACAATTGTCAATAATTATCGACACACCACAAGGGTATTAAATATTATAATTTTCTAGCCAGAAAGCCCCACAGTACTTAAATTTGTAATATTATTGGCACAGCAGATGTTAAATTTTAATTTCTGAAATTTGAAAATTACTAAACCATTTTTTATGTTACTTATTTTCAATACCAGGTAATAAAGGAACCTTGCTGGGTTTAGGGGTGACATGGCCCTGTCCATGTGCGCTACCAGAATTAACTTCTCTGTTTTGCACACTGCCAATATCTTCTTCCACCATCTGATGCTGAACAACTTGTCCGAAATCTTGTGTAAATGCTGGCATAAAGCTTTTTTTATTGCTTCGAAAATGTATTGGGATCTTCTCTAAAATAGGAAATAAAAGAGGCAAGCAAAACACTAATTTGATTGTCGTCATAAAATTTCTATTAAATATATTGGTTATTGATCTTTTAAAGTTTTTAGTAAAGAAAGATTATTAAAATTACAGTTCTTTTAAAAAGTAGGCACTACTTTATCAAGTTATTTATTACATAATGTTGCTATATTTGAGCTAATGCAAAATATGTGATTTCTATTATCATACTAGTGTATAATTAAAAGGTGTAGGCTAAACAATAAAAATTGTTCAAAATGTGTAAGAACATTGATAAAATTCTACAATTACATTTGGGACCTATGCACATATTATTTTATAACAGTAAGGGAGTAGGGGTGGATTTATTTCATTGTTTTTAAAAAAATTATATTATACAATGTTGAGGGTTGCTAAAGCGTAATATAATACTGCTCTTTACTGTTACAATATTTCAATGGTTAGTCAAATAAATTGCCACAAATGACTTAATCACTAACTTACGAATGTTAATTATTTATATATCACAGGTTGTGAATAAACAAATTTAATTAAAACATTTAGAACATTTTCAATGGAATGTATTCAGTACCTGTATAAATTAATTTTTTTACCATTGTTTTTAAAAAATATAATATGTGCATGGTCCCTTTTATATTTATTAAGATCTTTGTGACTTGTGACAAATAATTTTAAAATCATTTATAACATTTGAAACAAATAATATAACAACATTACTGGAAGCCAGGCCTAAACGTATGTCCATGATTTTTAAAGCAAGACAAAACGTTTACAACATTTTTCAATTTAATTAGACAATTTTTTAGGTTTATAGTTTATAGGTGTATTTTGATATTGGTATTGACACTAACAATAAGCAATACAGTACAATGGAATCTCATCAGATAAAATCTCTTCAAAGTTGGAAATTATAATTTGCTTTGTAAAAAAGAAGCATTTACATATAATTAGTAAAAACTTCTTTTAAAAATATTTTTTTAAAATAAGCTAATTGTGTATAATTAATGAAGTTCCATTGTAGCAGAAACTGTAGAATCTAATTTGTCTTTCTAATGTATGTATTAGAATATATATAAAATTTGATAGGCTAATATTCTATAACTTAGCTATTATTTCAGAATAATGTTATGTGTAAATTGAATATGCATTTACTTAGATAAAAAGATAATACTATGGCAAACTTTGTATTACCAATGCCACAATAACTTATACAAGATCACATGCATAAAACATAAAGTACTGATGACATTTATTTTACGGATATTCATAAGTTCTTAAAACATATTTCAGAAATAGTCACCAATTTTAAAAAATGTATAATTAACAAAATAATAATCTTTCAAAGAAAGTAAGAAGCTAAAATGTAATTTAAAAAGTAAAATTTTTTTAAAAACTTTTAAAGCTACTAATTGAAATAATTTGAAATATTTTTACTTCCTAATAATGTGGGGAAAGGAGATGTAAATGGGTACAATAAATTATATAATTTGAACACAAGTTGCCATGCATAAATATGACAGCAGCTCTGTTGGATAGAGGGAAGGGATGAATGTAGCAGCAGTTTTACAGTACACTAGTGGGAGGTGGTAACTAGGAGTGTGGCAGCATACCAAAGTCAAACTGGACTTGATGCAAAACCTCTGAAATAATAAATGGCATCTGCAATACATTACTAAAGAGGAATAACCAAAGTCTGACAGGCTTCCCTAAATGTACGATACATAATAGGTAGATAACATAATAGAATATTGGAATCATACATCAAGAATAACACTGCAAAACAAAAAACAGTATTTAAAATGATATAAATTTAAATTCAAATGATTTTACTGAATATTTAAACTTCATATTTAATTCTCAAATAATAAATCAATAGATCTGTATATATCAGAGCAGTGGGATTATAGGACTTATGCTATCAGGTAAAAATATGTAGCTTGAATTTGTAGACAAAGAACTTTCATATTCAATACATTTAGCAGTTATTATTAACATGCATTTGTTTTACATTATTTTATTCATTTATGCAAGGTGCCCTTAAATGTTTTCAATTAATGAACAACAAGCAAGCAAAATTATAAACACTTCCTCTGGGCATTAAAATGTAACAAATAATATACTAGCAGCATTTATCGAGTTTAAACTTTAGAAGAAAAGTAAGTTTTTAATTTTTGTGGAAAGATAGTATTACTATAACAAAGAACCATATGCCATTAACTTTTAACAATTTCATTTTACATTTATATTGTAAGACAGATATAAAAATATTGTGAATTTTAACTTTGATTATGATTAAAGTAATTGAAATTCATTAAAAATGTAATTCTACTTCAGAATTTAAAAAGCCTAGAATTTTAATTATGTTTAAAACTATCTCGAAGGCTGATAATGCTTACATATATTTACTAAATTTGAGCAATTAGTAACAAGATAGTGAGTGGGAAAGAGTAATTTAATCTTAAGCATAGCTAATATTTTGTGCAATGCAGAAACAAACAAAAACTAGCGTGGTGTACCTGCAAAAGTGTTCAGCTGAAAGTCCCCCAGCTGTTGGTGAGGGAATCTTTTCACCACCCTGCTGTCACCAATGTTCGTAGTTCTAAAAATGACATCGCCACCTGCACCAGAATGCTCCGTATCACGCTGGTAAAATTATAATTTTAATGTCAAAGTTGAAAGTGAAAAGTTAAGAATTTTACCTCTATAGCAAATCTAAAAAAGGTTAACAATAGATTAGCCATATCCACAGATTGCTTCAACTATGAAGCTAACACTATAAAGAACTGACCATAGCCCTAATGTAAAACTTAACAGTAACTTGGTAGGCTTAAAAATAAACTGTCTGTATGCTGGTAACAGCAATACCTGCTAAATCAAATGTTCGCATAAAAAAAAAAAGTTCATTTAATTATCATCCCCACTGCTGTTCAGTATTTGAAATGGAGATTTCTCTGTCATTGGTTCGTTCCCCAAACTGGCCACCAGTTGTTGAAGGTCGCTTTTATTTAATTCAACAAAATGCTACACAGTTCAAGTCTTTTTATTTATTTTACATTTTCCACAGTTCAACGTAACACACTACAAGCTCCATTACAATTGTACAGCTTTTATCCCCGCATTAGGCCTTCGCATTAATGTACATAAATATAAGTGGTTAAACTTGACTCACTACAACACTATTCCCTGTGTTCTAGACTATTCTAACCTAACCTTCAACTTGACCCAAACACTCCTTATACAATTAAAAAAATAAAGTATTTTTAGAATTTTTTTTTGACTCATTAGAGACATTAGTAATACAGCTGTACCATTGGTTAATCAGGCTTTTTATCAGAAAGAACAAATACATTAATATGAAATATATTTTCCCACAACAGTTAATCATTCATTTGTTTAAAGTAAACAAAATGAATAAAAACACACACAGAATAAGGAAATAAAAGCTATACTAATCATTCTCATTAATTATTTTTAACTCACCCCATCCAAAATTTTTGGCTTTGTTTTGCTGTACATAGTCTCTCTTTTTAAATGTACAACCAGACCCTGGAGAACAGAAGAAAACAGATGGGCTCATTATGTGATTAAGCACTGTTTTAAAATCGACCCATATCAGAATAACAACGGCAGCCAAATGGTAACATTTCAGATGTACAATCTTTTGAAAAAAAAAGCAAAAAACGTTTAATACCATGTTAGTTTCTAAAACAAGAATATCTTAAATGTTATGCATAGAAACACAAAATGAAACATAAATGATCACTGTAGAATGGTTGCGGAGTATTACAGTACTTTTTTTTCTATGTCAAATAGTTACAAAATGAGACTCAATTGAAATCAGGACTTAAGATTTTTTTACTATTTGTATTCACAGATCATAAGTTACTCTAGTAGTTAGTAGACTAGTATTGATCACTGGAATTAATGAGAGTTGGTCAACTACCCATGATTATTATATATGGCAGGAAACAGATTAGTACCGGAAAATGCATAATCGATCTTCGCCGTTCATAAACTTTCTAACCAGACATCGTTCGGGGATTTTGTTTATACTGATAAATAGAGCAAGGTTTTTACAAGCTTCGTTAGCAACATTTTTGTGGAATACGTTTTTTATGACATTTTGTGCCGCGGCGAAGGATGCGAAGGATGCAAATCTAGACGGAATGGATCTACTTGGAAAAGTACGTGTACTGCAATAAGAAGGTAAGAAATACTATTTTGTAAAAATAACTATTATTTTTATGGATTTTTCATTAGAAATGATTGCTGTAAATTATGAAAGTAAAAAAAAGTATATTTGAATGTGTTTTTTACTTTAATTTGAACAAAGTGAATGGCCATAATTACGACACATCGGCGTCGTTGAAAGCGGGGATTTCAGTTAATTTTTTACGGATATAAAATTGTATTTTTTTCCTCCGAGGCATGTACTTAAATAACAGTTTAGTTAAATGTATTTAATTCTGTAAAATATAAGTATTATTTTGCCGTAGATACTTTAAAAAATTTTTTTTATGATTTTCTGTCGGGGAAAATCGATATTCGCACCATGCACGCACGCGTAGTAAAACTAGACTTATCTTTAAAACACGAGAATCTTGAGTACACTGCGAATAACAAAGTTTTTAAATTTTAGTTTACTTTTGACTTTAAGCCATTTGTTTTAAATCGAAATTAATTGATAATGTAATTATTTCAAAGTAAAAATTTTCCGTCTGATTGGGTTCTAATCTTCGCCCACTGAACCAGCTTACGCACGACATTCGCGCGAGTCTGTTTCTTCGCAATAGTCTGTATAGTGTCGAGGGCTAATTCTAAAAAGAATCGAGTCCTTACTAATCCAATGTTTATTAAAATTAGGTACAATTGTTGGAACGCATGAGAAATAACAAATTAATATTTCTTTAAATCTATAGCCAAAAGAAAGTAGAACTTTATAACTCTGTAAATTATGAATCGAGTGACGGCTGTCGTGAAAACGGGAGCCATTTTACTCTTTTTTTAGGGTGACCTACTTTTATTATATAATTTTAAAATTCATCGATTTGATAAGCAGCTGAGTAGCTGACTACGCATGCGATATGGCTGGCACGTTTTGGGATAGGGATCGAGTACACCATCGAATTTTTTTTTTCTTAGAACTAAGCGTATTTTTTTTTTAAATCAAAAGATACTTACATATCAGTTGTTGATTTCAATTTCATTATAGATCTAATCACTAACTTCAGTTTTTAAAAGTGATTTTGCATCTAGATCTAGCGTATTTTCAAAATTACGTAAATCTAGATCTATTTTTTAGATCTAGATCTAGATCTACTTACTATTTGACAACCGTGTCAGTAAAATGAGGTCAGCGCTTCCAGATTCTTGGGTTTTAATTATGTTTGTCATTTTGATCTATTATAAGTAGCATTAAAACAACTGCATCTATTATCAACATTGTTTTTATATGCCAGTTCTAATTATACATTCTGTTCATTACCAATTCTAATGAAATCGTATCAGGCCCTAACACCCTGTTCACCTACACTCCTACACTGACACTACACTTGAAAGACGCCACAGAGAGTCGTAACTTTAAATTAATGTTTAAAGTACTAAACAATTATAATTAGCCATGTAAATGCTGCAACTATATTAAAAATTGGCATATAGACATATTTTATTAATTATGTTTTTTATATAGACCTTCTATATTTAACTCTGTTATTTTTTTCTTCCCCAGAGTGTTTCTAAAAGCCAGAATTTTAAAGGGGATGGCGGTCGTTTTTTTTCTCAAGAATAATTATAGAAATAAGCTATAAACTGGTATATTTTGTAAAGTTTGACATAATTACAAATAAATGTATGCCTAAGTGACATTTCTGTGTAATTATATATTGTTAATTTTGTGAATTTCGTGGATTTTTAGACCTCACTACATTTAGATGTAAAAAAAAAATCTCAGTTGAGTGAGTGTGGTTAATCTACATTTTGAACGTGATGTAAATGTCTAGTGCTATTAATTTTTATATTTTTGAATTCCTCGATTGTTAAGCAACAAAATTGATATATAATATGTCAATATTTGTTACTTTGAAAATTGGCGAAAATCGACCCTAAAAGTAGATGCTTGAGGGTTGAATCTGTTTCCTGCCATATATAATAATATATTTTTATTATTATATATAGGCCTATGTGCTTGATTTGTTAGTCTAGAGAACTTGATTCTAGCTAGATCTAGATGATAGTGATACTGGTACTGACTGTAAGGTTTGTGACTACTAGAACTACAAGTAGTGAACATCTAAGAATCTTAGATTCTAAGATTCTAGGAATAATTAAGAATTAGGCCTAAAGAGCTAGATAAAATTCTAGATCTAGATATAGAATCTAGAGATCTAGACGTCAGAGAGAGAGAGAGAGAGAGAGAGTCATCAACGACTCAGACTTCAGACTCACTCACACTGGAGTAGTTACTATACTTGTCTTAGTTTGACTCAGATTTTTTTTCTTTAGTTTTATATTATAATGTTGATTCTGAACTATGAATTGCATTTAAAAATTTGAAGCCATTTGTGAAGTATAAACGAACCCGTGAGGCAAAAGTTTCGTAACGTTTACTTTGATTTTCAATTTAAGAAACACCTTTGCCTTTGATGAAATTGAGTAATAAAAAAACTATGTTTGTCTGCCATATTGAAACCTGGGAAGCTAAAGTAGAACATGCGCAAACCTCCAGTAAAACAAAATAAAACTCGCAGTTTTTAATAGTGATTTTTTGGATTCGCCGACTACTAATATAATGGCACCATTACAAAAAATAAAATAAAAATATATTAAATAATTTGTTTTACAATAAAAAAATAATACTATTCGCCAAGTTTCAAAAGATGTATTAATGAAATCAAGCATAATTTAATGAATACTTATTAATTTAAGGTTTGAAGTAACCTTATTTATATTAATTATAATCAAACTTCGTGATTTTATTTTGGATAGGCCTAATAAGCCACACATTTCCTTCCTCTTTGAATATCGTACAAGTTGTTGTTTTATAATTGCGTTGAGATCTACTTATAATCGTTTTAACATTTGAGAAAAACATTCTGAAAACCGAACGTATGTTGAATTTTTATTTCTTTTTTTTTTTCTTTTTTTCTTTTTTTTTTTTTTTTTTTTTTTTTTTTTTTTTTTTTTGTTGTTATTGTCGATAACAGATCTAGTCTATAGATCTATAGAGGTTTTAGTCTAAATCTGAACATATCAAAATTATTAGCTTATTCTTTTAAAACAATATTTAGATCTAGATCTAGATCTAAATAAGTCATCTCAAGTACTCGATTTAGATTTGATTGGCCAAAGCATTATATGATCTAGTTTTACGCACAAAACAAATTAAAAGTAAGATCTATATTATAACTGGGTAATGCGAAATCTATAAAAATTTTGCACTATACTAGTGTGCGTCGCACCTTGAACGCACATTGATTGACGTTTTGGTTTCGTTTTCTATGGGCTGCAGTGTCCAGTGTTATGCAATGGGCTAAACTTTTGAAATTTAGCGTAGCTTTGGCTACGTAAAATTAATTAATGCACGTGAAACCGCTTGATTTTCCCCCGTTACTTACAGATTACTCTTTGGGTGATCCATTGTTGCTATGTGCATTGCTGCACTTCATATTGAAATCATATTAGATCTATGAGGTAAGACAAAAGAAAGCAAACTCATATTCATGGAATCATAGATCTAGATCTAGATTAGATCTAGATCTAGATTCTAGTAGGTTTTAATGTAACGTCAATTTTAGGGTGGGGGTTTGGCTTTTTTAACAATAGGTGATATTGGAAAGGGGTGGGGTATTAAAAATGTTTTAAAATGTGACGCCGTTAATTTTTTAAATGGAAGTTGTAACAAAACGGGTAGACAAATGCAGATACATTAGAAGTCTGGACCCAGAGGCGGAACTACCATACCGCCAGACAGAGTTTCTTCCAGGCATCTCTTCGGGGGGGGGGGGGGGGGCAAAGCCCCCCCCCCCGAAAAAATTTTACCGCCCCCCCCCCCCCGAACGAAATGAAATTTATATAATTTATATAGAAAATATATACTTTTAACAGTGTCCGCCCCCCCCCCCCGAAGAAAGTTTACCGCCCCCCCCCCCGAAAATTTCAAGTGCCCCCCCCCCCCCCCCGGAGAAAAAAGTCTGGAAGAAACACTGCCGCCAGACCCAGCAATGCGGGGAGGGGGGGGGCAGGACGTTTAGGGGCCCAGTTCCGACCAAAAAACAATGAATTTTTTTTTCAAAAATTATGTTTTTCATGCATCTTGAAAGTGGTTTTGTAAAAAAAAAAAAAAAAACAGGTCTACTATAGCAGAGATTGTTGCGTAGAAAAATATTTTAAAATCTACAAGAGCTATAGTTTGAAAGGTAGGTAAACATTCACACTACTTCCAAGCCTTACTGCCCTTCTTTAAAATAGGGATGCCCACGAAGCTCATTTAAATAGTTTTGTACTATGTATATTAAAAAGCAATTGATTCTCTGAATTGTTACTTAAATAAGACGTACTATATAATAGTATGGCTATAAAAATCAATGTTTTCAAAATTGATATTATAAAAGCCAAAAATGAAAAAAATAAACATAACGCGAGAAACCATTCACGAGTCAAGTTAAAGTCTTTATATATATTTGAACAGCATGTGTATGATATTTTCTTGGATTCAACCGAGTTTGGACTAAATTTTTCTGTTTTGTTCACTCAGAAAGGTTATATATTGCAAAGAAGTAGACTCAATTACTCAGTTAGGATATAAATTTTGTATATATATATATATATATATATATATATATATATATATATATATATATATATATATTTATATATATATATATATATATATATATAATATATATATATATATATATATATATAAATATATATATATATATATATATATATATATATATATATATATGGGGCCCTAGTTTTTTCTTTGCGGGGGAGCCTTTGACTTCTAGTTCCGCCACTGTCTGGACCTAAGATCATTGTCAGCACAAAACATTGGGTTTAAAGAGTAGACAAAAAATACAAACAATAACATAAGTTTGGGCTTATAGCTCGACAGTGACATCTTGTCTAAAGGCCACGATATCCAGATGAAAAGACGCGTGTTAAAGGACGCTTGGACAACGAATAGGGGTGTGAGTAGGATCGTGGTGTACGGAGGGAGGGGGGCACGGGGGAAGGGGAAATGAAATAGTGAGGTGGTAATTGTGGTAGAATGAAAGCCTTTTGTGTCTTCTTCTGCCATTTCTGTGATGCCTAACCCATCTTTAATGTACTGCAGCTACCATTTTCGTCGTTTATGAATGACCCCATAAAACTTTTTAAAAATTAAAAAAAAAAACTGCCTATATTGAGTATTTATTAGTAGTAATTTGTGATTATATAAAATTAAGTTGTTAATATTTATTTTAAAAGATGCTGACTGGTAACATGAGTACTTGAAAGAAGATGGGCCCAAAGAAAGAGAAAGGAAAGAGGGGAGAAGGGAAGAAGGCGAAAAAGGCGAAGCCAGTGGTGGTGGCGACACAGGACGTGTATTACTGGTAAGCAAAGTGAGAGTAGAGAACAATCTGCCGATATTCGTTGACCTGCTGAGGGGATCATAGAACCTTTTGGGCGAGGGAAGTCATACATAGTGGTGAAGGCAGGATCTGTTTTGCGGGGAGGGGAGTTTAAAGATGGTCTCAACGTAGGCTGCATACAGTTTCTTTCAGACACTTCTTCGAGAGGGGGGGGGGGCTCGGCCCATGAAACACGTTTCCCCTCTCCCGTTACCCAACGAAATAGAAAAATAAATTTGATTTACAAAAAAAAAGAAAATATACTTTAATTAGTGTCCGCCACTCCCCCCGGAAATATAAGTCCGGTAGAGAAGGGGGGGGTTCACATTCTAATGCATGCACGTATATCCCCCCCCCCCTTTTCCTCTGTCTCTTTTGACGTATAATCTAAAGTGGAACATCTCCATAATGTATAGTTTCCAGTTTGTTTTGTAATAAATATTTTTGATAACTAAGCTTCTTTGAAAACAATGAACTGCGCGTGACAGGAATAAGAAACCGCCAGTGCCCCTGAACGCGTACTACAACAAAAAATGGCACGAAACCCAATCGGAGATCAACCGTCTGCTGGCCGAGGAAAACTCCATGTTTTTCAACAAGAAGGGGAAGCCTAAAGACCAAAAGCCAATCAAAAGTCGAGAAAAGGCTTTCCAGCTGTGTGTGGTCCGGTATGTTATGTTGTCGGTGCTATAGATTCTAGTTTATTTTCTCGTTCAATCTAGGTTTTTGGACGGACGATACTTTTATATGTGAGTGTGGTATTTCTATGATAAATTAAGCTGATTTTAGATTTAAAAAAAAATTAATCATAATTATCAATTCATGTTCATATTAAATATTTTTAAAAAAATGAATGATAATTAAAATCTTAACATGAACGGTCGTCTATTAAATCACAATAATTAAACAAAATTTAACCACTCAAAAAAACAGGACACATTAACTACAACGATTGAACAAAAATATATTAAATCGTACCATACACTTTTTCATGTTATCCCCCTCCCCCTCTTTCCCCACAGATACCTGAGATATATCTTAATTGCTCGAAATCTTGACGAGTGCTACACCTACATGGTACACCCCCAGAAGCGTATCCTCGTCAAAAAATGTATGGCTGGAATTCTAACTCGCATCTTAGAGCTCAAAGAGTTAATGATTGACGTTGAGGAAAGAGAATTCCATTTTTTCGATGACGTTTTACAAGACTTGCAGCTTACGCCCGATGAAGTGGAGATGACAATCCCTCGCTACTTTAGGGACGAGAGAACGATCGTTTTACAAAACAGGGAACTTATTCTAGAAAGCATCGTCAAGAAAATTGAAGGCGGGGTTGAGCCTAGGAAACAGGAGGTAGACATGACCAGAGAACAGGCGATCTTGCTGATTCAACGACATCAGAGAGCCTACATGGGACGGCTCAAGTACTACGAGAAGGCTTGTTGGCTTTCACAAAAGAAAAATAATCACGCCCTCTTAAGAAAAACAGCCGACACCTGGGCCTGTTATGTTTTTAAATGCAAGACGCGGAGGATGCGACAAGAAGAACTGCAGAGTCTTGGTATGATGTCATACCCTAAGAATAGTATCGCTGAGCTGCAGAAACAACGACAAGAACATATTGAAAGGAATAAGAGAAAAATTGAAGATAACATGATGGATTATGAGCTGGAACTTGCGGAATGGGAGGACAAGATCTTGGCAGATGAAGGACAGAACATGGCAGAGAACCTGAAATACAACATCATTCAATGGCTGCTTGAGACAAAAAATGCTATTGGTGTATTTCCAGAGTTTCCCACGGAAGAAATGGGCGGCAGCAATTATTTATTTAGTAACAAAACGGTGAAACAAGTTGAACAGGAATTGGCTGAGATGTTCGACGATTCGAAAAGTAAAAAACCGCCGTCTAAAAAATCTGATAAAAAAGCTGCTGATAAAAAGGGTAAAAAAGAAGAGGAGGAGGGGTACCAGTGGGTGATGCCAATGTCACAAATGCTGACGTCGCTCTCAGAGGAAAAGGATGAATACATGAAGTACTGGTTCTATAAAGATGACATGCATAACATCCACCAAAAACACGACAGCGAACTGATGAAGGAGGCGATACGCATGAACATCGCTGAGAAAATCAGGTTGGAGGTTGACAAGCTCATGAGGTTTGAGATAGAAAATATGAAAATTGCGATTGAAAAGGCGGTGCAGGCGAAGACGAAGAAAAAGGGGAAGAATAAAAATGGCGGGAAAGGTAAGAAAAAGGGAGGGAGGAAGAAAAAAGATAAAGATTTGACAAAAGACCGGACGATGGATGATCTGTATGAAGAACTTGTACAGAACGAGGTCATCAAACGAGTTTCACCCACCCAGCTGAGTGACTTCCTGGGGGACTACTCCTACACCGGAAGCAGCACTCAAGATTCGGATCTCAACCCTCTTCCGTCACTAGCAGACGTCAGGCGGCTCATCACAGAGTTTGCTATTTTACCTCTAGGATCAGCCGAAGTTCATCAGTTTTCGCCATTAAACAGGTGATCTAAGCTTACAACAATTTGATATATTTGCCTTTTATCCTATAAACGTACGCTAACATAGTCGTTTCTGATGAGTCGTGACTACCTATGGTTGAATATGTTTTTTAAGAGGACTGTTTTGTTTAAGGTCTCTTCTGATTGCGGGCCTGAGGGGGACGGGCAAAAAGATGCTAGTACAAGCTATCTGTCACGAGGCTGGGGCTAATCTATTTGATATCACCCCGTCCAATCTGATGGGGAAATACGACAGTAAAGAAGGAATGAAAATGATTATGCATTTAATAATGAAGGTAATCCATACTCTTTATTTAAAATAAAAATATTCACACATCACTATTAACGATATTAGATTTACATTAGATATATATATTTTTTAAAGATTGTTATTATTTATGCATTTAAATGGACAACCACTTAATATTGAAATCTATTCTATCCCTTATTAGGGGAGGGGAGATATTGTAATCGTTTATTGAAAACTCGGCGAGTCGTTTAACCTGATTTCTCACCCTTCTGACCTTGACCTCATCACGCGTTACAGTTATCTCCCTTATGGCCTTAACCTCTCCACATATGACTCTTCAGACCTGACCTCAAGACGTATACCAGCTTTCACCCTATTGGCCATGAACCTCATCATGTATGTGATGTTCAACTCACAACCTATGACCTTTCTAGCCTTGACCTCATCAAATTCTCACACTAGTGGCCTTGACCTCATCAGTATGACAGCTCGCATACAAAAATTATGGAGTCTCACGTTCATTTTCTCTCTTCATCGTTTCTTGGTATACGCTCAGATAATATAAAATATAACATTCTCAGGCAATATAAAATTTAACATAGTACTTGTCGCTAGCCAAAACATTCACTTCTTTAAACATTCATTGTAACGGTTAACAAGATCTCCGGTAGTTGGCCGCCGTGGTCGAGTCGGTAAAGCTCATGGCTGCTAAACCGAAAAGGCTCGAGTTTGAACCCCTTATGCAGATGAGACTCGATAGCTGGGGACAGAAACTCCAAATTCAAACAAATGCTGCCTTGTAGTTTGTTCTTGGTTGGACAAATGCTATGGAAGCAAATCCAAAAAGAAAAGCAGGCTGAAGTCGGAGTCAACACGTGTTGGAGGGAATCTGTTCCACCATTAGAATTAAGAACAAAGGAGAAGAAGAAGAAAGACCTCCGGTCGTAGAGTTCACTGCGTCGTTTGTTTTACTCATATAGGTAAAGATTTAGTGCCGTCATTTGTTTTAATCAGGTTGGAAAAGCCTTAGAGCCGTCGGTGTTTTGGATCAATCAATGTGAGGATTTGTATTTGAAGAAGAAAAATAAAAATGACCTAGCCAGGCCTCACAAGTGGGCGAAAGTTATCAATAAAACTCTCAAGGTAGGTGTACATCTGTTCAGTGGGCTTGGATTTATTCATAGATGATGTAACTTTACCTTTGTGACTAATGATTCCAGGCATCGATTCGGGGAGAATTTGAACGAAGTAGAGTTTATATAAAAAATATGTACTTCAGCCTGTGTCCGCCTCCACCACCCCGGAAATCTAAGTCCGCTCCCCACACCCTCCCACCCCGAAAATTTCAAGTGCCCCCCCTCCCCATGGAGATATATGTCTGAAAGAAAATCTGATGTAAACAGTACTATATTTTTTAAACACTTGTAAACTTAACACTATTTTTTTCAATGCATACAAACTTAACCATAATTTCTTAAATTAACACCAGTAAACTTTTCTCCAAAATAACATTATAGCAAACTTATGTTTGTGTGTCTTATAATAAATCACATGTTATTTTATTAATCGTTACATGTTGCTTAGATTAACAAGGTTGGGAATGTAAAATGCGAATGTATAAACGTAAACATAAACGAATGAAAACTAATGGAGCCCTTGATTACCATGACAGAAAATAAAAAACGGAGACAGGATGATGCTGATAGGCACAACAAGGAGACCGAGTCTTTGTAAACAAAAGCCGCTCTCTAAAGCTTTTAAACGGACCGTTGTTGTCCCACTACCAGACTATGGGAGCAGGTGAGTTGGTGTTGTCCCACTACCAGACTATGGGAGCAGGTGAGTTGGTGTTGTCATTGTACCACAACTGGAGCAGGTGAGTTGGTGTTGTCCCACTACCAGACTATGGGAGCAGGTGAGTTGGTGTTGTCATTGTACCACAACTGGAGCAGGTGAGTTGGTGTTGTCATTGTACCACAACTGGAGCAGGTGAGTTGATGTCACTGTGCCACATACACTTGGAGCAGGTGAGTTGATGTCACTGTACCATATACAATGGAAGTAGGTGAGTTGATGTTGTCACTGTACAATATACAGTGGGAGCAGGTGAGTTGATGTCACTGTGCCACATACACTTGGAGCAGGTGAGTTGATGTCACTGTACCATATACAATGGGAGCAGGTGAGTTGATGCTGTCACTGTACCATATACAATGGGAGCAGGTGAGTTGATGTCACTGTACCATATACAATGGGAGCAGGTGAGTTGATGTTGTCACTGTACCACAACTGGAGCATGTGAGTTGATGTTGTCACTGTACCATATACAATGGGAGCAGGTGAGTTGATGTTGTCACTGTACCATATACAATGGGAGCAGGTGAGTTGATGTCACTGTACCATATACAATGGGAGCAGGTGAGTTGGTGTTGTCACTGTACCACAACTGGAGCAGGTGAGTTGATGTTGTCACTGTACCACAACTGGAGCATGTGAGTTGATGTTGTCACTGTACCATATACAATGGGAGCAGGTGAGTTGATGTTGTCACTGTACCATATACAATGGGAGCAGGTGAGTTGATGTCACTGTACCATATACAATGGGAGCAGGTGAGTTGATGTTGTCACTGTACCATATACAATGGGAGCAGGTGAGTTGATATTGTCACTGTACCATATACAATGGGAGCAGGTGAGTTGATGTTGTCACTGTACCATATACAATGGGAGCAGGTGAGTTGATGCTGTCACTGTACCATATACAATGGGAGCAGGTGAGTTGGTGTTGTCACTGTACAACATACAGTGGGAGCAGGTGAGTTGGTGTTGTCACTGTACCACAACTGGAGCAGGTGAGATGATGTTGTCACTGTACCATATACAATGGGAGCAGGTGAGTTGATGTTGTCACTGTACCATATACAATGGGAGCAGGTGAGTTGATGTTGTCACTGTACCATATACAATGGGAGCAGGTGAGTTGATGTTGTCACTGTACCATATACAATGGGAGCAGGTGAGTTGGTGTTGTCACTGTACCACAACTGGAGCAGGTGAGTTTATATTGTCACTGTACCATATACAATGGGAGCAGGTGAGTTGATGTTGTCACTGTACCACAACTGGAGCAGGTGAGTTGATGTTGTCACTGTACCATATACAATGGGAGCAGGTGAGTTGATGTTGTCACTGTACTACAACTGGAGCAGGTGAGTTGATGTTGTCACTGTACCATATACAATGGGAGCAGGTGAGTTGATGTTGTCACTGTACCATATACAATGGGAGCAGGTGAGTTGATGTTGTCACTGTACCACAACTGGAGCAGGTGAGTTGATGTTGTCACTGTACCACAACTGGAGCAGGTGAGTTGATGTTGTCACTGTACCACAACTGGAGCATGTGAGTTGATGTTGTCACTGTACCATATACAATGGGAGCAGGTGAGTTGGTGTTGTCACTTTACCATATACAATGGGAGCAGGTGAGTTGGTGTTGTCACTTTACCATATACAATGGAAGCAGGTGAGTTGATGTTGTCACTGTACCACCCACAGTGAGAGTCGATTAAATACATCTCTAATTGTTATACCCACAGTGGGAGCAGGTGAGTTGATGTTGTCAGTGTACCATTAAGTACAAAACCACCGGTGATTTCTCTTTACGATGGAAGTTTGGTGGGGTTGTAGTTTTCTTTTCTTTAAAACAACCCCAAACCAACAACATTGAATGATTTACACCAGTTGTTTGAATACGTTTTCTTTAGATATATGATATGGCAACACTTCATAGGCACTATGGCCGGGCTGTCACACTTCGAGCTGGAGAATATGGATTTCTCATCTTTGACGAAGGTACGTCTGGAGATATAACTAGCACTCGGCTTGTTAAGTTGGTTAGCGAGGGCAATATTTGGATCTTTACTATCACCTTTCAGTTTGAGGGAGGTTAGATATACATACATATATATGTGGGAATGGGAGGGAGGGGCGCTAAGCCGTGTCTCTCCCTAGATCCACCCATAGCTATAACAGCTGATTTTATTTACAATTGTCTGGAGCATTTACACACGACTTACATACGACTTACATACGACTTACATACGACTTATTGTTTTCTGAAATCTCTATCACCCCATATTCTCACCATAGAGGGATGGGGGGGGGGGGGGGGGGGAATTGGTAAAACTACTCAGCCACCCACTAGATCCGCATGTGCCTGAAGCTAACAATATCTCTCTAAGCCCCTTTCAGTCTATACTTTCAACCTCGTAGCATGGGTTTCTTTCAGAATTTTTTCTCCGAAGAAAGGGGGTGGGGGGGGGGGGGGGGGGAGGAGGAGAATGACAAACTAGTTAAAGTATATATTTCTTTATAAATTTTATTTCTATTTCGTCCAAGGGTGGGGGAGGGGCGGTAGATATGCTGTGGGGGGGGGGGGGGGGTCCCAAAAAGAATATCTTCTCGTAACAAGGGTTTCTTTCAGACATTTTTCTCCCGAATATGAGGGAGGCACACTAGTCAAAGTATATATTTCTTTATAAATTTTATCTCTATTTCGTCCAAGGGTGGGGGAGGGGCGGTAGATGTGCTGTGTGTGGGGGGGGGGGGGGGGGAGGCCTAAAATAATATCTTCTCGTAACAAGGGTTTGTTCCAGACATTTTTCTCCGGAATATGGGGGAGGCACACTAGTCAAAGTATTTATTTCTTTATACATTCTTTTTCTATTTCGTCTAAGGGTGGGCTTGGGGAGGGGTGGTAGACGCGCTGATTTGGGGGGAGGAAAATCCCTAAAAGAATATCTTCTCGTAACACAAGGTATAACATGATAAATAGAGATATGTTTTCCTGCTCTCACGATACACGGCCTATGTAGCTCCCCTTGCCCCCCACAGGTGACCACCGGCTTCACGATGCAAGCCATCAAAGAAACGTGTCAGGAAGTCATAACTGAAGAGAGGCTGAGCAAGATGAGAACTAAAGGCAGAGCCCTGACCCCCCTAGAGTTCGTGGTCAAGATCGCGGCCCACGACCCCATCTACATGCAGGAACACGAAGACTTCGTCTGGTGGTTCAACAACACGCCCCTGGCCAAGAAAAGGATGGAGAGGCTGACCACAGGAGACGAGGGTTCTAGCAAGAAGAGCACAAAAAGCAGCAAGGGAGGCAAGAAGAAAGGGAAAAAGAAAAAAAAATAGGATTTTAAAAAGTAAAATGAAATATTTTACAAACTAAATAATAATAAATCGTGGTAATGAATTTTTTTATGCAAGCTAATATAATCAATTTAGACTTGTAAATAGATAATATCAAGGGTTTAAGTGTTTAATGCTATAAAAATATATTCTTTTAAAATGTTTACAAAGTGTGTGATTATTTTGGATAGATTAGGAGGAGTGATGATAACATAGTTTGGGCAAATTAATTAAATATATTTTAATTAATAGTTTTCAAACACAAAACTTTTGATTGAGGAAAATATTTCGGGAAGAAAATGCGATCAGGCAAATTAAATATTAGTAGAATATTAATTGAATTGTGAAATATGATGCTTGTTTAGTGGTTGGGTGTTATGAGCTAAATAGATAATGAGTGATGGAATAAGTGATGTAGTGTGTGTATGCATTTTATTTAAAGTAATTTCCGATATTCGGAGCCGATAAAACGTCTTGCAATTATAATTTGCCTTTCGAATAAATAGTACAATGATACCGGTGTCGTTCTGTGTTCCTTATCAATTGTTTCTTCTCGTTTGTTTTAACGCCGGATTTATATAATGTTTAATGATTCTGTTGATCAAAACTATTGAAAAAGGTTGAACTAGCTTTTGGGACTAATTGGATTTTTTTTTAAAATAATAAATTTTAAACATATTTTCAACCATTTTATTTGAATCAAACTTGTTACAAAAGAAATTTAGCTTTTAATTGCTACAAACACTTGATGTTTGCTAACAAAAAAAAAAAAATGGAAAAAGATTCATTTGTCGCTTTGTTTTATACAGGGGACGTAATCCAATTTTCCAACACTTAGTTAAGTCAGCCATTTGTAAAATGTAGCTTTGAATTTTTATCAGCACCGCTTTGACTAAATGTTTTAGCGTTTGATGCAATGGTACCCAAAGTTTGCGATTTGTTTAGTGAAAGCAGGTGTTGTTTCTTTATTTCTTGATTTGTCCCAAACTTTTTATGACTTTCAAATAAAAGTTTGGGGAAAGATTGACCGGACGTATTCGGTACAGGCTTTATCAGCAGGTTGTTCAATTTAGCCAGATTTTTACTAGGCATGCCAAATTTATTTATCTCCAATGTATTGTTTTTAAGCCAAATTTTATGTACAAATTCATTTGCCGCCTTTTGGTAAACTTTGCGATTAACTTGAGAAATTGAATTGTTCAAAATCGGAATGGTTTCTTTTGGCTTTAAATCGCTTTTAAATGTTTCAAGTAAAACACTTTTTGACGGAACAGCCTGAATGGGTTGAGTAGGTTGTTTTGGGCTATCGAGTATCGGAGCGTGGTCCTCCTTTTTCAGATTTTGGAATGAGTTATTTTCTTCTATTTTCACATATTGAATAAAGTTATTTTCGACTTTTCTCAACTTTTTAAATGAGTTACTTTCGTCTTTGGTCGAACTTAGAGATGAGTTATTGTTCTTGCTCAAAGCAGACGATTTGGTGTGCTTCCTGGCATGGTATGGGTGGCTCTTGTAAGGTTTTGATGGTCGAACCACCAAGGAGCGTCGCTTAGAATTTGTTCCTAAAAAGACAAGATTAAAAAACAAAACACGTTAAATATTAAGAAATCAACAATTAGCTTATGAAACGCGACGGATACATTGGAACCTGGGGGGTTCAAAGTTCACTACAGGTATTTGCTATGTGGCTAACATTTTTTCTGAACCCAATACTGTCTGAATCAAAGCATTTACTGAATCAAAATACTTTCTGAACATAATACTTGCTGAATCAAAATATTTACTGAATCAAAATACTTTCTGAAACCAATATTTTCTAAACCCCCATTTTTTACGAACCCTATATTTTCTAAGCCCAACACTCTATGAACCCAGTAATTTCTTAACCTTGTACTTCCAAACCCAATCAGAGTTTCTTCCAAAGTGTAGTTATAGAAAGTCTGGTCTAGAACCCTTACACGACTAGATACACTATCCTACCACTGAATAGCACTAGACTAGACATTCTCAACACATCTATTTTCTACCATGGTGAGGGGTGGAAGCAGGCGTTGTGACTGAAATAGCAATGTAAACAGAAAGTGTTATGAAAGCTTTATTTTTGTAGAGCTGATTGGCAGAATCGGTTACACGTCTGACTTGATGCATGGAAGGCGAGGCGATTCGGTGCCGTGAGGAGTGGTAGGTTCGGAACCCGTGGGGTCTGTCTGTTCTATCTTAACTTGGACTATATTCTGTACCTTTGTCTACCCTTGGCGTTGAAATAACACTTTCTGTTTACATTGCTATTTTCTACCACGATGTACTAACAAATTACCAGGTACATTTTTCAGGTACGTTTTTTTTTTGTTTATGTTGGTAATTTGGTTAATGAGTGTCATCAACATCTCAGTGTACAAGAGGTGTACTGTGTATGGTGAGATTAAGGGTTGAGTGTTTAAATCTAGATGTTCGTTCATACATAGGGGCTGCAGGCAGTGTTTCTTCCAGGTATCTATTCGGGGGGGGGGGGGGCACACTAGTACCCCCCCCTCCCGAAGATAGTCTCTCCCCCCCCTCTCCCCCGAGCGAAATGAAATTTATATAGAAAATATATACTTTTATCAGTTTTCCGCCTCCCCCCCCCCCGAAAATTTTAGCCCCCCCCCCCCGAATATTTCAAGTGCCCCCCACCCCCCCCCCCCCCCCGGGAGAAAAAAGTCTGGAAGAAACACTGGCTGTAGGTAATAAACCGACCTGATTCGGGGTCTCTGTGGTGGATCACGTGATACACTATGATGATAAACGATATAACACACAGTAACAGAACTTTACAGTGATCCTTCCCGAACATGTAACGCTGCAATACAAGTCATATATATATATATATATATATATATATATATATATATATATATATATATATATATATATATATATTATATATATATATTTGTGTGTGTGTTTATTGTTTTTACAAACATTGTATAAGGTACACTTCTTTCAAAAATTAGTACTGATTTGACCAAGCTAAAACACTGCATACTAAACTACAATAAAACCAAAAAACATTTTACTATTCATAGCAGCAAACTATGCAAAACAATTTAAAAATTTGGTTTAGAAATAAACTTTATATCTCTGTTCTTTTGGAAATCGTACCTTTCGAGCTCTGAAAAGAATTCTTCGGCTGTCTTTCATCATCTCTGTGCGGTCTCATTAAAAGGTTTGAGAGGACACTGAACACTTTCATCCAAACTATATCCTTTTGTTATTACCGGTTATCAAAAGAAAACTATAACAAATTTTAATATAGCTCGTGTATCTTATTGAATCGTCTTCCGTTTCACGAAACCAAACAACAACGAAAAGACGCATTAACGAAAAGTTTCAGCACATAAAATTCCTACCACTAGTAATCTCCACACAAACCTCAAGCTTATGTTAATGTTAGCATGATACAGTCTAGCGTTAAAAATATGGGTCGATCAACATCTTGTATAGTGTAGTTATAAAACACGTCAAGATCTAAAGATGGTTTGTTTAAATTGTCGTTTAGATCTTAATCAGTCGATCTAAGGTAGTGTAACGGGATGGAGGTGGGGAGTGGGGGGGGGGGGGAGTTGCCCACTAGTTTTACATGTTATCGATACAAGAGTTATTAAACCATAGGTGATATATAATACAAGTCTCTGATCCCTTACGTATATAACATGTATGTATCTGATCCTGTACGTATATAACATGTGGGTTTCTGATACTCTACGTATATAACATGTGTGTCTATGATACTCTACGTATGTAGTATGTGTGTTGCTGGTGTTATGTGTAGTACTACCTCGTTATCTGATACCAATGAAATGAATATTTTTTGGCTAAAGCAGGAATCTTCTTCCAGTCATGATGTTTAGACCATCATGCCCAGTGTTAGTATTTTGCTAAATTCGGAAGTGCTATAAGCTCTAGTTCTATGAGTATTTGTATTGAGTAGGCCTCTATTTTAAAATTCTATTTCTTACTAAACAACTCAATTTGGCTCAAAATATTGTCTTCTTCTTCGTTCTTGAGTAATAATATTCGACGAGATTTTCTCCAAGTATTACTTGTCAACATGTGCGCCATATTACTCCGATTTCAGCCTGCTTTTCTTTCAAGATTTGCTTCCATAGCCTTTGTTCATCCAAAAACACAATAGTTGTTTAATATTAAAGTTTCCTCTCTTAGATGGGTTGCTGTCCCCAGCTAACGAGCCTCGTCTGCCCTGTGTTCAGGACTTAGCAATCATGTGCAGAGGCGTAGCGACCCTTCCCGGCGCCCGGGGACATACTTTCAATTTGGCGCCCCCCTCGGGAGCAAATTTTCGATTTGCACCCCCCCCCCTCAAACTTTAGATTTGCACCCCCCCCCCTCGAACTTTTCATTTGCACCCCCCCCCCCTCAAACTTTCGATTTGCACCCCCCCCCCCCTCGAACTTTTCATTTGCACCCCCCCTCAAACTTTCAATTTGGCGCCCCCCCCTAAGGTCGGCGCCCGGGGACATATGTCCCCCCCCCCCGCCCCCCCCCCCTCGCTACGCCTCTGATCATGTGCTCTCCTATCCGACCACAATTCCCCCCTCCATACTATCTCCATCTCAATCCTCTCTTCTCTCGGGCCCAGCAACTTGCTGTGTGCTAAGCTTTTTTGGATCTGCTTGAATGTGAAGGCGTCAAACTGACACTTTCACTCCATGTGCAAGTGAAGGGATTCGTTTTCCCCCCTATTGATCTAAAATCTAAAACAAACCCTCCAAATATTGCTATCTGACAAACTAAAATAACCCTTCCAAAATATTGCTATCTGACAAACTAAAATAACCCCCTCCAAATATTGCTATCTGATAAACTAAAATAAACCCTCCAAATATTGCTATCTGATAAACTAAAATAAACCCTCCAAAAATTGCTATCTGACGTGCTAAACTATCCCATAGATCAATAGCTTATACCTCATAGGTTTTGAAAGCTCAATAAATGTCAGTCTATGTATGTAATGTGTTTAACATTCGTTGTGAGTGACCTTATACTTATATGTTATCAGCTTTCATTGAATGCTTTCATTCTTTTAAATCCTCTACATGTAACATTTAAACATCAACGCAAGGAGATAGTTACGGTGTGTTTGTGGGGGGGGGGGGATCCTCTACTTGTAACATTTTAACATCAACACAAGGAGATAGTTACGGTGTGTTTGTGGGGGGGGGGGGGGATCCTCTACGTGTAACATTTTAACATCAACACATGTAGAGATTTACGGTGTGTTGGGGGGGGGGGGGGGGGGGAATCATCTACGTGTAACATTTAAACATGCACACAAGTAGAAATTTACGGTGTGTTGGAGGGGGGGGGATCCTCTACGTGTAACATTTTAACATCAACACATGTAGAGATTTACGGTGTGTTGGGGGGGGGGGGTTGTGTGGCACGCATTTTAAAAAATACATTACGTTGTTGTTTTTGTTAGATGTTAATGCAGACTATGTTAGCTATACCTTTGAAATGTTGTTGGGTACCATTTAACAAACTATGTTAGCTGTGATTTCCCCTACTAATTATGTCACTAGTAGTTTAAGTCACCAAGCGCTCACATTATAGGTCAAGGAGGTCAGGTCACCACCCATTATTTAACAACATGCTGAACTGGTAGACTGTGCATGTTGGGAGAGGGATGGCAGAGCGCCCGCTCTAGGACAGGCTATTTATGTACAGTTGTCCCTCTATCAGAAATAATTTCAGCTGAAAATTTGAAACACTTTTCGACTGTTTTAATGGTCTAAACAACTCACCTATCACAAACTACAAATTTAAAACTTTAAGATCTAAACAACTCACATACAGAGGCGTCGCTAGGTCGGGTGTTACCCGGTGCGGCACTTCGTGGTGTTCCCCCCCCCCCCCCCCCAGGAAACAACACCCCCATCCTCTTGTAATAATTGTCGATTTGTACTTATGTTTATTTAACTTTAATCAATCACTAATGGATCTGGCACTAAGACATTTTTCTTCTGTACATTTTGCATTTTTTTGCCGTTGTGTCACCCCTAAATGGTGTCACCCGGTGCGGTCCGCACCCCCCGCCCCGCCCTCACTACGCCTCTGCTCACACATTATCACAAACTACAGTTTTCTCTTCCTTCTCACGCCAAGCGCAGAACAGAGCATGAAATCGAGACTATACTTGGAATCACCTTAGCACCTTTATAGGCCTGATGACTATCGTCAATTACCCTTTCAAACCTACCGTCTATGGGACGGTGGTAGAGTTGACTAATTTCCTTGACCTCAACATACATAGTGTGGTCAGCCAGCACTAAGCTCAGTCGCCTTTACTTTCCTGATCGTTTAAGGTACCCAGGGCTGGGTGAACTCAGTGACATCCTACCTACTCAATCCCAGCAACCAAACTCGAGACTTTCTGGTTAGCCGTTGATCTACCATATGTTAAAAATTTACCTAGAGTGTGCCCCATAAGTCCCTCCTTTACTTCTCTATCGTGAAGTCGGCAGTTAACAGGTCACTCACATGGTCGTGTATATATATATATATATATATATATATATATATATATATATATATATATATATATATATATATATATATATATATATATATATATATATATATATATATAATTCTCTTCTTGGAGACGCTAGAAAACAAGCTGTAAGCGTGCTCCCTACTACCCCACCCCTACATGGTCTGGTGAGCCGTGGTTCACGCTAAATGTTTACAATTGTATAGCCGGATTTAGTGACGGGGCAGATAATTTAGTTTGAAACGATTTTAAACTTAGGGGAGGTAACTAAGAGGAGGCTGCTTTCACGGGGGGGGGGGGGTGTAGGGTAGGGGTTGGGGGAAAGGAGGGTGGGGGGTAGTATCGTTCTTAACGACCTACTGATAGTGTTTTAAAGCAAATATTTTCAGTGGCAGCATTGGTACTGTCGAACTCACAAAGTATGAATTACTGAAAAGTCGGCTCGTTGTACATATTTCAAGCATCTCCAGTGCCCCTTCGACAGGAAGTTTGAAGTGCCCCTCACAAAGAAAAAAATGCCTGAAAATTAAAAGTTAAGATCAGACACTTTTACTTGTTTGCCTGACTGAAGGAGTTGCACAGCTTCTGAGAATAACACAATATTACAAGTTTTTAATTAGTTTTTTTAGGGGAATGGACTAAGGCAGGGGTTCCCAACCCCGTGCCCGTGGGCGCCATGGCGCCCGCTGAACGATTCGTATGTACCCGCCTCTCACTATTCGACAGAGACTGAATTTTTTCATAAACATTATTAAAAGGTTGAAGGGGATGGAAATCGAAAGTTTGAGGAGGGAGGTGGGGTGCAAATCGAAAGTTTGAGGAGGGGGGTGCAAATCAAAAATTTGAGGGGGGGGGGGGGGGTGAAAATCGAAAATTTGAGGGGGGGTGCAAATCGAAAATTTGCGGGGGGTGCAAATCGAAAGTTTGAGGGGGGGGGGTGCAAATCGAAAGTTTTGTCCCCGGGTGAAGGGAAGGGTCGCTACGCCTCTGGAAGGAGTTTGTCGATTTAAAATAGGTGGTGCCCGCCACCCTTTCCGATATTTTAGAATGTGCTCTAGACTCTAGAGTAAATAAACCGGTAGTGATCTCCCCTAAACTTTCTCGAATATTCTTATATAAAACAACAGGGGATGGTAACTGGGGATATAGTTATGATTTTTAATCCATTTTAAATACTTAAACTTTTAAAAATAGAATATAATCTCATAAAAAAAACATTGCGCACCAAGCAAACGCCGAATAAAAACGCGTATAATAGTGCGCAATATTATTAGTACTTTAAAAATTTACATTAGTTTTTTGAGAAATCGGAAGTAGCGTAAATTACTACTTCCAGTCAACGGAAATTACTCAAAATTTAACAGAAGGTAGAGAATTAGATCTTTTACTTACTTGTGAAATTTCATTTATCTATCTGAAATAGTACTAAAGTTATAGGCTTTTAAAAAATTCAAAGTAGGAAAAGTACCACTTCCGGTTATCGGAAATCGCTCAAAAGTTGATACGGATCTACGATTTTGATAAAATACTTATATATGAAATTTCATCAACCTAGCTGTAACGGTACTCAAGTTATCGTGTTTACACACGGACAGACACACACACAGACACACACACAGACATACGGACAGAATTGCAAAGTCCAGTTTTTCAGACTGGATTACGCATAAAACCTCTTAATTTTGATAAATCTGGATTGATAATTTTTGCCCGATTAAAATAAGTCCTCTATACTTCGGATGTGATGAAGGACTGAGGTGTAATACGGTGAAAATTGTTAAAATTTCAAATGATTTTTGTGCACGATTACAATACTTTCTCTATACTTCGTATATACGAGAAAGTAAAAAAGGTTGGGAACCCCTGGACTAAGGGAAAGAACTGCAGTGAAAAAAATTAAGTATAAAAATAAGTCCTGTTGTAATCGCCCCCGAAATT